TCATCATCGACAGCAGGTGGCTGCATTATATACAAGTGTTCTTTTGTAGTTGAGTACCAAGGACACAGAGAACAAGTCACCGCTGAGGCTACCCAACTAGGGAAGATTGATTTAATATTAGGCTGGACCTGGCTATTAAAACACAACCCTGAGATCAACTGGCAGACAGGGGTTGTCACACTGTCACGTTGCCCTCAGGAGTGTGTAAACTTGGGTAAACCGAATCATGTCCATCACAATGAGCGTCTTGAGAAGATAAATGCTGGTCACGTTTATGAGCTCAGATCTTTAGAAAAGATCAACGATGACAATGATGAGGTAAAACCCGAAGAAGAGATTAAGAGGCTGGTACCTCCCGAGTACCATGACTTCTGGAAAGTCTTTTCAAAACATAAATTAGAGCGCTTCCCAGAGGCTAAGCCTTGGGACCATGCTATAGATTTGAAGAACAACTTCAAATCGAGGAAAGGACACATGATCCCCCTTTCTGCTCCAGAAAGAGATGAGGTTTCAAGTTTCATAGATGAACAGCTTAGGAAGGGTTACATCAGACCTTCCAAAAGCCCTATGACATCCCCAGTGTTCTTCATCCCTAAAAAGGATGGTAAGAAGTGTATGATTATGGACTATTGTTACTTAAATGAGTACACGGTTAAAATGTGTATCCGCTGCCTCTGATTAGTCAGCCAGTGATAATTATGGACTATTTTTACTTAAATGGGTACACGGTTAAAACGCGTATCCGCTGCCTCTGATTAGTCAGCCAGTGGACAAATTGGCCGGCGCCAAAATCTTAACAAAGATGGATCTCAGATGGGGGTACAATAATGTACAAATCAAAGAAGAAGATGCTTAGAAGGCCGTGTTCACATGCCACCGAGGATCCTTCAAACCCCTTGTTATGTTCTTTGGGCTGACTAATTCACCGGTGTCGATGATGAGAACTGTTGTTAGAAAACCACACACAAAACAAACTAACACACAATCCTCCCAGATTCCATGGAACTTGTTTATGGGCTTTGCCTCCTAGAACAGTGGAGTGGTCTGGTTGTTCGTGGGGTGGTACGTATAAAGATCCTTCAAAGTAAAACCCAGAGGTGTATGAGTGTGGGTTTTGAGGAGGAGGGATAGTTGAATTTATAGAAGGATAGGGGCTTTGTGACGAGTATAGACGAGCACTACCTTGCTAATCGTAGCACAAGGTAGGTTTGAGAACGACAATATGACGAGGTTCCCAGTGATAGCAGGCTCCTGACGCACATACTGTAGTGCTCAGAAGGACTCTAATTGAAAGGGATGACAATGACTTCAAAAGTGGGAAGTGACGATGACAGCAGTTGACAGTGGTAAAAGTGGGAAGTGTTGTGACCACACTGGATCACAAGTAGCAGAGTAGTGAACTTGAGAGTAGAGAAGAAGTCTGGATTGGAGTTTTTTTTTCTTGTTCTGTTTTTTTTTTTTTTACAAGGTAAAATACAGGGGTTTATATAGTAAAAGAAAAGTAGGCTATGCACAGTATAGCTGTGCAAAAAGAATGAGAAAGAATATGAAGGAAGGAATGTACGCTGACAAATCCTGCGTAGGTAGTACAGGATAAGATTGTCAAAAAAAGGAAAAGAAAGGGATAGAACAATAAATGCTGTGAGTAATGTCACAGGTTTGTACAGCCATAAAGTAAAGTCCAATAGCAAAAAGAGAGCAGGAAAATCATGATGTCATGAGAAGATGCAGTAAAAAAAAAGGGCAAGGCAAAACACTATCAGTATCAACACAGTTCCTTTATTGTCAGTCAGGCATTCTAAAAAAATATGTGTCCATAAAAATGATTCAAAAATCAAAAATAATTGCACTGTAAATGAATGTTCTGCTGAAGAAAAAGAAACTGGAGCCACCGGTCCACCACCTAGTCCAAATCCGACAGTTCCATGGCCTTACCAATGGACTGGTTGTGTTGGACCACCTGATCAAACGAGGGAGGGAGAGGAGTAGTTCCAATTTGGAACAAGTGAGTCCCAGGCAGCGTGTGATAGGTGTAGCTGTAGTGAAGACGATGGACAAAAGATAAGTGTACCCAAGTGAATGGGACAGCAATAAACATGGGCGACGCAAGGGGATGAACCTTCTCCAGCTCAAAAACTACCCACCCACGCTCCAACCAGGCAAGACGAGCGACCGATGTTTTGATAGTATATGATGGCAGATCGACGTCATGAAGATGGACCTGTTGCCCTATTTGGACCGGCCGCCGGGGCTTTGCTGATATCAGCAGTGGCACGTGGTAGTCAACGGATCGGCGACGGAAGCGGACAGGAAGTGGTGACATCAGAAATGGTGGGGGTGCAAGTAAGATGAGGAGGAGGAGGGTGGAGGTGATGGAAAAGTGGATTAGAATGGGGATCCAGAAACGACTGTCAGGTGAGAATAAAAAGGAGAGGAAGGGGCCCATGGTGGGGCTAGGCAAAGGAAGGGGAGCAAGGGAAACGACAAAAGCGAGGGCGCAATGCAATGTGTAGCCAGTGGCGACGCGAAAATTTGCCGAAATGCCGAAATGCGGAAAGTACCGGATGGAAAAGCAAAGGTGAGCGTGACTGGATTGCCTAATAGAGGTGGTGCTGATCAGCCACAAGTTTGAAAAGGGCAATATTAATTACTATTCCATGTGGCACTGTGCCTGTGTGGCGCAAAGGCGAGTCTTTTTGAATATTCGCTTCGTTATTGACACCTGTCCATGCTACCAATCAACTTTGGTGCATGACACCGCGTTAAGTGTACTGTCAATGTTATAGATGGGAATAGACATATCCAATTTTACAAGGGGGAGTCCAATTTTCTCCGCCCAGACCTGGTCTATGAAGATTCTGTTAGCGCCTGAATCAAGCAGTGCGCTGGTTGGGTGTACTATGCCCCAGGCAAGGTTTTCCACACCAATATCTAAATGGATCTCCTTTTGGAATAAATATGTGCGCATCAACACACACTTTGGGATTTCAGGGGAAGGTGGCTCCAAAGAAGAAGAATCGAGAGAAACATGTTTTTCTACCTTAATATTTTCTATGTTTTTATTTTTATTTTTACCAGAATCAAGCACCCTAGTAGTTGTCTTGCCGGGGCCACGCTCCAAGGGAGACGCTGATGCAGAGGTAGTATCATAAATATTACAGTGACAATTTCTCATACAAGTACATGTTTCGGATAATGGATTAAAAAGTGGCTGGCTTGAGGTGCAGGAAAGTGTTACAATCGGAGTTTAAATGTCTCAAAAAGCGGTCAGATCTCTCTATAATGCCTATAGTGTTGAGCAAAATGTGTTGTCAACTGTGGGAAAGTGCTACTGTGCTGCAGTGCACTCCCGCCCTCTATTATGGCTTACCACTGTGGCACACAGTGTCAAAATATGGGAATTTTATTTACCTTTTCACATTGTCATTTCAATACTATACCAAACCAAAATAAAAACTCAAATGGGTTCAACCATTCGGGCTGCAAATAGACCAGTCTTTCTCAGTACTTGTAAAGAAGGGCCTTGGTGCATTGGATTTGGTATATTTTCACTGTCATATTCTCCCTATATTGGTGTGCAAGGATTTTTCACCTGCTGAAACTATTATTTTAGATTTGTATTTGTTTGTATCATTTGTATTTTTCATCTTTGCCACGTATACTGAATTTGTATCATTGGCTTGGTTTTCAGGACTCCAATACCTAGGATTATACATTCTAAACAATGCAGTTATCTGATGGCCAGGGGCAGAGCTGCAAAAAGTACTCCTTCTCCATCATCACCACCTTCAAACTAAAACAGTGACATGATCAAATTTATTTATGTTGGTGTTATTTGATATTACTATTCACAATTTCTAGGCTACTTCTGAAAGACCTTTGGCTCTAGTAGCATGCTCTGTAAGTGTTCATATCTTTTTTTGAATAAAATTAACAATCAATATTGTTTACCAGATTGAATGTGCTTTGCTAGGTGCTATCAACAATGCCACAATAGAATTCTCAGAGACAGCATTTTCTGCTAGGTACGTCACCTCAATCACTATAAATCTGTACTTATTATACTTTTACAAGGTGGGATCATCATATGAGGTTGCTGGACAACTTTCAGAAATGTTCTCCTACATACCTGGTGGCTGTGGTTGGTGGGGTTGATGAATATATTTGGTAAGAGCTTACTACATATTTATATTAAAATGTTTTCTTAACCTCAAGTATGATTGTAGGAATAGTTGTATAACAGTGGGGGGAGGGGGCAAGCTGATGTTTCTGAGCTTATATTTGATTTTGATGCTTTAGAGGAAGCAGCAAAAGTGTCAAAATCATTTTTATAAATATTACTGCTGCAGCGTTTTTAAAAATCAATATAATTAATTTGCTTTATTAGTGCTTTTTTTGGATATGATTGAGTATGGATTGATACAATTGCATTTAGAGTAAATTATAGTGAAAAAGTGCAAAGTCATTTTTGTTTTAACGACTGTGCTATAAACCACTTTTTATGATATAGCAATACTCTAAACTGGTATTTATTGATAATCATGCATTTAGAGTAGGGGACTTTGCAAGGATCACACTTATAGATATAACAGATATTTTTGCTATTATAGCATATATTTTGCAATTTATTGTATTTATATCTAAGTCACGTTTTCCTGATGTCCATGCTTAAGATAAGGTTGACAGAGATGGAACATGACAGGGCGGGATAAGTTTTTTGAAGTCCGCATATTTGGTTTCATTTGGCACTGACCCAAAGTTTTGCTTATGGCTTCAGTCCTGGGTGTCTGAACGAGCTCTAAAGTTTGGTAAGATCCAGAATAATTTCCTAGTATCCACACATGTTATTGAAAGGAATCAGCCCAGCTATGAAGGGAGAACCTGCAGGCTGATAGCACTGATGGACTCATGTTGAAAAATAATGATGGCATAAACATGCATGACTAAATACAAAAAGGTCTGTAGAAATCACTGCAGACAATTGGCATTTGGAAACCTGGAACCTATGGGTCCAGGAAAAAGGTCAATGGCATTTAATATTTTCAGGGGAAGATAACCGCATGACAATAATGCTCAAATAAGATGGAAAGAATTTTAGCCATTTGCAACATCAGATATGAAGTGTGATAATGTTACCATGTGTAGCAATGTAGTTGTAAATTCAGTGATTTCATTTCAGGTTTTACATTTATCACAGTAAATTTGCGTCGACTTTGACGGCATTTTATTGATATTATCACAAGGCTGGAAATATCTACTTATTGTCCATGATGAGTACTGTTGTTAGAAAATCACACACAAAAAATAAACTAACACACAATCCTCCTAGATTCCATGGAACTTGTTTATGGACTCTGCCTCCTAAAACAGTGGAGTGGTCTGGTTGTTTGTGGGGTGGTACATAAAAAAATGATCCTTCAAAGTAAAACCCAGAGATGTATGGGTGTGGGTTTTGAGGAGGAGGGATAGTTGGAAGATAGAAAATAGGGGCTTTGGGATGAGTATGAACAAGCACTACCTGGCTAATTATAGCACAAGGTAAGTTTGAGAATGACGAGGTGATGAGGTTCCCAGTGATAGCAGGTTTCTGATGCACAGAATGTAGTGCTCAGAAGGACTCTAATTGAAATGGATAACAATGACTTCAGAAGTGGAGAGTGACAATGACAGCAGTTAACAGTAGTAGCAGTGGGAAGGGCTGTGACCACACTGGATCACAAGTAGCAGTGAGTAGTGAACTTGAGATTAGAGAAGAAGTCTGGATTGGATTTTTTGTTGTTTACAAGGTAGAATACAGGGGTTTATATAGTAAAGGAAAGGTAGGCTATGCACTGTAACAACCAAGAGTGACTTACTCTGGCGCACACAGAAACACACTATAAAGAAGATGATGGGGGTGGTTACCCCTTAGGCTGCAGTGAGTTTGTTGGTTAACAACAAGAGGACTCGCTGAGGAGTCTCCTGGATCTATTGGGGTATATATACTAATACAGAGTGTTTGTACTTATGTACTGTACAGTTTGATAAAAACAGTGGCTGATAATGTCATGGGGTCTAAACCGCATGATCAGCTCCACTGCGTGAGAGAGTTGTATCTAAGATAAGAAGAAAGGTAACGCGGCGCGAGAAAGAGGAGTTTGAACAAAAGGGGAAGTGCCGCGTGGCACCCTGTGTGAAAGCTAAAGTACAAGGTTATAGCGGAGATTGAAAATGAAAGGAAAGGTCCGAAAATTGTGTTATCGTAACACTACCCCCCCTCTAAGGTTCGACTTCCAGGCGAGACCAAATACCGGAGGTAGTGGTTAAATTTTCGGGCATAGTTCGAAAAAGAGAATTAAAAAGTTTTGAATCCATGCCTCTAAGCTTCCTAGGAGCTGAGGGATTCTTAGAATAAAAGTTGCAAACAGCGTTGTGGGAGTTATCCAGATGGGCTTCTGGCTCCCACGTTCTGTCCTCGTCTCCATAGCCCTTCCATAGGACTAGGAACTCTAATTTACCATGCTTCAAGTGTGCATCCACCACCCGTTCGACTTTGAACTCTTCTTCACCTTCCTGGGTGACTACAACCGGTCCGGGCCAATCTACGCGCTGTCCCGGCAGCAGCCCTTTGTAAGGTTTCACACGGCTAATATTGACCGTGGGTACTACCCTCATTCTTTTTGGGAGTTCCAGCTCCACTGTGTTGGGTTTGACTTCCTTAATCCGGTAAGGGCCAATCCACTTTTTGGTCAGTTTTCTAGAAACCTCTGAAGAGGCTCTCGGCAGTGATTTTGGGTATAGTAATCCAATTGCTACTGGGGACTACAGAGGCTGGAGGGATGGTGGGTCTCTGTCACGACTTGAACCAGAAGCGCTAGTCTAAGCGCTAAGTTTCTTTTTCTTTTTCTTTTACATCTGATCACATGACAGATAAGATATGTTAAGCTGCTGCTTTAGCGCGGATAACATAATACGTAGTTATATCAGATCACGTGACCACCACGTGACACGAGTCTAGAATTATTACAAAGAACATCAGTCAGCGCCTCATGGCTACTGCATGTTAGCTCAGTCAGCGCCTCATGGCTGACTTTCAGAAACATATATATAGTAGACCATCATGTACATACTTTCCTCAGTTGTTGATTAATTCTCAATCGCTACTTGAAAAACGCTACTTGTTTGATTTAAGCTTTTATCCCTCCGTTAACTCGGTATAGGGGATAGAGGTTTTACACAATCAACAACTGCTACAAGTACCGTTTATGAACTTAACAGCAACAATCCTAACAACCATCATCGTCACCATCATCATCATCCTACTAATCCTAACCCTACTCAAACACTCAACCCAAACTACCACTACTCTTCCACTCCATCACATCCCTACTCGCCCCGACACCATCTTATCTTTCTTTCCCGCCAACGTATCACCTTCCTCATCCCAAGACTCCTTCGTAACCATCCCCCTATAAATACATTTATATCACTATAATCTCTTTGGTGTGGAACCATTGGGATTTTCTCGGTTTTACCTAGTTTCATTTTCGATTTCCTCTGACCAGGCCGCGCATTTGCGTCCGCCAGTCGGGAGAAGGACTGAAAGCTTAATAAGCTGGTCACATTGGGACAACCGTTCGGACCCCAATTTATCACTATACTTTTTACATAAAATTCATAAAATACAAAAATAGTTACCATACCTACATAGTCAGTAGTGGGCTGAAGAGGACCACTTTGACTCAAAGAGAATAGATAGACTACTAGGATCTTAGAAAGCGGTGTATCGATCCAGCTTATCACTGGTGAACTCCTTTCTATGCTTAGTAGAGACTTTTACATTTGGATCGGAGAGCAACACATTTACTCTCAAGATTACGTATTCAAAGGGAAATTCCCTTTACCAGAAATAGAACCCATCAGAATACCATCCCCTTTAATCAAATCCGAAACTCCCCCTCCTCCCCAACTCACGTTTAATGTCCAACCTAGAATATCGCGATCTGCCCGAGCCATCCAACAGCACGGACAGTGCATTTACCAGGGAAATGATGGACGCATTACCCAGAATAGACACTCCCCCCCCGAAAGAAGCGCGATTGGAAGCATACGTAAAACAAGAAGTAGAAAAGGCGATAAGACAAACGCAAATGCATTACCAATCGCAGCTAGACGAGGCACTCGAAGAAGTGAGCGTCTTGCAAAGAAAACTAAAGAAACAGATACCGCCACCTCCAGAAAAGGTGGAAAGAAGTAGAACGGCACTGGAGAAACCCGAGAACTTCTCCGGAGATAAGAAAAAGTACAGGGCCTTTAGAGAGTCCTTATTACTGCATTTCGAAGATGATGCGGTATATTTCAAAGATGATCGAAAGAAGATAAGCTTTGTGCTATCTTTTATGAAAGAAGGAGAAGCCGCGGCCTTCCGGACCGATTGGCTAGAGAACCGAGTCGATGCCCAACAGTTGGGGCTCGATATTACAAACACGTACGGAAGTTGGCCGTATTTTGCGGACAAAATGGAAGAAAGGTTCAAGGACAGTTTTGAAAAAGAAACTGCCAAGAACGAAATACTGACCCTGAGACAGGGCAATGAAACCGCCCAAGCCTTCTTTGAAAGGTTTGAGGAGAAGAAAAGATGGGCGGGATACACAAATAGAATAAATGAAGAGTTCCTAGTATCTTTACTCAGAAGGAATATGAACAAGCCGCTAGTAGATAGGGTGATCTACGGCGGGCACATTCCAAGAGATTACCAAGAATGGAAAAGGGAACTCATCAGAATAGACTATATTTGGAGAGAGAGAGAAAAAGAGAAAAAAGGTTCCGATATCGGGAAGAAACCCTATTCGGAACAAAAGAAAGAAGGAGAGAAGAAAAAGGACGGAACCGGGTATACCTATACCGGTAGCGGAGAAAGAATGGAGGTAGATAAAGCAAAGTTCCGCACGGAGGGACGATGCTACCGATGCGGAGAAAAGGGACATAGAAGCTTCGAGTGCAAAGACGCACAAAAAAGGAAGCCACAATTTAATGTCCGAGAGTTCTTAGAAAAGATGACGAAAGAGGAAAGGGAAAAACTCCTTGAGGGTTTTTAAAGAGGCCAGCGGTACCACATCGACCGACTGAGCCTAAAGACGTTTCGAATCAATTTTTTCCTTTGACTGTAGATACATATGACTCAGAATTGTTACGCTGCAGCTTTAGCGCGGATGACAATAAAACTATTTTTACTCAGACAAAGAAAGAAATCCGAAACGAAAAAGATGCAACTAGAGTAAAAGCGGCGCAGAGTGATAAGACATCCGCAGTTTCGACGGCGGGCGAATCACTAAAAAGCGCAGCATTTACGATAGAACCTAAGATTCCTACACCCGATGCGGCGAGCTCTACGGAGAAAAACGCAGCAGAGACTGTAGAAGAGAGGTCAGGAGCCCCTCTAAAAAAACCTAGAACGGAGGTCTGGACCCCAGAATGGGTAGTAGACAGGCTAAGAGACCAAAAGGAAGAAAGATCCATTGGGATTCTGAGTGCCTGGACACATAAAAAGAGAGCAAGAGAAGTAACCCGGGAAACAATAAAAGAAATCAACCGGTTACCAAAAGTAGAAGCTATACAAGCGATCATAGAAATTGCCTCCCCAAAAAAGTACATTAGGGGCACCCAAGGCAATCAAATGAACGTAAAATGTAAGCTTACTACATTAGATACTCTCCAATCAGAAACAGTCGAAGCACTATTGGACAGTGGATGTATGGGGAGTTGCATTGACTCCCAATTTGTGAAAGACAAAAGATATGAGACAAGGAAGATACCGAGACCTATTCCAGTCTATAATGCAGATGGAACTCTTAATAAAAACGGAGCCATCAATGAATTTGTAATACTGCTCATGGAAATCGACGGACACGTCGAGAAGATATATCTTGCCGTAACCAATCTAGGTAACGGAAAAATGTTTCTAGGACATGAATGGTTGAACAAACATAATCCTAAAATAGACTGGAAAGAATCAAAGTTGACCTTTGAAAGATGTCCTGAAGAATGCAGACCGAGAATCCGAGTCTCTGATCCAGAGGAGGATCCGGAAATATTCTTTGAGGAACTAAGAGAAGACGAGAGGATGATACAGGTGAATCTCCATAATTCCGAAGATGCCACGATCGACGATCAATATTACCATATCAGAGCCCAAGGCACAATGGCACAGAAGCTAGCAGAAGCCGCAGGCAAAGATCAAAAAGAAGGAGGATTCGAAAAGATAGTGCCAAAACACCTTCATCAATACAAAGACGTATTTGATAAAAAGGAGTTTGACACGTTACCTGAAAGAAGGCAATGGGATCACGCAATCGAACTGATACCGGGAGATCACTCCCTAGATTGCAAGATCTATCCATTGGCAAGAGGAGAGCAAGAAGAGCTAGATGCGTTCCTAAAAGAGAATCTAGAATTGGGACGAATAAGACCATCAAAATCCCCATTCGCATCACCATTCTTCTTCATTAAAAAGAAAGACGGGAAGTTGAGACCAGTTCAAGATTATAGGAAGCTAAACAATATCACTATAAAAAATAGATATCCACTTCCGTTGATCGGGGAACTAGTAGACAAATTGAGTGGAGCAAAATACTTCACAAAGTTGGATGTAAGATGGGGATATAGCAATATACGAATGAGGGAAGGAGACGAGCATAAGGCGGCGTTTAGGACAAACCGGGGATTATTCGAACCATTAGTCATGTTCTTCGGACTGACAAATTCCCCCGCCACGTTCCAAATGATGATGAACACGCTTTTCAAAGAGTTGATAGATGAAGGATTAGTAATCATATATCTAGATGATATCATGATATTCACAAAGGATATAGAAATGCACCGAGCAACGACGCGACGTGTGTTAGAAATCCTAAGAAAGAATCATCTCTATCTTAAACCAGAGAAATGCGATTTCGAACAGACAGAAGTAGAATACCTGGGACTGATCATCTCAGAGAATGAAATTCGCATGGATCCGGTAAAAGTAGAAGGAATTAGCAAATGGCCAGAATGCAAAAATAAAAAGGATATACAGGCATTCTTGGGATTTGTAAATTTCTATCGAAGATTCATAGAGGGCTTCGGGGAAGTAGCCAAACCATTGACCAAGTTAACGGGAAAAGAGGACTTCATTTGGGGAAATGAACAACAAGAAGCATTTAACACATTAAAACAACGTGTAGCTTCAGCCCCAGTGTTAGCTCTCCCAGTACCACATGGCCAATACAAAGTAGAAGCAGACAGTAGTGACTTCGCTATGGGTGCTGTCTTATCACAAAGACAAAAGGATGACTGGAAGCCAATTGCATACCTCTCCAAAGCGTTAAACCCCACAGAACGCAATTACGAGATCTATGACAAAGAACTTCTTGCCATCATGACGGCACTTAACGAATGGAGACATTACTTAATAGACGCAGAAGAGGAATTTGAGATATGGACAGATCATCAAAATCTGCTGTATTTCAAAGAACCAAAGAAGTTGAACAGGAGACAGGCGCGGTGGATGACGGAGTTGAGCCAGTATCATTTCACGATACATCATATGCCAGGAAGGAAGCATATAAAAGCAGATCTTCTCTCAAGGCGATCAGATCATAACAAAGGAGAAAACGACAACGAAGACGTCGTGCTACTGGATGAGAAACTATTTGTAAGAATGACTCTCTCCCCAGAACAAAGACAAAGGATCGCAGACAGTCAAGAGAAAGAATTGGAGATTTCAAAGTGGATTACAAAGAGAAAAGGAAATGTAGATGAGCTGATAAAAAAGATGAAAGGAAAGATAGAGAGGAGAGAGGATGGCTGGCTAGACGAAGACGGTTGCATAGTATTCAAAGGCAGGATCTATGTACCGAAAGATGCCGCATTAAGGGAAGAAATCATCCGACGAAACCACGACTCCGTCATTGCAGGTCATCCAGGAAGATATAAGACAAAAGAGCTAATCACTCAACAATACTGGTGGCCCTATATGGACAGAGATATCACGAGATACGTAGATGGATGCGAAGTCTGCCAAAGAACCAAGACAGACCATAAAAAGAAAGCAGCACCGCTCCATCCAAATGAAATCCCGGATAAACCGTGGCAGATCATATCGGTAGATCTGATCGGACCATTACCAGAATCAAATGGATATAACATGATAATGGTAATAGTAGATCGGTTCACAAAAATGATCAAGGTAATTCCCACGCAGATGGAAATCACATCGGAAGGAGTGGCACGATTATTTAGAGATCATGTATTCAGAAACCACGGCATACCCGAAAAGATCATCTCAGATCGAGGACCGCAGTTCGTTTCAAAATTCATGAAAGATCTACATACGCTTCTTCAGATAAAAGCAAACCCATCAACGGCTTGGCACCCACAAACGGATGGACAAACGGAGAGGATCAATCAAGAGATAGAGCAGTATCTCAGAATCTTCGTAAACCATAAACAAGATGATTGGGCAGAATGGCTTACCCTAGCAGAATTCTCTTACAATAACAAACAACATTCTGCAACGGGATATAGCCCGTTCTACTTGAATCATGGACATCATCCGAGAACACAGGAAGTAGTGAAAGTGGGGGTGAAGAACGAAAATGCGGAAGATTTCGTAAAAAGAATGACAGAAACGAGAAAGAAAGCAGAAGAGTCGCTGCAAAAGGCAGCTGAACAGATGAAGAGGCAGTACGATAAGAAGAAAAGAGAAGCAGTGGAATATAGAGTAGGAGATAAGGTGTATGTGGAAGCAACAAATATCTCAACGGATCGACCAGCTAAGAAACTGGACGATAAGAGACATGGCCCGTTCGAGATACTGGAAAAGATAGGCGAATCGGCCTATAAACTAGCATTACCACCGACATGGCAGCCCATTCATCCGGTCTTTAACGAGATAAAACTCACGCCGTACAAAGAACCACAGTTCCCTTCCCAACAGAAACCTAAACCGATACCGCCGGTAATAGTAGACGGACAAGAAGAATACGAAGTCGAAGAAGTTCTAGACTCACGACTAAAACGAGGGAAATTAGAATACTTAGTACATTGGAAGAACTATCCAAAAGAGGAACGCATGTGGGAACCCGAACAACACCTAAACAACTCACCTGACAAAGTAAAAACATTCCACGATAACAACCCCAGTGCACCCCGACGGATCCGATTTCAATTACATTTCCAACCCTTCAAAAATTTCACAATGACCAGAGTCCGAAAACAATTGTTTAATTGGGAAAACGGAAAGATGGACCCCTACTTTCAGGACGAAAGTCCTAAGGAGGGGGTAATGTCACGACTTGAACCAGAAGCGCTAGTCTGAGCGCTAGTTTCCTTTTTTCATTTTCTTTGATATCTGATCACATGACAGATAAGATATGTTAAGCTGCTGCTTTAGCGCGGATAACATAATATGTAGTTATATCAGATCACGTGGCCATCACGTGACCAAAGTCTAGAACCATTACAAAGAACATCAGTCAGCGCCTCATGGCTGACTTTCAGAAACATATATATAGTAGACCACCATGTACATACTTTCCTCAGTTGTTGATTAATTCTCAATCGCTATTTGTAACGCTACTTGTTTGATTTGAGCCTTCATCCCTCCGTTAACTCGGTATAGGGGATAAGGGTTTTACAGATGATTTATATCCATATTTGGGACATTCTTCTGGAACATTCCTTTGATGTATTGATGGGGAGGCTCCCACAGAGGCTCTCAAAGAGCATACAAAGAGGGTAACATTTTGGTGTATTATAGCAATGATCATAATAATATGGAGATACTCTCCACATATATTTATGTAAATCCTTGAAACAACAATTTGAGGACAAAAAATATATTGGGATTTTAGGGGGACCCTCTTCAGAGAGGGTGGTCTTTCAGATGGGTTATCGCTAACATAGAAACCCCATCTGTAAGACATGGGAGCCTCTTGAAAGTGCTGCCAAGGGTGGGCCAGATTCACAATTTTGGTTTTGAGCACAGAACCCTACAAAAATTACAATACAATATGACAAGATGGTGTAAGAGAGAAAAGCACAGATAGTGTTTGGATTAGTTACCAGACATCATGCATTACCTAGCCCAAAGACGACTATACACCAACAACATACATCCGCATCATCATACTTTCATTTACATAGCTACATAGCTCAACTGTGTGTGTAGTGTATTTACTAAGACTGCAAGGTAGCATATATCAATCTTGCTTTGATTCTTGCCTATACTTGCATCCTCGACTTGCCGGGGCCAACAACATATATATTTGTATATTTTAGTAGTCTACCTACTGTGGAGCAATGTGTTTAAAGTGTTTTGCATGCAAGATAAAGCAAGTCATATATGACTTCTAATGGGCTTCAATCCCAGAATAGGGTCTAATCATCACCACAGTTGCATTTGAAGTGCACCATATAGTGTAATTACTGCCAATTAGCAAGGCCTGAGTGGGGGATACCGCCTCCTGTTGGGTGCGGCCCTATATCCTCTTAACATAGCCCAGTCAAAAGATGTCTGGGCACAATAAGAACACGAAGTCACAAACCTGCCGCTATTGGATGATTCTTTAGTGGGTAATGGTTCTGGCAGCGGATTGGTGCTTTCAGTTGGTAAAGTTTGAGGAGGGATTTGACTGATATCCCCAGTTGAGATAGAAGTTGAAGGCTGTAAGCTTGAATTATTCGGACTGGTTCCACTTTGGTCATTTGGCCTAGCCATCTGATGTATTTTGGTTGGGAGTTCATTCAGGTCCCTAATAAACATCATTAGCTAGGACATCTACCAAGTCGAAACATAATAAATTGCCTCTCTGACCTCAAAGAGGGGTCCCGTGCCGCTGCCATAGTTGTGAGACGTTCTGCATTAGCTACGGGCCATTTTTGACGGGTCATATTGTTCCCAGGTTCAGCCGTATCCCTACAATTGGCGGTCATTCAGCTCAACTTATTTAGTAGCTCGCGCTTTACCAAGTAAACCAAGTAATATACCTCGACAATGCTATTCCTTTGGTTGAGCAGGGGAGGCTAGACATTTGACTACGCATCAGAAGCGTGTTCCTGACAATGCCAGGTTTGCTATCTGATCGATAAATCCTGCAAAGACCTAAATTTTGCAACTTGGTCACTCACGACGGCTCTTGGTGTGTCATAGGTTTTCCAGATCGCCCTGTGCTCGTCCTTTGAGTTTTGGAGATAGCAATTGATATATCTTGAATACGAGCACGCTACGTGATACGTACCTGTCATTGACATACAAAGCATCAGAGGCAGATTGTTTGGGGTCTCTGTTTGGCATATGAATTGGAGGCTGTAGGATCAGACTATTTGAAGTGTTGTTTTGCTTCCTCACGTATTGGGACCTGTTAAAGCATTGTGTAACATACTCAGTAACCTATAAGAGCATCACACAAACCTGTCATTGCCGGACAATGTTGACGATCTGGGCTGCAAGCTTGAACTTGAATAGGCCAGGGTGGTTGGATTACCCGAGAAATCACGACACTGAGTGATTTCAGTTTGAATATGCTCCTTTTTGTCCAGACCTCCTGGGCTGATTGAGACTTTATGGCGTTTGGCTGCTGCAATGAGACGCCTTTGTGCCAAATCCCTAATTGCTACTCAGCTTGGCTGGGGGATCTAGACGACTGAGAAGCTGCCATACCATTGAGTCAACGTGGCAGGAGAAGGAGCTACCGCTTTGGCTGGTATGGCACGACGTGCCCGTAGAGCTTGCGGTGGTCTGCGTTCATACCAGGGAGTTCCTTGGAATATGGCCAACCCGTTTGCGTCAACCTTCAATAAATGTGGCTCTTTTATTGGGCTTTCTTCTTCTGCTGCTTGCACACTGAATGCAACGAGGTTTGAAAAATGAGTACTAGAACTCATCTTTTTCTGACTCACCGTCGCTTAAGGGATCCTGGGCTGCAGATAGACGAAATAGATTATGATGCAAGTGAGTTCACCCTGACGGGCATACAATAGCTATACTCACACAAGCTCGTAACTGTCATTTTCAACTTGATTGTCTCTACTCCTATAACTTTGGTCAGCATATATAGGACATGAGAGCATTGCTACCATAGAGAATCTCACGAGCGGTCGGAATGCTCAATACTGGAGTAATGAATAAGACATAGGATGTACAAAATGCCATAACGATGTCTTACCCTTGTTGGACATCGTCGACATCTTTAACGCACTGTTTTGCATTCACAGACGCAAAGAGAGCAAGTTTTTCATCGGATCTCTCTAGTTCGCTGTCAGCGTAGGGAGACGTTGACGGTGGGATAGGAATGGGGGGCATGGCAGATATGGAATAGAGCATCAGTCAGTAGACGACGAATAAATATACTCACACAGGCAGTGTTAAAGTCAAGGAACAGTAACTATCCTGTGTTGATGGTGTGAGAACGGAGGGAAAGCATCAGGCCTCCAAGCTGAATTTGGAGTAAGTATCCTGTGCATTCAATTATGGGCCTGCCAACGCCTCCATCGGTCCATCACGGTATCCAACTTGAAAGGAGAGGCAGTGATGTAACGCGGATTTAAATTAACAGTCTATTGGATAATTCTGTTTTGCAGGCCATTGACTCTTATTACGACGACGTTGTGGTGACAGAAGAGTGATGTGCGCCAGCATGACCCCCTGCACTATAAAGACATCTATAGCAGTCTTTAAAACCAGCCAGACCATGCCTACCGAAGTATCCAGTCACGGTCTCAGCAGTAGTACAACAACAATCTTGCTCGAGTCATTGTGTACAGAAAGAGAATTTTGAAAGTGGACGGGAGTGATGGGGAGGAGGGTTGAGGGAAGTGAGGATGATGATGCCAATGAATGTACATGATGGAGAGATTGAGAAGGTCCATCTCGGACCCATTCGCTATTTTCCGGCGAGCAGAAAGAAACAGGGACGTAAATTAGAACTGTGGAGGAAAGATTTAGTAAGAGCAAGCTAAAATCTACTGATGCATAGACCGCGTCTTCTATGTATGCTAGGTTCATCTACTTAAGTACTGCAGTGATACAGTTGGATAAAGCTAGTTCCACATAAACTTCCGGTTTCAGTCTTAAAATAGGGCAGACTCACTATCACAGCCGCGCTCTGAGTGATCTATTTTATTTGGTCTATCGATTGAAATTAACAAGGCTTCAGCGAGGGATAACGCTTCTTCTTGGCCATAGTCCTATGTCTACTTTGTGTGGGGTCCCGTTAGTAAGCTCATGGGACCAGATATGGCAACACGAACCTGTTGCCATTGGATAATACTGGAGCTGGCAACTGCCCAATATTGGCAATTGGTAAGGCTTGAGGAGGAACTTGTTTGGTGTCTCCAGTCAAGATAGAAGTTGAAGGCTGTAGCCTTGAACCACTTGGACTCGGACCACCCTGGCTATTTGTCCTAGGCAGCTGAGGTGTGATGGTTTGCGCCCATTCATCTCGATCCCTATCGTAAGTTATTAGCTATGGAATTGATTTTAGCAAAATAAAAGCATAATCAAAGCTGATCTCCCAGAAGGGTCCGTTGCTACTGCTTTAGTCAATGCCGCCAGATACATACACATGCCTACAGAGGACTCGCATTCGCCTCTCGTAGTATCAGATTCGCTAGTCCATTCATTCTGATTATGTCGTGTTTTGTTCAGTCACCTACTTGGGTACCCATAAGAGTAGTGCACAAACCCGTCATTGGTGGATGACGTTGGATAATCAGGAAGTGAGCTAGTACTCGAGGGGCTCAGAGTGGCCATATCACGCTGAGCCATTCTAGTCTGAAGCTGCTCCAATTCATCCCTACTTAATCTCATCAACCTTGGCGGAGGTACCTCAGAGCAGAACAACCTACTGTATAGCCTGTGCGGCAGCATCATCAAGTGGTAGTCTGAGCGATGGGGCTGCCAAATATGAACTATATGTAAGATGAAGCATATATGGGAGAAAGATGAAACACATAATTTGATTTTACACTTCATGTACATGTACGAACCTTACGAGATTGGTATTTTCATGTGTTGTGATAGCCGTTGGGAAATTCGGGCTCTGACGGTTTGAAACGACCAGATCGTCCGAGCTAGGTAAGACATTGTGGTGTTTGACTGCGTGCTTGTGTGAGGTCCCTGTTTGTTTTCTTTCAGTTTGGCAGGAAGAACCAGCTAAAAAGTTGACATACCATTGCGTGGACGTGATTGAAGAAGCCACTGCTTTAGTTGCTCTTTTCCTGTCGCATAATGAGAATAGGATAGGATGGTAGTAGGAACGAGGCAGAAGAGTTACCGGGACCCCTTTGCTAATACAGTACTGGATGAGGTGGGTCGGTTTACTTGGTCTCACTGTGTGAGTTTTCCGTAGCTTGTTCACCCACGTCTCTAGGTTTACATCAGGTGTTTCAAGCCATGATCTTACATTTGGAGTTCTGAAAGGGAGGGGATTGGAGTTACGCAACAAATAAGAGGAAATATATTCTGGCAGTTGGCCTTACTCACTCTATTACCTGGTCGAGGTTGGCTTCATTGTATTCAGATTGATCATAGTCGTAAAATCCTTCTTCTTGAGACACCATCTCTGTCGATGTGGTGATTTGAGCTGAGAAACTGCCTCCTGATTGCGTCATGGAATCTTTTCTGGTGCCTTTTGATCCCCTCACTGTATCAAAGAGTTGTGGTTGTCTGCATCGAGATGTGTTAGAGACGACTGGAGCAGGACTGGTACAGCCTACCTGTCTACGCCATCCTCCCATTGATGCGTTTATTTCGTAAAAAAATGTATCCCACCACCACTAACATACTGTGCTTATGAAATAAAGGAGATCGAAAGAACACAGGCTGGCGACACAAACTGCCACTGGCAAATGAAGGTGAATGACATACGAGTCAGAGGGACAGGAGAATAAATAGAATCAGTGCGAGGCAGTGTTGATAGTTGACACGCACAGGATGTCCTATTTTGACAGTGTTAGAACAGAATAATCATGCTCGCTTTCAAATTGAACTTGGGTTGCCCTGCGCGCTCCTATCACTTGAGACGCAGCCAATATTAGCATGCTTATAGCGCGATGTCGGTCTATGATTATCCGTTACAACTTTGGTTTTCTGACCATAGACTGTTCAAGCAGATATCATAGTAGAACAAGAGCCAAATATACGAGTTTTCAACTTTACGCTGGCAGCGGGATACAATCGTCACGTGAGTCATGTTCACTGTCGCCTCTAAAGCCATCGTCGCTGGAGTTGAAATCAGTCGCACTGAACGTAGCGAAAAACAATAACTTTCAAGGTGACAATAACATACCAGTAGCAGCAACCTTGTTCAAACCCGAACCAACTACGAAGACCCATCAGAAGCCATCAATGTCTCACTCCGAATCTGGTAGGCTTGTGCCAGAGCAGCTCTAGCACATGTGTGGAATGGAAATGGCGGCGGTCAAAGCAACCGCTACAGGAACAGCCACCACAACCACAACAAAAACAGGAACAGAAACAAAAAGGGCGTGAGGCTTCTAAAAGCAAGGACACTCGTCCTATTTCTTCCACATAGCCCACAAATCCATCACCCTGGTAGCCTCAACGTCCAACCGTCAACATTTTCCCTCATCAAACGTTATCAGTGTATCAGGCCACCCTGTACCACGGTGCCACCCAAATTTCCTCTTAAACAACCCAATTTTAATATCTTCGGCTATCCACATCCTTCAAACCTATCGTTCTGACTGAACCAAAGTCTGTAAGCATGCCTAAATCAGCGCGCTCAAATGCAGCTTGTTCAGCTACCAACATCATGAGCTCCCCCGACATTCCTACTGAGCCGACCACGCAACCTTCCCCGTTCTCAGATGTGCCACCTCTCTTCGCCACTGCCTCACCGCTTCCCTCGACTCTCGAGTCCCAATTCACACTCCTCTATACCCAGCTACACGATTTCGGACGCACTCTCCACCAGCTCACCAGCTCCTATCCGCTCATAAAAGGGACCCCTAAGATGCAGAATCTCGCTGATCTTCTCGAACAACGGAGAGTCGAGGCGAGACAGCTCGTTGGGAATCTGCACGAGCGTATGAGGTGTGTACCGTCTTACATGTTTTGTAAACGGTATGTTGGACTAACCTACTCACTTTCGTTTTCTTGTGTCTATAGGGTCCCGTTCACGATAACAGAAAAAGTGGCGCCCCTCCGCAAGTCGAAATCCAAGTTCAAATCCAAATCTCGCTCCAATGTGGACTCGACGCCGTACCCCTCAGCAACCCTTCAAGCCCGCGCACACTCCACCGCCCCGCTCTTCCTCAAAGGCATCGTCCCTCAAACACGTTCCCAGACCGCTGCGTCCAGCCCTCTACACCCAGGCCTGCCCTATCAGCTCCACGTCACCCACAATCCCGAGGGCGACTACTCCGCTCTCGCCCTCCCATTCAAACTATCGTTCACGCCCGATCCGCACTGGGTGAACACGGATCCACTCACGGGACAATCGGTGCTTATCCCTGGGGTTGTCATTGGCGCGGAGGTTGACGAGGGTGATGGTAAAGGCCGTATCTGGGGCGCGTATAGGGAGCGAATTTGGAAGGGGGTCGGGAAGGAAGGGGAAGAGGGAGTGAGGGAAGTGAGAGTGCCCATGTCGATTGACGCAGATGAAGACGAGAGCGGAGAGGTAGGCGTGGAGGTAGAGAAAGTCCGCACCATTATTGCGCCGTCGCCGTATGACCCGCTCGCTGCTCCGCAGACTGCAAAAGAGCAGGAAGCGGAGAAAGGAGATAGTGCCAGCCAGTCAAAGCCTGCCGACGCTCAAGCCACGTCCTCTATTAGTATGCCCACATCGCCGCCGCCGACAGATGCGCCTCATTCTGACAATCATCATCACGATCACAGCGAATTTACTGCGCAACTAGATACAGGCGAGATTACTGCGGCAGTGGTGGAAAATGCAAACAACGGAGAGACGGATAAAAACCCACATTCAAAAAAGCTGAAATCAAAACTGTCTCGGGAATCTGGGGACTCAAGTTCCGTGCGGACGAAAAAGAGGAAGAGGGATGCAATCGAGAACCAAGAGACAGAAGAGGTCAATGAAAATAATAAGAATGCTGATCAGGAGTCTGTATCAGCAAAACGTAGACGGAGTAAGCGGGCCAAGGTATAGAAGCTCCTATGCGATTTGCTGAGGATGAAGTGTAGTTATATATTTTTATATCAGGATACCTGTACAATACTTCAAATTATCGTACACTGAGACTATAGGATTAGAGTGAGTATGGTATGTTGTATCGAATAAAAGTGGGCACATTGGACTATCAGATAAATAAATGAGTCAGCTGTCTCAGGTCCCCGATTAAGTCTCCATATGTATATACATACCTTTACAACCTCGTTAATACCTCCATGATGTTTCGCCAGATAAATCATGTCGACAGCAATTCGGAGACCTCTGTATGGCCTTTAGCAACTGAGAATGAGAGTGGGGTTTGACCATTTCGATCCTTCAGGTTAGCATCCACCCCTTCCCTTGCCAATAACAGTTTTACGATATCCAAGTGCCCATATTCCGCTGCAAAGGAAAGTGGTGTCCGACCAATATTGTTCACCAAGTTGACCTGCACCGTATCTCTCGCCAGTAGTAGCTTAACGACCTCGCCCTTCCCGAATTGAACCGCGACCGAGAGTGGTGTCCCACCCATCTTGGTTTTCGAATTGAGATTCACTCTAGGATTTGCAAGTAGTACTTTCACAACCCCCACATGTCCGTTTTGAGCTGCGAACGAGAGTGGGGCCCAACCCTTATTATTTACCAGGTTGACATCCACGTCATCCCTTGTCAATAACAGTTTCGTAGCCTGCACATGTCCATTTTGAGCTGCGAACGAGATCGGAGTCCGACCGTCTCCATTCACCAGGTTGACATCAAGATCATGTCTCGATAGTAGTACTTTAACGATATCTTCATATCCCTTTGCAGCTGCATTTGAGAGTGGTGTATAACCCGCAGTGCTTTTAGAATTGACATCAACTTCTGGCCTTGTCAGCAAGAGCCTGACGGCCTCGACATGTCTGCCTACGACTGCTTCGGAGAGTGGCGTGACACCCTTCTTATTTCTTTGGTTGAGATCCACATCGTCCCTCGCCAATATTACTTTCATAACCCCTGCATGTCCATTTTGCGCTGCACAGGCTAGTGGTGCTTGACCATCATCCGTTGCCAAGTTAACATTGAGATCACGCCTTGTCAAAAGTAGTTTAGCGATATTTTCGTGTCCTTTGAAAGCGGCATTCGTGAGTGGCGTAAAACCCAGGTTGCTCTTGGAGTTGACATTGACCTCTGGTCTTGTCAGCAAGAGCCTGACGGCCTCGATATGTCCGCCTATGACTGCTTCGGAGAGTGGTGTGACACCCTTCTTATTTCTTTGGTTGAGATCCACACCGTCCCTCGCCAACATTACTTTCATAACCCCTGCATGTCCATTTTGCGCTGCACAGGCTAGTGGTGCTTGACCATCATCCGTTGCCAAGTTAACATTGAGATCACGCCTTGTTAATAGTAGTTTAGCGACGTTTTCGCGTCCCTTGAAAGCAGCATTCGTGAGTGGCGTAAAACCCAGGTTGCTCTTGGAGTTGACATTGACCTCTGGTCTTGTCAGCAAGAGCTTGACGGCCTCGATATGCCCGCCTACGACTGCTTCGGAGAGTGCGGTGACACCCTTCTTATTTCTCGAGTTGACATTCACATCGTCCCTCGCCAACAATACTTCCATTACCCCCACATGTCCATTTTGAGCCGCACACGCCAGTGGTGCTTGACCATCCTCCGTCGCTAAGCTGGCATCGATGTCATGCCTTGACAATAACAGCTTGACGATGTCTGTATGCCCCTTTAGAGCTGCGTTCGTGAGTGGCGTAAAACCCAATTTGCTCGTCGAGTTGACATTAACTTCTGGTCTTGCCAACAACAACTTCGCCGCATCGGTATATCCACCTACAACAGCTTCAGAGAGAGGCGTGATACCTTTCTTATTCCTCGGGTTTAGGTCTACATCGTCCCTCAACAACAACAACCTCATAACCCCTACATGTCCCTTTTGCGCCGCACATGCTAGCGGTGCTTGGCCGTACTGCGTCATCAACCCGGCATCAATATCATGCCTTGACAGCAATAGCTTGACGATATCTTCATACCCCTTTAGCGCTGCGTTCGTGAGTGGCGTAAAACCTAGGTTGCTCTTGGAGTTGACATCAACCTCTGGTCTCGACAGCAACAGTTTCACTGCCTTGGTATGTCCACCTACGATTGCATTGGAAAGTGGTGTGACGCCTTTGTTATTTCTTGAATTGAGATTTATATCATCCCTCGCCAAGAATGCTTTCAAAATCCCTGCATGTCCGTACTGGGCTGCGCAAGCCAGTGGTGCTTGACCATCCTCCGTTACCAACCTGACATTGATATCATGCCTTGTCAGCAATAGCTTGACCACATTTTCACGTCCCTTTAGAGCTGCAATCGAGAGTGGTGTATAACCCAACTGGCTTTGGTAATTGACATTGACCTTTGGCTTTGCTAGTAACAGTCTCATAACATCGACGTGGCCGTTTTGAGCTGCACGAAAGAGCGGCGTCCAACCGTCTTCATTTACCGAATCAGCATCCACTTCATGTCTTTCCAGCAGGAGTTTTACGATATCCACCTGTCCGTTCGAAGCTGCACATGAAAGTGGTGCGACACCTTCTTTGTCTTTGAAATTGACATCGATATTGGGGGTTGCCAGTAACAGTTCCACAATTGTGGCATGGTCGCATTGAGCCGCACAGAACAGGGGTGTCCAGCCATCTTTATTCGCTGAATTCACGTCCACACCTTCCCTGGCCAACAACAGTTTCACAATCTCGGCATGTCCCTGTGAAGCTGCATACGACAGCGGCGACCATCCATCTTCATTTGTTGAGTTGATATCCATGTCAGGTATCTCCAACTCGAGTAATAGTTTTACGGCCTCTACGTTTTCATGTTGAGCTGCTTCCAAGAGCGTTGTTATACTTGGCCCAACTCCCAGCTGCTTCGCCAACAGAAGTTTGGTAACCTCCGTGTGTTTGTTATGAACTGAAATGGAGAGAGATGTCCCACCGCTTTTATTCACCGAGCTAAGATCCAAATCATGCCTCTTCATGAATAGTTTGACGATCTCTTCATGCCCCTGTTGCGCCGCGAACATGAGTGGTACCCATCCACGCTCGTCTTTTGAATTAATATCTACGTCATTCCGTTCCAGCAACACTTTGACAACCTCTACCTGTCCTTCTGCAGCAGCAACCGAGAGCGGTGTCATACCCTGTCTGGTTTTTGAGTTGACATGGTCACCAATAGCGCAGTTTTCTAGCTGATAAACGATGGTTTGTGCTAAACCAAAGAACGCACATAAGTGGAGAGTGGAACCCCCGCCGTACTTGGAAGAGTAATCGCCCGCATGGTTCAGAGCCATGTTTACACTCTCCTCACAATTGAGAAATTCATATATCGCGTCCTTGTTCGTCTTCTCGGAATCTCCACGTGCATGATGTCCCCAATATTGTGCAGCGTAATTAGTTAAGTCTCCACTCCAGCCCTGGGTTTGTATGCCAGCTAGGAATGGCGGTGAGAGAGCTTTAAGGCAGATAGAAGTGAGTTTCGCATGGGAATTTGGGTATAGCCATTCTTGGTATCCGACGAAGTATTCCTGGACTGTGCAGTCTTGTAGAAGCAACGAGTTAGTACAGCGTGCGTATGAACCGAAACCCACGTTGCTTACGAAAAAAGCGAAACACAGAATCTTGTGCATCGACCTTGACCAGGCCAACGCAAGCATCTACTATGATGGCCTCATCCACGAGGTCATCGTCACTGATTTCAAGTCCTCTAATTAAAGCTAGAATATACTGAAGCCCCCTGATGCTCAATGGTCTGTAGGCATACGTGATCACCATAATGGCATTCAAAGCGATTTCCCGAAGACCCTCGCGTAATCCACAGATCCTCTTTACAGTTTCCTTATACGCAGTGTCCACACCCTTTGGTAGATCCTTGAGGGCGGTTCGAACATCTCCACGAGTAGGTTTGATTGCTAGTGACTCCATAAATAGACAACACAGTAGAAACCTTGAACGGTAAATTAGTTTAAATTCCCTAGGAGAAAACAGAAATAACTCACATTCCCTTTGCATATGCTATGACACATCCAATAATTTCTTCTCTTAGAGTGGAGTCCCCGGCAATGTGCACGTGTAATGATGTCCCTGGACGAATGCAGCCTTCAATGTACATTCGCATATCATCATCGTGTGCATGAATATCCATGCGGTGAACGTCATGAAGAGCTCTCCCAATTGAGTCCATATCTCTCGAAGTTACTAGTAGATTGCATCCCAGGGATTGAAGCAAAGTGAGTAGGTCAAGGTGACTGCCATCATCCTTTGCGATTTCGTCCAAAGCGTCAACGACAATAAAAACTTGAGAGAATGTCTTTATTTCAGCTAATAATGTACTGTGAACATCTTCCAGAGTCGGACTGAGTCTTTGTTCTTGACGAGACTCATACTGGCTTTGGACGCGGTGGAAAGTAGGTGGAAAATCTTGGACGAGTTGTTTCAAAAGACTAGCAACAAGATGAGAAACTGATTGTTGCGCTTGCTCCTTGTAGTTGCAATATATGAAGAGCACCGCAACATCGTGGCTTCTGTGATGCTTGATGAGATGATCGATGATGAATGATCTATAAGGAACAAAGCATTTTCAAGGTGTATTTCTGACCTTTGTCTCGAAGCACTTACGAGAGGACTGTTTTCCCGACACCAGCTGCCCGCCTAACAATGAGCAACATGGACGCTGATGATAAGCCACTCTACTTACGAATGCCAGGGCACCATAGGGTTTTTACCTCTCCACATTGCCAATCTTTGAATTTCGGATCATTGAGTGCCCATTCTGAAGTCCCCTCGCGCCGCAAACCGTAGATGTCGCTCTGTGTTTGACGGAAATTGAGAGGAGACAGCCAATCTGCGAGCGCTTGCCTTTCGTGCGCTATACGTTCGAATATGTGAGAGGCATGGATAAGTGAAAAAATATAGAACATACTGTGTGATTGATTGAAATATTGGTTGATTGTTGTGTTATCGCCTTCTAGTTTATTGGTGAGTTGGGTGCCATGAACCTCATTAAAAGTGCTGTTGCGAGCATCCACCTCTCGAGCCTGCGCCACCGAATCCCTGACCGTGACATAGACATCCAGAGCCGATTCAGACATCGAGGATACTCCCACGTGTATCCAATTTCAAGTTCAAGCTTTCAAGACTCGAAGAGCAACTTGAGGTATCGACAGATCAATTGATAGACGAGCTCCAGAATTTTGTTTGGCAGGCTGCATGCGTGACGCACGCCAAAACTTGAATCACTCAGTGAGCTGTATCAGAGGAGTCACGGTAGAGTCGTACTACAGCAGCTCAGACTTGCGGATGAAGCTTCGATGTACACCGATGCGATGGGCAAAGATATGTTAAAGCGTACAGCCCGAGGGACTGGATTTAAAAGGAAGTGAGCACACCTCGTGATTCAAGTTAATTCCTGTTCCTCAGCGCTTCTTCTAGCTCCCAGGCCAAGGCTTGCATACTTCTATGCCGAAAATCATTCTGCAATTATATTTGTCAGTGGCGATGGTCGTTATGGCTCAGCGCTCAAAGCTTGACCTGAGCATTCAAATCAAAACGTACGTATCGCACTGGCAGAGGTGATTGACATGTCCTTCAAACCCAGCTTCGGAATTTGTGTGTCACGGTTCTTTTGAGTTGTTGGTTGTTGCGAAGCTCTCCGTAGTTCCATTGGCCTAAAAATCACAAAATCACATTCTATCTCATACCCTTATCTCGCAAAGACAGGTGTAAATTTTGCTTGTTGAGTATATGAAATCTTACTCACGCGATCAACAAATCATAGTTTTCAATGGGATCCTCATGATCGGACTTGTATTAAACATCAATAGTACAACTGCCTTTGACAATACGAAGAAGCCACTCGTAATGCGCTGAGCTCTATAATCTTCTCACACCACCCCGCTCTGCGCTCAATCCAGTACTAGGAGAGACAAGTAAGGTGCCGACATCAAAGGGATATCAAGCCACCAGATTATGAATGGTCACCTGGTAGATGACCTCATTGCTTATCTTTGGGTTGCGAGTGTTTATATAGTTCAGCTTCGTATTAATTCGTGAAGGCGCAGCTCACTCCTTACTCCAGTACTCATGTTCGAAGTGCAGAATACACGGTCCGTGGCCCTTGTCTTATCGCTTTTTGCTATATTTGGCATCGCAAAATATCTGGTACGAAAGGCTTCGAATAAGAATGGCCATTTGCGATTTCCTCCCGGCCCCCCACGACTCCCCATAGTTGGCAACGCACTTGAAGCCACCAACTCTGACAAGCCATGGGTTACTTATAAGAAATGGGCAGATGTTTATGGTATCGATCTCATTTCTAACACGAGACTTACTTCACAGTTATAAATCCGGTCTTCCAGGTGATATCATATATTGCCGAATGCTCAACCAAGATGTTATCATTATCAACTCAGAAAAAGTAGCAAAAGACCTCCTAGAAAAGCGTTCGTCCAACTATTCAGACAGACCTTTCCTGAACACCACAGAAATGTCCGGACTTTCCAACTATATATATATATATATACTTCGGATTTACGTGAGTGTCTTTCACAGATTTGGATTCATGTTCAATGTCCTATTCTTGCGGTACGGCGACAAGTGGAGACAACACAGACGATTACTCCACGACAAACTACGTACAGCTACTGCCCTTTCCTACCGCCCTTCACAAATGCATAAAACACACCAACTTCTCATTGACATGCTTGAGACTCCTGAAAATTTTGCCTATCACTTACAGGCGTAAGCTTTTAGCGCTTGTATACACCAGGGTTCATATAGCTAACGATCTCTGTAAATACTGTCAGGATGATGATCTCCACTATAATGTGTCTCACGTATGGTTATGAAACTGCGCGTTGGCGTGACCCGCTTGTTGCAACTATCGAGGAAGCCATCGGAAACGCTCATGAAGTCACAACACCCGAGGCATCAGCTGTTCTTGACGCTTTACCATTATGTAAGTTTCCTAAAAATTGAGACATACTCTGGTTTTGGTACTAATAATGTTTCTCTATGGTAGTGTTACATATCCCCTCCTGGTTTCCTGGTGCAGGTTTCAAACGCCGAGCGCGCAGAAGCCGTGAGATGTTCTCGGATATGGTTGAGAAACCATTTCAATATACAAAATCACATATGGTATGATTCAGCTATCTTGTAACTATTCCCGTCTGAAAAGTTCGTAGTATTCCGACAAGGCTGTGAAATGCATAGTTTCTGACCTTTTGGCCACCATCAAGGACGAAGATAATCACGATGAATTTGAGAAAGTCATTAAAAGTGTCGCTTCCACCCTAGTTGTTGGTGAGAACATTGTACTTGTATAGGTTTTATATCGATCGTTGCAACTGATATGCCTTCAGGAGGATCAGAAACTGTTAGTAATCTTATATTGTCTTCACTCTGTGTTTTGAAGATAGATTCAACAGACCATGTCCACTCTTTTGGATTTTGTGCTTGCCATGATATTATTCCCGGACGTCCAAAAACGGGCTCAAACCGAAATAGATTCGGTAGTGGGCAGTGATAGGCTACCTAACTTTGATGATCGATCTTCCTTGCCTTATGTGGAGGCCGTGCTTCGCGAGTCTCACAGATGGCATCCTGTTGCACCTTTAGGTGAGCATTATCTTGAATCAAGAACTGGCAGAGTTGCCTGAGGTTCTCGCAAGGTGTTGCGCATGCCGCAGTGGATGATGATATTTATGAGGGATATCGGATACCAAAAGGTCTAGCTGCTCATCTGTGACTTGCAAAAAATTGGCTTATTTCTCATGATTTACTTGTAGGAGCGACAGTGGTTCCAAATGTTTGGCCAGTCATCTCTCCTCCCACTATATTCATGTCACTTATTATATTACAGGGCAATGTCACAAAATGAGGCCAAGTATCCAAATCCCTCGGAATTCATGCCAGAGAGGTTTTTTACAGCTGATGGAAAGCTCAATGACGATATGATCCATTATGCGTTTGGATTTGGTCGGCGTGCTTGCCCTGGCCAGCATGTAGCTAACGCAGGAGTCTGGGCAGCCATCGTGTCTTTGCTAGCTATCTTCAAGTTTACAAAAGCAAAGGATGATCAGGGGAAGGGGATTGGTATCGAACCCCAGTGGACAACTGGCATAGCAATGTGAGTCCTCACCACTAAAATTGTAAAGTGAATGCACTCATCAAGGGCCGCTGTGGTTTTCTTGTCAGTCATCCCCGTGCATTTCCATGTCACATTGAACCACGGTCACCAGATATAACCTTCGAAAAGCTGCATCAGATGATCAGTCATTTTACTTAGACATCTTGATCATCTCGTGCTTGGTCAGTGTTCTCGTTATGCAGCCAGCTTCTATGTAGCATATAACAGTGCAGCCCCGTTGAGTGCTTGTCACTGATCTTAACCCTAACTTTCGATCTCGCCACGTTTCGTCCATTAGGACCAAACACGGCGGAACTACCTAAACGTTACTGTCAACGTGTCTGATACAAATTGCCGCTACGGCGACATAGCTTTGTACTGCAAAACAAAACCAACCCCTCTGACTTATTATATGCATCTCTTTCCATTCCAACGTCGTCGTTGTTCCAACCACTGGTACCGCTACATGTCATCTGTTATCACTGTCGGTTAGACATATATTCATTAACACATACCATGTCCATTGAGTAATAAATGATCGTGCTACTTTTGAATAGATCGACTTGATCGATCACCTTTCCGTTCAAGTCTTGATTGCTGTTGATCACGCGTCATATACTCATGTCCCTACTAGTAGATGTACATCAACACCAGACCCATATCATCCCTGCTTTTACCGCAAAACCCGTACTAAAAGTCTACATGCACCATACCGTTCCTCAAAAGCATCGTCTTTTGAATACGCTCGCAAGCACTCATTGCTACACCCAATTTCACATCAGACAATCATGAAACCAAACACTGTACTCTGGCCCTCTGGTTCACACTGCATTGTCATTCACCCCTAACCCCTAAGTACTGGGTAAATATGGATCCGTTCTTAAGACCAATAGTATGGGGGGGGAGGGGGGCGTATAGGGAACAAGCTTCAAAGCGGGCCGGAAAGGAGAAGCAAGAGGTGACAGGCTGGAAGGAGTGATAGTGGATGAAATCGAGTCGTTATAAGCCACAGCCGTGATATAGAATCAAGCATGGTGCTTTGTATCGAATAAAAGCGAGTTATCAATATCTGAAAACCGCTGCCAAGAAAGATGCGAGTTAGCTTGAATACCTGATTTATATGCATGTAACATCTTACCAAGGCCCAATAATTAGATATGTTACATCATGCCGACAATAGTTTGGAGATCTCTGAATGACCCTTTGCCATGGAGAAGGAGAGAGCTGTCCGACCATTTATGTCCTTCAAGGTGGTATCCACGCCGCGCTTTTCCAGTATTAATTTCACAATATTCAAGTGACCCGTTTCTGCTGCGAAGGAAAGCGGCGTCCGACCACTATTATCTGCTAAGTTGACTTGCACGTCATGATTCGCCAATAGCAGTTTAACGGCCTCCGCATTTCCCTTTAAAGCTGCGGATGAGAGTGCTGTCTTCCCAGATTTGGTCACTGAGTTGACATCTACATCATCCCTGGTCGTCAACAACAGGTCAACGATATTTGTATGCCCCTCTTGGATTGCAAGCATGAGCGCGTTCCGACCATCCCTATCTTTCGAGTTGATATTGACATCATGCCTTTTTATAATAAGTTTCACAACCTCAACATGTCCCAATGAGGCCGCGGACATGAGAGGTGTCGTCTGCCCACCGTTGGTCACCGAGTTGACATCTATGCCACGCCACGCCAACAGCAACTTGACAACCTCTTTGCGTCCATCTCGAGCTGCGCACATGAGCGGGGTCCAACCATGGTCGTCTTTTTTGTTGATATCCACATTATTCCTCACTAACAATGCCTTGGCAACATCAACATGTCCCATTGAAGCCGCGAGCGAGAGTGGTGACCGGCCAGATTTGGTTACTAAGCTAACATCTATATCTTGCCTCGTCAACAGCAGCTGAACAATCTCTTTGCGTCCATCGCGAGCTGCACACATGAGCGGGGTCCAACGATCGTTGTCTTTTGCGTTGATATCCATATCATACCTCGCTAACAATGCTTTCACAATGCTAAGATGCTTCATTGAAGACGCGAGCGAGAATGGCGTTTGGCCAGCTTTATTTGCCATATTGACATCTACATCTTGTCTCTCCAACAACAGCTTGACAACCTCCTTGTGCCCGTCTCGAGCAGCGCACATGAGTGGGGTCCAGCCAGCGTTGTCTTTTGTATTGATATCGATGTCGGGCTTCGCTAATAACATCTCCATGACCTCGATGTTTCCCTTTGAAGCTGCAGACGAGAATGCCGTATGTCCGGATTTGGTTGCCGAGTTAACATCTACATCATCCCTAGCCACCAGCAACTCCACGATGTCCTTATGCCCATCCCGAATTGCAATCATGAGTGGGTTTTGACCTTCCCTATCTTTCGAGTTGATATCGACATCCTGCCTTGCGATCAAGAGTTTCGCGACATCAACATGTCCCATAGAGGTCGCAGACATGAGGGGCGTCATTTGCCCAGCTTTGGTTACGGAGTTGACATCTACATCTCGCCTCATCAACAACAGCTTGACAACCTCTTTGTGTCCATCTCGAGCTGCGCCCATGAGTGGGGTCCAACCACGACCATCTTTTGCATTGATATCTGCATGGTGCCTGGCCAACAACATCTCCACGGCCTTGATATGTCCCCTAGAAGCTGCGAGCAAGAGTGGTGTTTGGCCAGCTTTATTTGCGAAGTTGACATCTACATCTTGTCTCTCCAACAACAGTTCAATAATTCCTTTGTGCCCATCTTGAGCTGCGCACAAAAGCGGGGTCCAACCATTGTTGTCTTTTGTATTGATATCGACATTGTGCCTCGCTAGCAACTTCTTTGCGACCTCGGTGTGTCCCTTTGAAGCTGCAAACGCGAGCGCTGTCTGCCCAGATATGGTTACCGAGTTGACATCTACATCATCCTTAGCCAACAGCAACTCCACGATGGCCTTATGCCCATCTTGAACTGCAATTATGAGTGGGGTTCGACCGTCCCTATCTTTTGAGTTGAGCTTGACATCCTGCTTTGCTATCAGGAGTTTTACGACATCAACATGTCCCATAGAGGCCGCAGACATGAGAGGTGTCATCTGCCTAGCCTTGGTAACCGAGTTCACATCTACATCCAGCCTCATTAACAACAGCTTCACAACCTCTTTGTGTCCATCTCGAGCCGCGCCCATGAGTGGGGTCCAACCACGATCGTCTTTTGCATCGACATCTACATTGTGGCTGGCCAACAACATCTCCACAGCCTTTACATGCCCTCTAGAAGCTGCGAGTGAGAGTGCTGTCAGGCCAGATTTGGTTACCAAGTTGACGTCTACATCATGCCTCGCCAGTAACAGCTCAATAACTTCTTTGTACCCGTCTTGAGCTGCCCACATGAGCGGAGTCCAACGATTGCTGTCCTTTGCATTGATATCCACATCGGGCCTGGCCAATAACGTCTTCACAACGTCAATATGTCTTTTTGAAGCCGCGAGCGAGAATGGCGTCTGGCCGTCTTTATTCACCAAGTTGACTTTGATGTCGTGCCTTGCCAGCAACAGCTCAACCATGCTTTTATGTCCACCCTTGGCTGCAAACATGAGCGTGGTCCAACCATCCCTATCTTGCAAGTTGATATCCACATCACACATCGCTAGCAGATGTTTCACGACCTCGATATGTCCCATTGAAGCTGCAGACATGAGTGGAGTCGTCCGGCTAGCTTTTGTTTCCGAGTTGACATTTATACCGTGTTTTGCTAACAACAACTTTACAACCTCGTTGTGTCCACCCCGAGTTGCGCCCATGAGTGGAGTCCTCCCATGGGTATCTTTCATGTTGATGTCCACCTCTCGCATCTTTAAGAGCTGCTTTACGACCTCAATATGACCTGCTGAAGCTGCAAGTGATAGTGATGTCCGACCACCATCATCTTTCGTGTCGATATCCACGCCATGCCTTGTTTCCAACAATTGCTTCACGACCTCGACCCTTCCCATGAAAGCTGCGGCTGAGAGCAAGGTCTGACCACCCCCGTGTTTCAGATTAACGTCCACATCATTTCTCGTCAACAAGAGACTAACAATCTCTCCATGCCCATGGTGAACTGCGATTAGGAGTGACGTGTTACTCCTTTGAACTCGATCTGAGTAAGGCCAGGCCAACAGACTTTTCACGGCTTCAGTATACCCTTTTTCAGCTGCATACATGAGAGGAGTCCATTTGTTTTTATCTGCCGAATTGACGTCGATATCATGCCTCTCCAACAACTGTTTGAAGACCTCTATATGCTCGTTTTGAGTGGCGAATGTGAGGGAGGTCCGACCAAACTCGTCTATCGAGTTAACGTCCACTTCAGGCCTCGCCAGCAGCAACTTAACGACCTCTACGTGTCCCTTTGCAGCAGCAAGCAACAGAGGTGTCATGCCCCGTTTTGTGCACGAGTTGACATTCATGACATCTCGCCTGTCCGCAATATTGCCGTCGTCCAATTGATCAACGATAGTTCGTGCCAGACCAAAATTTGCGCATAAATGTAGGGTGGAACCGCCATCGAACTTGGAAGAGTCATCGCTCAAGTATTTCAGAGCTATATCAACTTTCTCCTTGGAATGAAGAAAATCACGTATCATTACGTTGTTCTTCTCGACGGGTCCGCAAGCATGATACCCCCAATGTTGTGCAGCATAGCGAATTAAAGTCTCACTCCAGCCATGGGTGCGAGGATTTTTTGACAACAAAGCTGAGATAACGTTTAGGCAAACGGTTGTAAGTTCCGCATGGGGGTCTGGGGAAAGCCACCCTGTGTATCCGACGAAATATTCTTGGGTAGTGTAGTCTTGTAAAAAGTAATCAATTAGTACAGCTTTTATATGAACTTAAAAAGTCATGCTACTTACGAAAAAAACGAAATACGCGTTGTGCATCGACCAAAAGTAAACCACTACAGGCATCTACTATGATTGCTTCATCCACGACATCGTCGTCGCTGATTTCCAGCCCTTTAGTCAATAAAGCTAGAGCATATTGAAGCTCCTTGACAGTCAAAGGTCGGAGAGCATAAGTGACCAACATGATGGCATTCAAAGCGATTTTCTGAAGACCCTTGTCTAGTCCACAGATTCGGTCCACCGTTTCCTTGTAAGCACTTTTGACACCCTTCGGTAAATCCTTGAGGGCAATCCGAACATCTCCACGAGTAGCCTTGAGTGCCAACGATACCATGAATAGACGACAGAGGAGAAACCTTGAAATGTAAATTAATTTGGGCTTGTCAGGAAAGGTACCTATAAACCACTTACATCCCTCCTGCGTACTTTATGACACATAGAATGATTTCTTCTCTCAAAGTGGGGTCTCCAGAGACCACTACATGTAATGGTATGCCTGGAAGGATGCAGCCTTCAATATACTTGCGCATGTCATCCTGTTGAGCATGAATGTACATGCGGTGGTCGTTGTCAATGGTGTTCGCAATCGACTTTATATAGCGTGAAGTTACCAGGAGATTGCTTCCCAAAGATCTGAGCTTGCTGAGCAGCTCAAATTGACTGCCATTATAATTTGCAACCTCGTCCAAAGCGTCAACGACAATGAAGACGCGAGAAAATGTATTTATTTCATCTTTTAGCGCATTGTGAATTTTGCGTAGGGCTGGAGTGAGTTTTTGCTCTTGATCAGATCGATGTCGCTCCTGGACGCGTTGGAATGTAAGTGGAAAATCTTGAACAAGTTGTTTAAGCAGGCCCGCTATGAGATTGGAGACTGTTTGTTCCGCTTGTTCCTTGTAGTTGCAATAAATGAATAGAACGGGGACTTGGACATCGTGGTTTTTGTGATGCTCAATAAGATGATTGATGATATATGATCTATAGAGCACAAATGATTTTTAAAGTGGGTTTCAGGCGTTTGTCGAAGCGCTTACGCAAGGACCGTTTTCCCAACACCGGCTTTCGGGCTCAAAGTCAGAGATATAAACCCTGATGACGATGATAAATACTTACGACTCCCAGGGCACCACAGGATTTCTTCCTTTTCACTTCGCCACTTTTTGAATTTTTCGTCTTCGAGTACCCACTTTCCAGTCGACTCTCGTCTACTACCATAGACGTTGTTCTGCGTTTGACGGAAATTGAGAGGAGATAGCCAATCTGCGAGTGCTTGCCTTTCTGGAGCTGTATATGGGAATATGTGAGATCCGAAAGAAGTGAGAACCAAGAGGCATACTGTTTGACTGGTTGAAATACTGCTTAATGGTCGTGTGCCCGCCTTGAAACTTGTTATTGACTTGTACACCGTGACCGTGAACTTCATTAAATGTGCCGTAGCGAGCATCCATATCTCGAGACCGTGCCAGCGACTCCTTGACCTTGGCATTGACATCAAGATCCGACATTGAGAATATGAAGAAGAATCCCTGTGGAGGACACTACAACTCAAAGCTTTTGCTTTTGCTTCATTAAGGGATGGAAAGAACGAAAGTGTCTGTAGACGCGCTGCAGGACCCAGTGCAACCCAGCGTCTATCAACATATCACCCTGAGCGCCGTATTGTTCTCACCATGGAATAATATGTATATACGGCTTTACAAATGTCCCAGGTCACTCCTCTGATCGATATCGACTGGGTGTTTGAGTCCTGGAAAGATGAATGTTGCTGACGATGGTCTCTGGATGGGACGAAGAGCAGACAGACACGACTTGCAGAAGAGAAATTGTGGGAATATTTCCAGATAGCGATAAGATGACGCCCAACGTAAGATAATTATCCCTTATCGTACAAAAGCCATGGGTCCATTTGTTGTCCCGGTCTTGACATATCTCGATCGTCCGATCACTGATCGCCCCATCACGTGTCGATCACGCATCATACGCCTCCACGTGCACGCCAACGCCCATCTCCTCTGCCCGCTTCACCACAAGACACGCGATTGCCACATCCTGCAGACCCACGCCTACAGACTTGAAGATCGTCACGTCGCCTTTGCTCCTTACATCCACACATTTCTTCAGCTTTTCTGCCTCCCCATCTCCTACATTTATCGCCACGATCTCACCAATTTCTACCATACTCTCCTCCCCAAGCCCAGCGCCTATGAGCTCGCCCGCCTCCACCAAACACGCCTCGCGTGAATCTACAACGACCACGCCCGCCCTCTTCACCAAGGCGTCGTCGATCTCGCGCATCGTTGGCTTGAAGCTACCGACGAGATTCAGGTGCGTGCCGGGCGAGACCCAGGAGGAGGGGAAGAGAGGTGATGTGGACGGTGTAGCGGTGCAGATAATGTGAGCAGCGCGGACGAGCGATTCAAGGTCGAGGTGGTCGCCCGAGTTGGTGCTCACGTTAGAATCCGGGTTATCGGCGGGAGTGGGCGTGGAAGCGAGGACATTGAAAGTGATTAGGGGGTGACGCGCATGGAGGATGTTGAGGAGTGCGAGGACGCGGTCATTGACGGATCTGTTGACGAGAGTGATGGTGTTTAGAGAGGGAAAGGCGCGGAGGTGGAGGTCGACATGAGCTTCGATCTGTTTTCCTGCGCCAAATGCGACGAGGGTGGTGGGTGTCTTTGAGAGGAGCAGGCGCGAAGCGAGGACAGAGCCTGGAGACGAATGGACGCGTTTGTTGACCATTTAGTAAGCAAAGTAGATAAAGCTCACCTGCAGCGTTCCTTGTGGCGGTGAGGCTTCTCGCATTCACGATCGCCTTCACCGCACCTGTGTCATCGTCGATCACGAGCGTCGAAGCAGGAAGGCCGCGAATATCTGTGGGGGAAGAGGGGACCGAGACTGCTTTTATGGCAGTACCAATGCCAAGGGCGGTGGAGGGCATGAATAGGGCCGTGTGGTTTGGGAGCGACAGTGCGGATCTATGGGGTGCTTGGAACGAGGAACGAGAGGAGAGACGGGCGAAGACGGAAGTCATAAGTGAATCAAGATCGGGCGGGAAAAGCTGCGAAGAGATAGCACTGACATCCGCAGAAGATAGGACGAGGAGAGATCCAGGCTGCGATTGGGAGCGTGGAGAGATAGACGCAAGGGGCTGAGGTCGGGGTTGATCAAGCCAAGGCACGTATTGTTGTATTAATGTGACGATCTCAGTGCCAAACCTATCCGCGTCGCTCCATCCCGTTTCTTTCTTCAGCTCGTCGACAGATCTGATGCTGTAGTGCTGCGCACCATCGACGATGCGGTCCAGGACGGCGAGAGGCATAGAAGAACCTGGTCCGTGATCTCTGAGATGTGCCATACCATAAATTTCAGCTGTCTTTGCCTCTCTCCAGTCTTCAAGGACCTCGCAGAGTGCAGATTCAGAGTCATTTGAAGCCATGTTCGAAATTATTGAGGTGTTGATGCTCCAAAATGATAGCGATGGGGTTCACAAATATGATGTTTGATTATAAGAATGAAAGGAGTGTGAGTGATGAGCACTGCATGATGAGCGCTGGCCCGGCAAAGTCCGATATCACTATCACTGCGGTGGTCCTCAAACTTTCCTCCCCTGTGATACATACCTGCTGTACTCACAGCGCCAGCCCACTAGGGATTACGGAGTATATGTTCAACGATTCGGATACGATTGCGGTATTGGACGAGCGGATAGTAAGCCAACTCCACAAAGACCAAAGAGTATTTAGTTGGCCAGCGTGCTTTATGAGACACTAATTGTTGTATAATATACATGCGTCTTTGAGAGAGAAAATGAGAATTGAACGAAACACCACAAATTAGATTTGATATCAAGCAAGAAGACTGATCATTTCATTCAGTTTTGCGATGGTCATGCCTTGCAACCGTGGCTCAATGCGACACGGAAACGCGCGCGGACGACTGACGACAAAACAACGACAGTCTTTAATGAGCGCAATGTACGCGCAATGTATGCAGCAAGGACTCACATCGCTGCTCCAGGTGTCCATTGTGGCTCGATATTGATCTCATTCCCTTGATTATCAGTTGCTTTGGTAAATTTGAACACAGGAGACTATGGCTATCCAGACGGCTGCATTAGCTACGTGTTGGCCAGCACAAACACGTCGGCCGAATCCAAAAATATATGAAGTGGCGTCGACGTTGAGCTTGCCATCAGGTTTAAAAAAGCGTTCTGGTACAAATTCTGAGGCATTCGGGTACTGCGCCTCGTTTCGTGACATTGCCCTGCGAAGCGACGTTCACTGAGCGAGGATAATAGTGAGGTATAGGGCACAACTAACCATACATTTGGAATCACTGTCGCTCCTTCAAATAAGTATATTAGACAAACCTTTTTTCACACGTCACAGATGGGATGCTGGACCTTTTGGTATGTGAAATCCCTCATAGATATCATCATCTACTACAGCGTGTGCAACACCTTACAACAAGTTTTATTAAGTATTTTCAGTTTCCAGCTACAGCAATACTCACCCATTGGAAAGACAGGATGCCATCTGTGCGACTCGCGAAGCACAGCTTCCACATAGGGCAAGGCACAACGATCATTGTGACAAAACCGGATAAACCCGGTCTCTGCTGAAGCAGCCATTGTTCTCCATGGAGCATAGCCACCACTCCATGGAGTAACCATTGTTCTCCTAGGAGCACAATTGTACTCCTAGGAGTCATTATACTGTAGCGAGTAGCACCTCCGACTATAAGTAGTAGGGGGTTTAGTATAGGAATACCTCAGTCGTTTCTATAGCCTCTCGGGCAGCGGCTGAGTTTCACCTAGTTTTATTAGGTTATGAGCCCTGGTGCGTAAAAGCTACGCAGAAAATAATTCTCATTTGAAACGGCAACCTCGGAACCATGACCACAGCACACGATACGTCCGCATGTCCAGTTCTCACTGGACCCAACAATTTTCAGATATGGAAACTCTGGATCATCTCAAAGCTACGTCGGGAAAAAGTTCTCCGGGTTGTTACTGGAGAGGAGCTTAAGCCCTCACCAGGAAAACCTACCTCCTCGGAGGATCCTGAGATCACCTGGATACTTAAGGATGAGAAGGCACATGGAATCATCCAGGACCACATCTCTGATGCCCTCCTAATGAGGACTGGAGACCTCACCATCTCCAAGGAGTTATTTGATAAACTTGTCTCACTCCATCAAACGTCGAACATTGCCTCGGCCTTCTATTCATTCCAGCAACTCACCAAATTGTCCTGGGATGGGACATCACCTATCCAGGACCACATTGCGAAAATCCGGACAATTGATTCACACCTCTCCGGAATGAAACTAGGAGTTGATACCAAACTCATGGCTTTCGCTCTTCTCCAATCTCTCCCATGCACTCCTGAATGGCAAATATTTTAGTCATCAGTAATCAACACAATGTCGATGATGAGAACTGGTGTTAGAAAACCACACAAAAAACAAACTAACACACAATCCTCCCAGATTCCACGGAACTTGTTTATGAGCTTTGCCTCCTAGAACAGTGGGTGCTCTGGTTGTTCGTGGGGTGGTATGTATAAGGGTCCTTCAAAGTAAAACCCAGAGGTGTATGAGTGTGGGTTTTGAGGAGGAGGGATGGTTGAATTTATAGAAGATAGGTGCTTAGTGACGAGTATAGATGAGCACTACCTTGCTAATGGTAGCACAAGGTAGGTTCGAGAACGACGAGGATGACGAGGTGACGAGGTTCCCAGTGATAGCAGGCTCCTGACGCACAAACTGTAGTGCTCAGAAGGACTCTAATCGAAAGGGATAACAATGACTTCAAAAGTGGGAAGTGACGATGACAGCAGTTGACAGTGGTAGAAGTGGGAAGTGTTGTGACCACACTGGATCACAAGCAGCAGAGTAGTGAGCTTGAAATTAGAGAAGAAGTCTGGATTGGAGTTCTTGTTTTTTTTACAAGGTAAAATACAGGGGTTTATATAGTAAAAGAAAAGTAGGCTATGCACAGTATAGCTGTGCAAAAAGAATGAGAAAGAACATGAAGGAAGGAATGTATGCTGACGAATCCTGCATAGGTAGTACAGGATAAGATTGTCAAAAAAAGGAAAAGAAAGAGATAGAACAATGAATGCTGTGAGTAATGTCACAGGTTTGTATAGCCATAAAGTAAAGTCCAATAGCAAAAAGAAAGCAGGAAAATCATGATGTCATGGGAAGATGCAGTAAAAAAAGGCAAGGCAAAACACTATCAGTATCAACACAGTTCCTTTATTGTCAGTCAGGCATTCTAAAAAATATGTGTCCATAAAAATGATTCAAAAATCAAAAATAATTGCACTGTATATGAATGTTCTGCTGAAGAAAAAGAAACTGGAGCCACCGGTCCACCACCTAGTCCAAATCCGACAGTTCCATGGCCTTACCAATGGACTGGTTGTGTTTGACCACCTGATCAAACGAGGGAGGGAGAGGAGTAGTTCCAATTTGGAACAAGTGAGTCCCAGGCAGCGTGTGGTAGGTGTAGCTGTAGCGAAGACGATGGACAAAAGATAAGTGTACCCAAGTGAATGGGACAGCGGTGAACATGGGCGACGCAAGGGGTTGAACCTTCTCCAGCTCAGAAACTACCCACCCACGCTCCAACCAGGCAAGACGAGCGACCGATGTTTTGATAGTATATGATGGCAGATCGACGTCATGAAGATGGACCTGTTGCCCTATTTGGACCGGCTGCCGGGGCTTTGCTGATATCAGCAGTGGCACGTGGTAGTCAACGGATTGGCGACGGAAGCGGATAGGAAGTGGTGACATCAAAAATGGTGGGGGTGCAAATAAAATGAGGAGGAGGAGGGTGGAGGTGACGGAAAAGTGGATTAGAATGGGGATCCAGAAACGACCGTCAGGTGAGAATAAAAAGGAGAGGAAGGGGCCCATGGTGGGGCTAGGCAAAGGAAGGGGAGTAAGGGAAACGACAAAAGCGAGGGCGCAATGCAATGTGTAGCCAGTGGCGACATGAAAATTTGCCAAAATGCCGAAACACAGAAAGTACCGGATGGAAAAGCAAAGGTGAGCATGACTGGATTGCCTAATAGACGTGATGCTGATCAGCCACAAGTTCGAAAAAGGCAATATTAATTACTATTCCACATGGCACTGTGCCTGTGTGGCGCAAAGGCAAGTCTTTTGAATATTCGCTTCATTATTGACACCTGTCCATGCTACCAATCAACTTTGGTGCATGACAACGATTGAAGAAATTAAACTTCCCTTTGATGCAGTTGAGATCCGGATTACTGCAGAAATTGCACGACAGTCAGGGAAGGCCCCTGGAGGTTCCGAATCAGCACTCAAATCCGAGAAGAAATGGTGTAACTTCCACAAAGCCAAATCACACAACACCTCAGAGTGTCGAACACTTCAGTCAGCTGAAAAAGGTCAAAGGAAGAAGGAAAAAGAAAGACACAAGGATAAAGGAAAAGAGAAGGAAAAGGCAAATACAGCGGAGCAATCATCTGGATCTGACTCCAAGGAGGAATAAAGTCATATTGCATTGGAACATGTACATATTTCCAAGCCCCTTGCTAAATGCATTCAAGCTTACCTTGTGTCGGAACCCGATAAGACCAAAACAACAATTATTATTGACTCTGGAGCAACATCCCACATGGTCCCTCACCGCTCCTGGTTTGAGCCAGGAACATACCATGTTCTGCATCCTCCGAGGACAATCAGTTTTGGGGATGAATCCTCTGTAAATGCTATTGGAATTGGAACAGTAATCCTACAAGCAACCATTGGCAAAAAGGACTACAATATTGCACTGTCAAATGTCTTACTTGTGCCAAACTTTACTTTAGCACTCGTCTCTGTCCACAAATTGTCCAAAACGGGGTTATCAACACTTTTTCCAGCAGGGTCAAATGCTTGTGAAGTTCGGAAAAAGGAGGAACTTACCCTCACTGCGTTACACAAGCGAGGACTTTATCACATCCAAGCAAAACCTGAAATCAACCCGGAGTCAGCTTTTGCAGCAGTAGATGTAAATTTATTGCACAGGAGAATGGGACACATTGGAATGGACCACTTGCAACGAATGGTTACAAAAGGACAGCTCCAGGACATAGACACCCTTACCGGAACCCCGGAGTTTTGTGAACCTTGTGCTTTAGGAAAAATGAAGAAATTACCTTTCAAGTCCACTGGAGGAAACCGAGCCAAGCGCCCCATACAAATTGTGCACACAGATGTTGGAGGACCAATCAAACCAACTTCCAGGGAGGGTTTTTGGTACTGGATTATCATTGTAGATGATTTCTCCAAATTTCCATGGATATATTTCCTAAAACATAAAAGTGAAGCACTGGAACAATACAAGCAATGGAAAGAAGATGTCCAAACATTCTTCCGGACTCATTTGGGAGAAAAAAACTTCACTCCACTATACACAGAATTCCTCCGGAGCAATGGGGGAGGAGAATATACTGGCAATGCATTCAAAAATCAACTCCGAGGAGATGGTGTCATCCAAGAAACTACAGCTGCGGATACTCCGGAACAAAATGGCATTGCAGAACGCATGAATCAGACATTGGCTACATTAGCAACCACTATGCTCCATGATTCCAAGCTTCCAAAGTCATTTTGGGTAGATGCCATGCAAATAGCTGCATATATCACAGCACGCAGCCCAGCATCAGGACTACATGGAAAGACCCCATATGAAATACTGTTTAAAAGGAGAGTTGATCCAACTTTGTTTTGCCCTTTTGGATGCCAAGCATATGCCTTGATTCCGAAAGACAAAAGGCAAGGGAAGTTTTACTCCAAGGGGCGCAAAGCCATAATGATTGGCTACACACATAGAAAGCAAGCCTACAAACTCCTAGACACTGAAAAACGGACTGTGTTTTCCAGTTGGCATGTCATATTCAATGAATCCGGAAAGGTACAAAAGGATGACACTGCTCCCTGGAACACAGACACTAGCACAGATCAGTGGGAGGGACTTATTCCAGAGAATGCTCACTATCCAGACCAAAAAACATTGGAGGAGGATGATCCTGACCCTTGGATCCGAGATCCAAATGAATTGCAAATGGAACCATATCAGCATGAAGATGTTCCGAGAGCAGTGGGGCAATACCTCCGTGGAGACGTTCCGAGAGCAGTGGGAGCACCTGATCAGCTAAGACACCCTCCACAACAGTCTCTACAACCAAGACCTGAACACTGGCCATCTTCAGAACAGAAAGCCAAAGTAGAGTTACATGATAAAATTGGATATTGACCAGACCAGGGATTGAACCTGGAACCTTCTGGATACATGCCAGCTGCTCTACCAATTGAGCTATATGGCCAAGGTTATACAATGTAGGATTTTAAACATGACATGCAACCACGGACGTCTTACACAGAATAGCTGCTGCATACTGGATTGGCTTACAAATCAGAGGTATTATCCTATGGAGTATTGGTATGTCAGAGTATATTCTAACATTACAGTCAGTGGGAGGACAGCCCCTCAACATACAGCCAACTGATGTGGAAAGTGTCCGAATACAGCTAGACAGCCTGTCCATTGGATCAGCTTCTGGAAGGCATACAACACCTCCGAGGAGTCATCCAACACCTCCAAGGAGTCATCCAACGCCTCCGAGGAGTGATTCAACACCTTCAGGAGTGAATGGGGCAATAAATACACAAATGCGTCTACTCCCTGGAGTACCTGCACAAGTTCCTAAAAGAGCAGTCATGCCTGCTGAAGTCCTAGGAGTACGCAGAAGCAGTCGCCAGACCCGTCCTGCAGACAAAAACTGAGATTATCAAAGGACTCTAGATGAGGAACAGTCTCGAAAAGACCAGCATGACAACTCCATGGAGAAACCTAACACTCCTGAGGTTCATGAAGAAACATCTGATACAGAGGAGATATTCTTTGCTGGAATAGCAAGTACCGGTCCATCTAACACAGACCTTCCAAGGACACTAAAGGAAGCCTTGTCACGTCCGGATGGAGAATTATGGAAGTCTGCCTTGGAGGAGGAACTCCTAAGTCTCAATACTAATGCAGTATATGACACTGTTCCACTTCCGAAGGGAGTAAAACCCATCACATCAAAACCTGTGTTCTGGATCAAGTTTGATCAAAACGGAAACATTGAGAGATACAAACTCCGGATTGTTGCACAAGGTTTTACTCAAAAGTAGGGGATTGATTACCAGGAGGTTTTTGCTCTGGTTGCAAACTTAGAGTCAATCCGAATTATTCTAGCCCTGGCAGCAAAGTACAACCTAGAACTTGATCAAATGGACGTATCCACAGCTTATCTCAATGGAGAACTTGAAAAAGAACTGTACATGCTTCCTCCAGGGGGTGTTCCTATCCAACCTGGATACTGCTGGAGATTGAAGAAATCCATCTACGGGTTAAAACAAGCTGGTCATACATGGAACAAAACTTTTGATCACAAGCTATAGGAGCTTGGTTTCACAAGACTAAATGCAGAAACATGTCTCTATGTATTCCAGGACAACAAACAAATATGCTTTGTTGGTGTCTATGTAGATGACCTCCTCCTAGGAGCTTCATCCCGAAAATTCATGGATATCACAAAAGCCAAACTCGAATCCATATTCAAAATGCGGGACCTTGGAGAAGCAAAATACATCCTTGGAATAGAAATCCAACATGATCGTTCAAACAAACAATATCCCTATTGCAAAGCCAATACATTGACACAGTCCTGGAGCGTACTGGAATGAAGAACTGCAAACCAGTATGGACACCAATGGCCCATGGATCAAAACTCCTTGCAAATGCTCCAGGGGAAGATATTGTGCAACACGATGTCGATGATGAGAACTGCAGTTAGTAAACCACACACAAAACAAACTAACACACAATCCTCCCAGATTCCACGGAACTTGTTTATGGGCTTTGCCTTCTAGAACAGTGGAGTGGTCTGGTTGTTCGTGGGGTGGTACGTATAAAGATCCTTCAAAGTAAAACCCAGAGGTGTATGAGTGTGGGTTTTGAGGAGGAGGGATAGTTGATTTTATAGAAGGATAGGGGCTTTGTGACGAGTATAGACGAGCACTACCTTGCTAATCGTAGCACAAGGTAGGTTTGAGAACGACAATATGACAAGGTTCCCAGTGATAGCAGGCTCCTGACGCACAAACTGTAGTGCTCAGAAGGACTCTAATCGAAGGGGATGACAATGACTTTCAAAAAGTGACGAGTGACGATGACAGCAGTTAACAGTGGTAGAAGTGGGAAGTGTTGTGACCACACTGGATCACAAGTAGTAGAGTAGTGAACTTGAGAGTAGAGAAGAAGTCTGGATTGGATTACTTGTTCTTTTTTTTACAAGGTAAAATACAGGGGTTTATATAGTAAAAGAAAAGTAGGCTATGCACAGTATAGCTGTGCAAAAAAGAATGAGAAAGAACATGAAGGAAGGAATGTATGCTGACGAATCCTGCGTAGGTAGTACAGGATAAGATTGTCAAAAAAAGGAAAAGAAAGAGATAGAACAATGAATGCTGTGAGTAATGTCACAGGTTTGTACAGCCATAAAGTAAAGTCCAATAGCAAAAAGAGAGCAGGAAAATCATGATGTCATGGGAAGATGCAGTAAAAAAAGGGCAAGGCAAAACACTATCAGTATCAACACAGTTCCTTTATTGTCAGTCAGGCATTCTAAAAAAATATGTGTCCATAAAAATCATTCAAAAATCAAAAATAATCGCACTGTAAATGAATGTTCTGCTGAAGAAAAAGAAACTGGAGCCACTGGTCCACCACCTAGTCCAAATCCGACAGTTCCATGGCCTTACCAATGGACTGGTTGTGTTGGACCACCTGATCAAACGAGGGAGGGAGAGGAGTAGTTCCAATTTGGAACAAGTGAGTCCCAGGCAGCGTGTGGTAGGTGTAGCTGTAGCGAAGACGATGGACAAAAGATAAGTGTACCCAAGTGAATGGGACAGCGATGAACATGGGCGACGCAAGGGGATGAACCTTCTCCAGCTCAAAAATTACCCACCCACGCTCCAACCAGGCAAGACGAGCGACCGATGTTTTGATAGTATATGATGGTAGATCGACGTCATAAAGATGGACCTGTTGCCCTATTTGAACCGGCCGCCGGGGCTTTGCTGATATCAGCAGTGGCACATGGTAGTCAACGGATCGGTGACGGAAGCGGATAGGAAGTGGTGACATCAGAAATGGTGGGGGTGCAAATAAAATGAGGAGGAGGAGGGTGGAGGTGACGGAAAAGTGGATTAGAATGGGGATCCAGAAACGACCGTCAGGTGAGAATAAAAAGGAGAGGAAGGGGCCCATGGTGGGGCTAGGCAAAGGAAGGGGAGTAAGGGAAACGACAAAAGCGAGGGCGCAATGCAATGTGTAGCCAGTGGCGACATGAAAATTTGCCAAAATGCCGAAACACAGAAAGTACCGGATGGAAAAGCAAAGGTGAGCGTGACTGGATTGCCTAATAGAGGTGGTGCTGATCAGCCACAAGTTCGAAAAGGGCAATATTAATTACTATTCCACGTGGCACTGTGCCTGTGTGGCGCAAAGGCGAGTCTTTTGAATATTCGCTTCATTATTGACACCTGTCCATGCTACCAATCAACTTTGGTGCATGACAACGAGATGCATATTGAAGGGCGTCAAGTGTCATACCTCTCAATTGTAGGCTCCCTCATGTATGCCATGCTTGGAACCCGCCCAGACATTGCCTACATTGTTGGAACACTAAGCAGGCATAGCTCAGCTCCAAGGAGCCATCACTGGGAAGCTGCAAAATGTGTCCTCCGATATCTGAAAGCAACCAGGGACATAGAACTACAATATGATGGCACAGATGTCTCCATGGACATGGATTTCTATGGATATTCAGATGCAGATTGGTCTGGAGACCCAGACACGTCTTGATCAACATCAGGGTTTGTCTTTATCACCATCCGAGGAGCAATCTCCTGGACAAGCAAAAGACAAAGCATGGTAGCTTTATCCTCCAAGGAGTCAGAGTACATTGGATTGAGCAATGCTGGACAACACCTTGCATGGCTTCGGACATTTTTTGAAGAAATTGGACATGCTCAAAATAGACCTACAACATTGCACTGTGACAATCAAGCAGCTATCATTCTTACACGAGATCCACAGTTCCATTCTCGCACAAAACACATTCAACGGAAATATCATTTTATCCGAGATGACTTAGTATCAAAGGGAGAGGCAGTAATCAGATATGGTCCTACAGGAGATATGGTTGCAGACATTCTCACTAAACCCCTCACTCATGAAAAACACTAGAAATTCTCTAAAGCTATGGGACTACAGTTGCACTCGAGTGGGAGTGACAAAACTGGATAAACCCGGTCTCTGCCGAAGCAGCCATTGTTCTCCATGGAGCATAGCCACCACTCCATGGAGTAACCATTGTTCTCCTAAGAGCACAATTGTACTCCTAGGAGTCATTATACTGTAGCGAGTGGCACCTCCGACTATAAGTAGTAGGGGGTTTAGTATAGGAATACCTCAGTCGTTTCTATAGCCTCTCGGGCAGCGGCTGAGTTTCACTTAGTTTTATTAGATATAACCCCTATTCCAAAACAAATCTATTTACTGCCCTACTTGCTATTTCTCAGGCTAATTTATGTAAAGCATGTGGAGCTAACATACTAACTACTATTCTCGTTGAATATAGGATCAATTCACATTAGGAAGAAATTGTAAAATCCAATGTTATGTTTTTTTGACATATAAACATATGTTTGTTTTCCGATTTCTGGGGGAGAATTAGCTCATGGAGGCTTGCTGTAGTGATGGAAATTGTTCCCAAGCATCAACAGGCTTGATTGATTGGACACCATGGTCAGCAGGATATATCTGAGAGATCTCACAGTATGTTTGCAATTATGCATAAATTGACATCTGACCTAGAATTAGACATACAGATGCTCTGGGAGCCTTGGTCTTTCAGATGGGTTATTACTAACGTAGAAACCCCATCTATAAGACCTGGGAGCCTCTTGAAAGTGCTGCCAAGGGTGCTGGTCTCAGGTGAAATTCTTATTTTACTACTTTTATCAGTTATCATCACTCGGTATAGGTCTCACAGTGGTGTGATGGTCCGTCACATTGCATCATGCCTGATAAGTTCATTCCCGATTTTCCTGAAATACACTAATTGTTGTATAATACACATATACGACTTGGAGAGAAAACTGAGGGAATTGAACGAAACACCACAGTTTAGACTTGATAGCAAGCCAGAAGACTGATCATTTGATTCAGTTTTGCGATAGTCATGCCTGGCAACCGTGGCTCAATGCGACACGGAAACGCGCGCGGACGACTGACGATAAAACAACGGCAGTTTTTAATGAGTGCGATGTATGTGCGATGTATGCAGCAAGAGCTCACATAGCTAAACCAGGTGTCCATTGTGGCTCAATAGTGATCTCCTTCCCTTGATTGTCAGTCGCCTTGGTAAATTTGAATACAGCCAGCAAGGAGACTATGGCTATCCATACTGCTGCATTAGCTACGTGTTGGCCAGCGCAAACACGTCGGCCGAATCCAAAAACATAAGAAATGGCGTCGTCATTGAGCTTGCCATCAGACTTAAAAAAGCGCTCCGGTACGAATTCTGAGGCATTGGGGTACTTGGCCTCATTTCGTGACATTGCCCTATAAAGCGACATTCACTGAGCGAGGATATTAGAGAGGTATAGGGTGCAACTAACCACACATTTGGAACCACTGTCGCTCCTACAAATGAACGATCTGAGATAAGTCTATTAATGATTGGTCACAAATGGAATACTGCACCTTTTGGTATGTATAATTCCTCATAGATATCATCATCTACTGCAGCGTGTGCAATACCTTACAACAAGCTTTATTAAGTTATTTCATTTTCCAAAATTACAACAATACTCACCCAATGGCAGGACGGGATACCATCTATGCGACTCGCGAAGCACGGCTTCCACATAGGGCAAGGCGTCACGATCATTGAAATTAGGCAGCCTATCATTTCCCACAATGGATTCTATCTCGGCATGAGCCCGTTCTTGAACATGTGGGAACAGCACCATAGCAAGTACAAAATTCAGAAGGGTAGATGTTGTCTGTTGGTTATGCTGTTAAAGACATGGAGCAAAGCAAGCTTGGGATTACCAACAGTCTCTGCTGCTCCTAAAGGCATGTTAGTCACAGCAAGAAACTAACATTTTACTCTCACCAGCAACTGAAGTGGAAGCAACACTTTTGATGACTTTCTCTAGCTCATCATAATTCTCTTCATCCTTGACTCGAACCAGCAAATCAGTGACAATGCAAGCCGAAGCATTTCCGGAATCCTGTGGCCTTCTCAGATAAATAGAGTGAGAGATCAGGATCATACCACAAGTGCCTTCGTATATTGAAACGGCTTCTCAACCATTTCAGCAAACATCTCATAACACTCATGTGCCCTCCGCTTGATACCTGCGCCAGGAAACCACGAAGGAAGATAAAGGACTAGAATATTTTTTTGACATCAGATTCCGTAAATGATCGTTAGGAGAACTCACGAAAGGGAAAAGCAGAAAGAATAGCCGATGTTTCGAGTGACGCAACTTGAACACCTTGCACAAGGGCATGTTCGATGGTTGCAACAAGTGTATCATGCCAACGCTCTGTTTCATAGCCGTACACAATTGACATGATGGCCGAGGTAGCCATCCTGGGATCCAGGCACCATAAAACATATAAGATAAGTAGAATCTGATTATCTAGTGAGTGTGAAATGCTTACGTTTGTATGTGGTGTGCAAACTCGTCGGGCATTTCGAATATATCAAGAAGAAGTTGGTGTGTTTTATGCAATTGGGTGGGGCGGTAAGAAAGTGCAGCAGCTGGCCTCAGTTTTTCCTGGAGTAATCGTCTGTGTTGTCTCCATGTGGAACCATAGCGCAAAAACCCGAAATTGAACGTCCAACCAAATCTGTGCAGGAAAACCTGCTCGTTATAATTGATTCAGATATATGTAGGTGTAAAAAACAAACATGTCTGTGGTAATGAGGAATGGCCGGTCCGAATAGTTGGACGAACGCTTATCCAAGAGATCTCTTGCTACTTTCTCTGAATTGATAACGATAACTTCCTGGCTAAGAAGACGACAATACATGATTTCACCTTCAAACATGAATCAGCCCGTGTATGGACACAGCAATATAATTGAGATTAATACCATGGGTGTCTCCCCACTTCTTATAAGTAATCCATGGCGTGTCAGTGTTTACAACTTCAAGGGCGTTTCCCAGTAAAGGCAGCGGTGGAGGACCGGGAGGATATGGCAGGCGGCCCTTCTGTGAAGCCTTTCGCACCACATGTCTTGCAATACCAAACAAAACAGCGAGCGATAAGGCAAGGGTAACAGATTAGATACTCTGTAGCTCAACCATGAGTGCTTGACTGAGGATCCGGGAGAGTCACACCTTTACAAACCGAGTGAAGGGCATATATATATACTTATGACCTAAAGTGTGAACTTGTAACCTCAAGATAAGCAGAGAGGTCAGCTGAGCTCGTCATTAAGTTAGCGCACTGTCAGCTTCCGGTGTTATCTGAAAAGTTGTGCGGTCTTTACAATGTTTTCCGAAACTGTGGGTATGCGGCGGCCTTATATGCATGAGGTCCCAAATCTTGATTGCTGCTTTCCTGATGTATTCAAAGCCGCAACACCTATTGAAAATGCATTGTCCGTGTAGCATGGCATTGACATGAGAGACGCTAACGGGATCCTCTATAGACAACGGTGGTGCCTCGTAAGACTCACCGAAGCTTCCTTTGCTTATAATGGTAGAGTCATGATGCCAGTCAGCTATCTGTGAACAATGAAGGAGCCATTTTCGTCCTTTGTCGATCTGATATGCGGATCTGTACGTCTTCGATACAGCTATGGGGAAATTTTAGGCCGCTTTCCACTCACATCCTCTATTTAGGCTCGGAGCTCTGAGTTTTGAGCGATCCGTACAAACACCAGCTTGAGCCAAGTGATACCCAAATGAGTTCTGAATTAAGAATTGTAGCAAACTGGCTCGATGTGAGCTGGGTGAGTAGAGCATTCGCGTGGGATTGGGATTACATCTTGCTAGCGCTGTTTGCTTGCGATATAGCCAGTCAGGGTGTTGTTTTGAACGTAAGTGCTGGAGTAACTTGAAAGTATATAAAAGTAAAGTTTTCCGTTTTTGGCGTGTGTTAACTTAGTAATAATGTTTGTGAATCAAAGTTTGTGAGTGCCGCTGGGACTGAAATCATGGAACTCACACTCTGTTTTCTTAGGACATGGTCTTTATCCCCGACGCTTATCCAGAAACTCAGGAATAACAACTTTATTTGCTATCTGGAACTATACCACGTTTGACGACAGTCCATAGTCACAATCCAGGTCACAATAGCTGTTTATGAGCGTTCATGTCGTCCCGGAAACGAAAAAACAGAGACCACCAAAGAACTTACTACGAGCCACCCTCCCATGATAAGGATGTAGTCCCTGACCCCGCCTTGATCATCCAGGCCCACGAAGGAGATGTCGTACGAGGACCACAGGCTCGTCTTGCTGCTCTTTCTCTCGAGGTTGGCCCAGGGCATGTCGGAAGCGCTCTGATCAAGTGGGGTGCGCATGACGATCCAACATACTTCAGGAGGGAACAGTCACCTTCAGATATCGAGCGCGATGAAGATCAGCGAGAGTCCATCTGGGTGGATAGGTACGTGGACATTTCAAATCGAATAAATAGTCCGCATACACCCAGCAAATCATAACAACGAATCCCTGGTATTCAATGAGGACTCGCGCACGCTCTTGCGTCGCATTTTCCCCTCTTATCAGTTATGTACCCAAGCCGTCTGGCTATCCAGACTTATCAATCAATATATACGTGGCAAATATCTTTTCTCGATGTTTCTTGACTCGTGGATACCACCGTCCTTACTTAACTTATCTACAGATACGACGCTCGGCTTTTACTTGACGATCTTCCCGAGCCCAGCCTATCCGCCCAAGTACGATCACATTCTCCTAGCGGTTGGTCGGATCTCCCATCAGACACGGAAGACACATTCTTTTTCTCCCCCGATGAAGCAGAGGATTATCGACGAGAAAAGCGCAGACGCCTCATAGATCAAAGCAGAGAAGAGCGATTACGGGCTCTGCGTGAAGAGGAAGGGCCAGAAGAGGAAGAGGACGCCGACACGTGGGGAGGGAGTGATGAGGAGGTGAGTTTCAAGCTTACTATCTCATGAAATGATCGCAAAATGTTTCACAATACAATGTAGCCGGACGATGCACAAGTAACCGTCATGCACAAGACTGCTCAGCATATCTTATCTTCGCTCAATCCCGCCCAGCTTGAGATCAGAATACTGGCGAATTATGGTGGAGATAAGCGATTTGCTTTCTTGAGAGGGAGGTGGTCTCGTGCATGGCGCACGCTGAAAGGAAAGGTGAGAGTTGAGATTGAAGAAAAAAAGGAACAAGAGAAAAATACCTCTGGTAATGTTAGCCTCGGAGGTCTTGCTGCATATGGTGATAGCGATGACGAGAGTGAAGGCCATTCAGACGCTGCTGGGTCGAATCTGGAACCAAGTCAAGGTAATTTTGATACAAGGTATATCCCGAACCGTTTACCGACCACCCTCCCACCGCAGAGCCTGAGCCACCTTCAGACGAGACGCTGAAAGAAGCAAGACGTGCCAGGGCCCGCGAATGGTCAGCTAGGCGGCGCACTGTACAAGCTGCCGAAGAGCAGAATGCTTAGTGCTACTCAATCGATAACTGGTCCCGTGAAAAGGGTATCTGACGACGGTAAACAGACTATACGTTCCATACTGTGATTCAAGCTGGAGAAGGAAACCGCGACATATTCCTATTCTATGATGTGCAATCACTAACACGTCGTGGTTAGTCTGATGACTGATTCGAAAGACCATATCAAATCGATAGAATAATGAATCATATTGAGTCAGGATACAAGGAATTGCATAAAATTTTGAAATATATGCCATCGTGCCTCAATCGCTAGCTCCAAAAGCACTTGGGTGGATTGCAATCACAAGAGGTATTGGGCAACTATAGGGTATACCTTGGTGTACGATATTCTTTTTAAAGCCTTGTTTCCACACTACTTACCAGTCCGTCATTCTTCTACTCCCCCACACATCCGTCTCTCCTCATCTGAACACTTGGGCGAGAATACAGCGAGTAACAAACAATTCAACATTCCCCATTAAACCCCAGCACACACACAAATCATATTTACGTAGTTTTCTTCTCGGCGCTTGCACGCTTCGCGCTGAATGCGTCGAGAGCTTTCAACCGCTCAGTGAGGGTGGGGTGCGAATGGTGGTATGCCGAGTAACTATACAAAGATATCATATCATCGTCAGCTCATTTATCAACATCTTTCGCGTGACGATACGCCCAAAACAGGGTGACATTAGAATAAGAAGTAAACGACGACACTTACAGCCAATCAACCCAAACAGTGGACAGATTTTTGACGTGCAGCGTGATGAGCGCGCGACCGAGGCGGTCACCCATATCATGCATCTCAGCGCTACCAAGTTTCTCTTGGAGCTCACACGCGAAGCGGTCAGCTTGCCATTCAAAGTGGCGGCTGATAGCGTTGAGGCCGATAGAGACAAGGGACTCGAGAGGTGTGAGGATCATCTGAATTGGTAAAAGGAATGTTTCAATAAGCTGCACCTCTCGGATAACACACATGACATGATACGGACCTGGAAGAGTAAAAATGCGACGATAGTAGGGGGGTGCGCGGACACCTCCTTGGAGAAGTCGAAGGAGCGAAGGAGCTGAGGCGCATGAAGGAAAGCAGGGAAGAGGGCAAGGATGGTGAAAATATGGACCTGGGAAATGCAGAGGAGTTTGGTCGGGTGGAGGTAATACCAATGACCAAGTTCGTGGGCTGTGAGGAGAGACGGCATTATAGTGAGTTTGATATATAACACGCGGAAAACCACAGGACAACTGACCCAGGACAGCTTCTACTTCTTCAGCTTTGCTTTCTTTGATGAGAGTGTCGAAGATGACGATGTGTTTGCTCTATCCGGCACATATGCACGTATAAGTACAACTCCCGGTAAACGGAGAAACATGTCATGACATACCCAAGGTAAACCGAAGAAATACGCATTGCTATGCGAGCTGCGTTTTGAACCGTCGATCTCGTAAAGGTGCTTGAGAGGGAACTTAAGCTTAGTGGCGAGTGCTTCGATGCGAGTGCGGAGATCGCCATCTTCGAGAGGGGATAATTTGTTGAAGAGCGGCTGGATGACTGTGGGGTAGACGACGACCATGGAGAGCTGGAAGCATAATCTATCGAAGGTGTTGGTTACCGTTTGTTAGCACGTACGACAAGAAAAGACGTACAAGAACGCCATAAGCCACGGCACAAATCGGTCCCCTGCCCACTTGAACACGTAAAGGAAAGCTCCAAGGAAAGGAGTGCCGATGACGAAGCCGATTCCCCATCCCTTTAGTAGATCTGTAACAAAGAGGGTGGGAGTAGTTTTGTTGAAGCCGTGTTTTTCTTCGAGGACAAAAGTTTGATAGATGGAAAGAGGTAAGGTGGGTATTGAGGAGGCGAAGAAAAGCACGCAGGAAAATGCGATTGATTGGGTGATCTTTGTAGTTTGTAGTTTGTATGAGGAGCGTGCAATTAGACGACAAAGTGGACGACGTGAAGGAGACGCAAATGCCACGAACGTACCTCATATTCCGTTCCATAACCGAATGACGCAAGGACCTGACGGGCAACGTCCCATGCCCAGTTGTAAAAGCCAAATTGGATCATCGCAGAATCGAGACATTGTTTGAAGAGACCAGCGAAAAGCGAGAATTTTGCCTTGTCTTTTCCATACTTTTGTGATTTCTCGAATGCATCAGGGCTAAAGTGGCCAGCAAGGACAGTAGGTGGTTCTGTCTTAGAGTAGAGGGGATACTGGCGGAGCCTTTCAATGGAATGAGTTCGCTAGAGGATGAGAACAGAATATAAAGAGACGCACAAAAGGTAGGACTCAAAAAGAGTAACCCCCCATGAGAATGCTTGCACGTAGAACTTCCAGTCAATTGGTTTTGTTGCTACGAAATCCAGCTGGTGCTGTAACGCCGCGAGCTGGGTGTGCAGGACGTCCATCGTTGCAGAAAGCAAGAAAAGAAACAGCGAACGTGGCGAGTGGGGACTCCACAGCCACATCAGTGCCGCTGAGTTTGTATCCGTCTTGTCGTGCACGTGCCAATAGTCCAGATCGCTCATAAAAATCACTCTTAGTTGTGTCTAGGTCCTCACGTTCACGCAACGTCGCACCTCTGAAGTGCAAGAGCAGCTAATAGTCACCTCCGAGTCGAAAACTTCAACATATCACTGGCATTACGTTCCATCGTGTCAGACCTTGTTTCTCTCTTCCAACGGTATGTGAAAATTCAAGTCACGGTATGACTATCGCTATCCAGGACAACTCTGTTACTCCACTCTAACTTTCATTTGGTCTCCATCAACGACAGTTGACCATTCAACACCGAGGTCTCTGCGCCTACCTATCTGTAAAATATCATAGGTCGACGGTCCTTTTTGCGAGAATGGATCTCATGAGTAAGGTTATTCGACCATCGCCCCATCTTTTCCGATTGCATCCCGGCTTTTGTTGATCAATTCTTCGTAGCCGCTCGTTGACTCATAGCTAATATTGAGACTGATGGCTTGAGTGACTTGCAGCTATAGTGAGTGAGCCGTTGTAGTAAATTTAATCTCACAAACAGATGGTTCATTGAACCATCTCTTATAATAACAAGAAGTAATACCAGCACTAAGATCAAATGTACCAGTATCTATCGACCATAAAACAGGACAACAATATAATATCATCCTATTCATTCGACTGCAACCACCAGAGACATAACACGAACAAAACCCAGGGTTTAAGAGGAGAGCGTGACGTTGAGAAGTGCTTGGGTACCCCCAACAATGTTGACCGTGCTTCCATCTGTACCATTGATGGGGTAGATCATATCCAAGACCACAGAGTACTGGGAGCCATTGAAATAGTAGCCGTATGGGAGCTGCAAAAGTAGAATATAAACCATTGCACTCGCAACTACAAAATCGGGAGGGACTTGGGGGAACTTACACTAGTAGTAAAGGTGTCAACCGGCGAGAGTGGATTGTAAGTGTAGTCGCGACGCCCGAGATAAATGGATGGTTCGTGCCCATTGTTGTCGGTTAAGACCTCGACATAGTAATCGAGGTACGTTGGGATGATTTCGAAGTAAATGGCGCAGGTGAGGTTGGCATGAACGTCGAATGCCTGTTAGGGATGAGATGTATTAGCCTCGTCAGTCTCTGGCTAGAATAAGTCTTTTCACTTGGCCTGGGGCAACCGTGGATGGGACGACCTCCAGTCGTCCAAAACGACTAGCTTCAGCACATTCTACAGCACTGACAGATGATACAGCCGTAGATAAAGCAGCGAGAGAGAACAGGAGAGTGGAGAGGGAAGGTAGGATCATGGTTCAATATCCCGTCTAACTGAAGGTCAGTGAGTTTGAAGGCAGGGTTAAAGGAAAACACACCATATATATTTTGTTATATAGCAGTTGGAGAGGGGCAGTGTCAGTGTGTCATGCAAGGATAGGACAGTAGTCGCCGTGATGGGTGTACATGTTGTTCCTCAAGTTAGTGCGGTCTTCGAACGCCGTGCTCGTCATAATATATGCATAATAGCTGACCGCGTTGAGGACCGGTTGCTAAAAAGTTAGTGTAATGCATCACTCAGCGGACAACATATACATAACACACCTCAAGCTAATGTTCATAAGCTGACATTGTCGGTCAACTATAGCCGTGGAGATCAACCTACGCCTGTTTCGCCATCAAACCTGCGTTCGCATCGAGACCGACCAAGCTGACTCAAAGTTTCTTCTAAATAAGCTGAAGTCACTTAATGGATGTCACGCCATCAGGCTCGACTCATTCTCAGAGACCACAGTCAATATCTTCCCGTTTATGCCCGTCTTCTCCAAGTTGCTTCTAGCTTGCTCGTGCAGCCAAATGGTGAATAGGATCCCGATTGTTCTAACTTTGAAGTTGAGCTACGACACAAAGCATCAAACAAAAAACATGCGTGCTCTTTTTAGGAGTATAGAACAGGATGCCTCTTGACGTATTTGCTATTAAACCATTCAAGGAGGGCTTGATTCGAATGAACTGAGTGGTGGCACCTTGAGTACTTCTTCTCATCCTCAAGCGCATTCAGGAGATACAACCATCACATTAATACAACATAATAGAATTTGCATAGAAGGGAAATTGGATGTTGCATTGTGTTAATACTGTTACACAGGTGGGAAACACTGCAGTTGGTCTCAATAGAATCTCCCTCCTACGAAGCAATTCGATTAATCATCTACTCAGAAAATCGCGGTAATATGTGACGGGGCCACCTTTCATAGCTGCAATCCATCTAAACTCTCGGCCTCGACATTGGCTATGAGCCAACGAGCAGCGGCGAGGAATTGGTTGACATAACCCGGGATACGATCAGAAAAGATAGGGTCATGGTCTACTCTAACTTTCACTTGTTCTCCATCAACAAGGGTCGTCCATTCAACGCCGATGTTGTTCTCTGCACCTGTCGGCCCTGGTTGTAAAACATCATATGTTGGTGTCCCATTTTGAGAGAAAGTGTAGCCAGATGTAGCAAGTAGGGCCAGATCCATTCCGACGTCAGCCAATACAGCGATGTAGTTGACCACAGAGAAATCGGTTATCTTGTCTTGGTTCTGTTGCGCGCGGTGAAGCAGCTTGAGCACCGTGTCAGTTTGGAGGAAGTCGATGCGATCAGCAGCTACATTCGCGGTTGGACCACATATCTGGGTAATACCCTCGATCGGCAGACTTCGACATGCTTCCGTCTGTAGAATGATGACAGTGTTGTGTTTCGATTCATTGCGCTTTACCATTGCAAAGGCAACCTTGAATAGCGTCGACAATTTTATGCTATACTTCTGAATAAATTTCTCTATACCAGGAAATTCTTCCACCCGCAAAAAATGAGGCCCAAAGTAGGAGCTGCTGTTGAATGTTGACTGGTCGCATTGAGGGAAAGCAATGATTTCTGCGGTACGAAGTCGATCTGCATGCCAAGCAATTCTGTCTGGGCTGTTTTCTTCGGCAATCACGTAGTCTACGTAGCGTCGAAAAGGAACGGGTTCCGGAATTTGCTTCCCTGAAATAATGCGATCTAGATCTTGGAATAGGCATTCTCTGCTCCAGGCATCCATGACAGCATGTTGGGCAAGGATGAGCAAAGTTGGCGGCTCAGTGCGGAATACGTCAAACTTGATCAAGTTACCAGGGATAGTTAAAGCATATCGTGAGTCGTCTTTGACAATGTTCTCCACAGATTGTGCATCTTCAGCAGGGTAGACGTGAATCATGTCGTCCCGAAGCTTCTGGTGATAACGAAAAACTACTTGATGTTGAAGGTCGGCAAAGACAGTGGAGCGTAGGGCGGTATGTCGCGAAATGACCGTTTCGAGCGCGCTGATTAAGAGATCGATGTCTGTGCGTACTGTCACCAACTGGTGGATCATATAACTGCGAGGTGATGGGCCCATCAAACAGAACTTCTGTGTAAAGGTGGTTCATAGACGTCCTCTACATCCTCTATCGTCAAACCGCGAAGTTCTAAGACTTGACGCAAAGCATCATGATCGTATGAGACTTCGCGACGTGCGGCCTTTTCTAATGGGATAGTGACTCCGCTACCGTCTGATGATATCTTGTCTGCCAAGTACTCGCTCAAAGCTTTCACGGATGGATATTGAAATATTATTCTGAATGGAAGATCTGGTATTGAAAATCGGGCGCGAAGTGCATTCAAGAGCACAGGTGCGCGGAAGGAATGGAGACCCAGAGCAATGAAGTCGGTTTCAAGAGGTATCTGAGTCGATACATAACGAAAATAAGATGGAGATGGTAAGGCATTGATTTTAGGTAAAAAGGAAACAAATATTACGCACATTCAGAGGTTCTTTATTCAATACTCCACTAATACATTCCTGAATGAGGGCTTGAATTTTATTTTTGGGACGGTTTGATTCTGACGGAACCTTAGAACGCTCGGCCCAGGCACTAGATTGAGCAAGCATCCTCCTATCTATCTTGCCATTCCCTGTGAGAGGTAAACACTGCGTGATGATGATGCGATGAGGCATCATGTAGGAAGGAAGGTTCTGGAGGCAATGATCTTGCAACTTGGCGATCAGATCAGAGGCGGTAGAAAAATGCAATGGAGTGTTCGCAAGTTGCACAGCGGTTGGAATAGAACTGAAATCGCCCTTGAACATCGACGAACCAGGTAAAAAGATGGCTGCCATAGTCTGATCAACTCCCAAAGACTTTAGACTCATATCGACCTGGTATCCTTGACGGGCACACAGTGCAACAACGTCCGCTGGCGATAAAGCACGGGTACACCAGTCCAAAGTGGATGCAGCAGTAACCAACTCCGAAGCACTGGCTGGGGGCTGAGAAGAGGACATCAAGTGCAGTATGCCTTGTTCAATAGCCACAAGAGAGCTGGGAATGCCACGAACTGCCGTGATGTCTTTACTACAGGATAGTAATTTCTCCAAGTCTGAAGCAGTTGTGTAGTCTACCCATTGGCCAGGTTTTACTAAGTCAGGAGCTGATTTACCGATGGAAAGAATGACTTGATAGCGGAACTGACTAAGCTCGTTGCGAGCAGACATCATCTTTGGTACAACCTCAACGTGCGAGACACGATTGCCAAGCTTGTGCTGAAGGGAGAAAAAGAATGACGGATCGAGCTTGAGTTCCATCTGTCGATGCTGCCAACGTTCAAGCCTTTCTTGAATTTCCAAGGTCGACAAATCGGGAGATGGATCACAGTGCAAAACGCGAGCCAAGTCGTGATGTTTGTCCACACCGTGATTACGAATATCACCAAGGAAAATACGACCACCATCCTGGAGCCTATCAACGCAGAGCCTGATCAGATTTTCCAGATATTCTGACGAAGAGAAGTGTTGCACGACACTGTTTAGGACGATAAGATCGAATCGCTTCTCGCTGGGAAGCATTTGATCAAGCTCATGAGCCATGCCTTCGTAAAGCGCAACCTTATCTTGCAATCCGCGTTCTGTGAGCCGCGCCTGTATGAATGCAAGGACCGAGCCCAGCATATCTACAGCGCTGTATTCCTGGCAACGTGGCTCAAGCGCGAATAATATCATACCCGTTCCACATCCGATCTCTAATACTGAGTCGCTCGGCTTCACTGGTATACTCTGCAGGGTGTCCGAGAGCCAATCTTGCATTTCTGGCAGAGGTATCGGCATCCCGTCATACATGCTTACCTGTCATAGGAAAGAAAATTATTGTAGGTCAGAGCAGGAACGAAGAATATATACATCATAACAAGGCTTACCCAACCTGTGAAATCAATTCCAGCAACTGCTGGGTCTATGTCCTCAAACCCTTGGGCATACACAGCATCGCGAAGCTTCGAGCTGTCATCAGACTGCTCCGCGTGATCATGTTGCCCTTCAAAAATGCGATTATCCGTTGGGACAACGTAAGCTATAAGGTCCTGTTCATCGCTAAAGACAACTGCAGCTTGATCAATTTCATCGGATCCAGAGCACAAAACGGCTTCGATCTCGCCCAGTTCGATCCGTTGCCCGCGGATCTTCGTTTGTGTATCACTTCGACCCACAAATTCCAGCACAGGTCCATCTGCACAAGGTACGAATCTGCCAATATCACCAGTCCGGTAGATTCGGGTCGAAGAGCCACGTCCTTCAAGATCATTAACCATAACTGCAATTCCGAAATCCATCAATTGAAGTGAGATGGATGAAACAGAAAGAAAAAATGCGTACCAAATTTATTTGCTGTCAGATCAGCTTGCCCAAGGTAACCTGCAGCAAGACCAGCGCCACCAATACATATCTCACCAGGAAGACCAACATCTACGGGGAACAGATTGTCGTCTAGGAGATAAACAGCACTATTGGGGATACAGCGACCAATTGGTATGGGCCTAGAGGTCGCATCATCATATTCGGTAGAAAAGTTCAGCGAAGGTATCTCGAAAGTAGTCGTGAAGACAGAGGCTTCAGATGGTCCATAGGCATTGAGTAGTCTAGTTGTGGGGGCACGACGGAAGAAATTCTGGACGCTAGGCGTCGCCAACTTCTCACCACCAACAGCTACCATGCGAAGTGTGGTGCTCATAGAGGCCACATTGGAAACGTTGCTGACGATATGATGGAAAACTGCAGTTGGTAAGAACGCTTTAGTGACTTCTTTCTCTCGAAAGAAAGCGATGACGGCTTCTGTGTCTGCAAGATGAGCTGTTAGGACAAGAAGTGTGCCACCGTGACATAGAGTGTTCCAGATGTCAATCGATGAAGCATCAAATGCAGGATTATTGACCATCGACACACGATCTCCTGGCTGGATCTCCATAAAGTGGCTGTTGATCATATTTAGCATACCATCCTGGAGGAGAGTTTCAATTCTGATAAAATGCATCATCATCAGAACTTCGGCTTACATGCTGAACCATGACACCCTTTGGGCGCCCCGTACTTCCAGAAGTAAAGAATATAACAAGAGTATCATTTCGAGTAATGAGGCCGGACGATGGGAGCTCGGCATAGCTAAGCACGCAAGTGCGATCAATGAAAGGAACTATATCAAATGGAATTGCCTGCTCAAGTGAAGGGAGCTGAAGCCATGACACAGTGAGTAGGAGACGGGCATCAGCTTGCATGATTTGGTCGTCGAGTCTTGCTGGTGGAGCGGTAGGATCAAGAGGTAAGTATGAGAAACCTGCTTTGACGATGGCAAGAACGGCGACGACAAAAATAGTTGAACGAGGCACACAAACTGCAACTGTACCAGATCCTCTGGTATTGCGAGAGCGAATCTCCTGAGCAAGATTGTTTGACCATCGTTCCAACTCCGAGTATGTAAGTGTAAAAGAGTCATCCTGGACAGCAAGCGCTGCAGGCTGAAATTTGACGCGGTGTCGGATGAGAGAGAGAAGATCCTGGGACGGCGACATGGTCGAATGTGCAGAAGAATTAAGCTTTTGAGAAGATTCATAAGGTTTCCTTTAAATCACCTACTAGGTCACAGCTTATTTGCCGTAAAACAACAGCACTTCGCGCTCAAGCACATTTTGATGTTTTTAGCGGGGCGCCATGTTGGCGGTAACCAGTTAGACTGGAGTTTCGCCATACAATCCAAAAATTACGTGCAAGTTACTGTATGTATTAATGAACTGTCAGGCTTACTCGGGTTATATGTCGCCTCCATTGAGCGCTTACTAGAATACTGCGACAACCGACTACACCAGATCAAGTGTGCGGTAGTATTACCTCTAATGTCCATCCTAGGTTACAACTGCCTTCAATTTTATGACACCGGCCGAGTATGTGTCCCGAATCTGTCCTTGCATCCGCACAAGATATGTTTGACCCTGGATATGTCACAAAGGAAAAAACAAATATCTGCTCAAACATAAGAAAAAGAAGCGTCATTGCCGATACTTGAATGAGTTCCAGAGCTAAGGACACACCAGTAGATCCGAAAAACAGACCCGAAGGCAAGCGGTAGCATTGACTTTACCCGCAGCGTTGAAATTTGATAAAACAACCACCCATTATTGACCCCCAGCGCACGCAAGCATCCATGTATGTTTTACTCCCAAGTTGGGTGAGACACGGTATAGTTTATGGGTGTAATTTGACTAGAGGAAAGATCAAGTGGGATATAGTAGAATGAAACATGGACAAGACCTCTAGGTCAGAATGCCATAATATGTCGGGAGCCACGGCCACATATTCAAACCCCGCGGCATTAGGTGCCAGCGATATGTGTTTGACGGTCACGGTATAGTATTGTATTGACACTAGGCTGGCGCTCAGGTCTGTCTCAGTGTCCACTCGGAAACACTGGCGGTCAATATGGATGCTCTGGGGCGTTCTGGGAGAAAATAGCAAGGTGTGGAACGTCTTGACCAGGGTGTGCTGGGGTAATAGCAGAAATGCAGAAGTTGGACAGTCGGTCTCTGGGTTAGAACCACGGCACATGGCATCCTGATCTGCAGCACGCCAGAATACAAGCAGAAGTTGCAGGCATTCCCGAGACAGCCTCTGGGATCAAAACAAAATGGATAACAGGGGGCACTGTCATCGTCCAGGAGGATGATGGTCGTTGACGTCCAGCTCAAATTCCCCGGGTCCGGGGCCATTATATCGAAAAACGAGGGCTGGGTGATCCTCTCTGTGCGGACTTGGGCCTAACTTCAAGTTTTGTCCTTTCAATAATGACGTGAACAGTATATTCTCATGCTTCTTTACTGCGAGACAATATGTTCACCAATGCAGAGAGTTTTGTCAGCTGAACGTAAAGAACGCCTAGCAGTGGCAAGTTGCACTCATATTATGTCTTCACTTTCGTCAACGCTGATCACTTCGAATCAGAGTCATCCCGGATTCCACACGAGAGGTCCTGAAACGTCGACTCTTGAGATACGGACGCGATCTTGGATATCTCCACAAAGGGGCAAGATCTTTCTCGTGACGCAGTTGGTGTCTACTTTCTCGAGCTCATGCGTCGTCCTGTGCACAGGAAATGCTACTGGTTACATTACATGCAAGAGGACATCAAAGAGTTCGTATAAACGAATCACAGGGAAGATCGCTAGCACTTAAAATGGTCTGTTTCTTTGCAGTGAACCCGTCTAGACCTTTTTTGCTTGCATCCAATTTGAAGTTTAGAATGAACGAGAAGATATTAACACTATTTTATACAGTTGCTAATTTACCTGGACGACGAGGTCGCTCAAGTTCAGTCAATGCATACACTGTGGGTAGTATGGATACAAACTCTGCAAAAACATAGTACGAAATGTTCGATAAACCATCAGCGCTTTGTGATTAGCGACCCTTCCCTCTGCTGCCAGGACGCATGATTTGTCGAAGTAAAAATTTCAAAATCCCCCCCGCCTTTGCTTCGTTCCGCGGGAAAAACTTCTTCGATTTCTTCGTATAACGCGATAACTCGTGTTCTGAGCTGAACAGCACCACATCCTTATCTGTGCGTGCTGTATCCACCAGGTCAGTGATGTTAACGAACACCTTTTTGATTTCCTGCACAAAAAATTCAAACGCGACGAAAAAAACTAGAGACAGTGCTCGTCTCACTTTTCTGCAGCCAGAAATGGTGTCTGGCACAGGAGAGATTCGTAGAACCTCTGCCAACCTTTTCCACGAATTGTAGTCATGTACGTCGGTCCCATATGTAGAGTTGAATTGCCCAGTGAGGGCATCTTTGAAGCGCATATACGCCAGATTCCTGTCATCCCCTTTCTTCTGCCATTTGAAAAACTGGCACATGCGGTTGAACTCGTATATTGCAGGTGAAGACGCATCATATTCGAAAGCGACATAAGCAGCAAAAAAAATATCGAGTGGAGCCTGGGACGCCATAGAGATCCAGGCGAGTCAATGTCAACAACGTGAAAAACTTAAAGGAATTGGAGCAGCAACACAGCACGCCATTATATATATGGAATGAGTACCTTCAAGGCATGCTTCTATTACACTGACAGATAAGTAACTTAGGCCCAGGCACGTGCACGTGCACAGTGTTGAAGAATATCGTAAGAAAGCAAGCCTGAGGACTGAGGAAACGTCCAGATTTCAATTATTTTGTATTTGACAAACTCACTGTCTAATGTCCTATCCGAGTTTCGATATCACTCGTGTTGTTAAAATACCTGCATGTTCAATCCTCCGATCTAGATATCTCAGAGTGCGTACATCACAATGGCAATGGATACGCAGGTGTCCAGCAAAAAATAAAAAGACTTACCAAGATCGAATGATACTAGGCTGAATCGCGGCTCGAATGATACACTCAATAGCCCGCTATTCAATCACGTGCAGCACCGCAGGCATTCGAAGATAGTTGGAATTAGCATGACATCAATGATATACAACCGAGATATGTTTCATTCTACTTAGCGCCCTTGGGGACCTGGAAACCAAAGCCATAAGGAGTGTGAAAATAGGAGACGGCTTGGAGACGGCTTTGACCACGGAAATGTGCAAGAAACCGTGTTGATGATGGTACCAGCATCAACGCTCTCCAGCCTGTCCATAGCGATACCGATAGTTCCGCGCATCACGTCTTCCTCGATCTACGTCGACGCTTAGGAGAATAGGCACCGCGAGCCAGATCATGAATACGAGGAAGAAGAACGCATAGCGGATGTTGCCCGTGGCGTCTGCAATCAGACCTACAATGAGTGGGCCAACGAACGAGCTTGACTGTGAGTTATATGAAGAAATTCAGGGGTTAATGCCTAACGGAAAGACAGAAAGACAGGTACTTGCTTTGTCTGTTATGGAGAACAGGCCATACCTAGAGGCCGAGCGGGGTCAAGATTGTGATAATTTGTGAATATAAAAGGCTGGACGGAAAGACTCACCACCGCGCTTCTTCTCCAGGAGGTAACAGCTCCGCATAGAATGCCCTGGCGTAGCTTTGGAACGCACCGTAAACAGACCCTAAAGTCGTCGCAAGCATTGTGTTTAAGCCGTGCATTACTTTTTAGGAGAATAAACTATTGAGGCACTCACCAAAATAAACCGCCAATCCAAACATTTCCCCTTGCGTCGTTAACCCTCCAAACCTCGCTCCTCCTTCTCCTCTGAACACAGGCAAGAATCCCAGACATCCATATGCAGGAATCAGTGATGCAAAAACCACGAGTAGTACGAGCACCCTTAGATTCGTCCACCCAAACCTACGTTGCAGAGCGGGCCAAGCCAGAGAGCCAAGGATTCCAGATGTGGGCGTGAGAACTCCGATTAGAATCAATGCCGAGGGCTGCATGTTGAGTGATGTCTTGCCGAAGAGGATCGCGGTGGAAGTGATTGTTGTGAAGCCTGTTGCAATATGCCATACGTTCTCTTATTAGAAAAACAAGCTATCTGGTACAATGTGCGACTGGACTGACCATCTGAGAGCAGGAACCACGCTGCTAGATATTTGAAAGTATTGCGAAGTCTTTTGATCTCGCTCCATCGAAGCATGACACCAAGTCTCCTCCACGCAGCTGCAATTTCCGATCTGAGCGACCAATTACCGCCCTCATCTCTGCTGCCATGTCCGTCTGTGATATCTCCCCATGCATCACTATCCTCACCACCTTCACCAGGAGTCGGCCTTGTCACTCCAGGAAGCCACATCGCCGCTGGGATGGAGAACAGAGCCCACCACACACCGCTTAGGCCTATCGCAAGGCGAAGAGAGAAAGTAGAGCCATGTAGGCGCGTGACCGGTATTAGGGCGACGAGGAGGAGCGTGATACCAGCACCATAACCGAGTGCAATTCCAAGTGAGGATATACGGGACGTGGCAGCAGAGAGAGCGGTATCGTACTTCTTGCGAATGGTAGTAGACTCAGAGAAACCTGATTCATTCTGCTCCAGTAGAGGCGATGTAGAGTCTTCGGCTGGTTCCGATGGGATCGAAGTGAGAGCAGAATCTTGTAGAGGTTCGGGAATGGTACGTAGTTCGGCGAAGATTTTGACTACTTCTGGAGAATTCCTGGCGAGTGAAGGCAGGTATGCGTTCATCGCGACTACAGAAGCTCCGAATCCTACGTTAGAGATGATCGTAAGGAGCGCTGAGAGCGCCCATATAGGCGATGAAGAACTCAGAATAAGGAATGTGGTAGCTGAAAGGGCGCCAAGCCATGCAAAGACAAGTAGCAAGCGTTTGCGCTGTGAAGCTGTTGACGGTAAGGCATGAATCACAAAAAAAGAAAAGAAAAGGGTGAGGAAGTCCCAGAACGGAAGAGAATATCAACTGACGACGATCGGCTATACTGCCCATTGATATAACAGTGAGAGCTTGTAGTGCAACCGATATTGAGTAGACGTAGAGACTGAACACAAAGGACGTAAGTTTTTGGAAGCGTGAACCGAGTGATGGCTCACCTGAAACTCGCAGTATCAATCCAGGCCCACCCAATTTTGACTACACATCTCCCCTCTGGCTCCTGAACTGAATGAGATCCATCATAACTGGCTGAGGCTTGTGCACATCGCTTCGTTCGGTCAAGGAGTAAGTAACCATTGTCCCGTGCGAATTGCTCGAGACATATTGGAAGGAAGAGTGTCAGCGAGACGACTACGAATACTTCACTAGTGAATGATTAGGTACTTGTGAGTCTGCACCATGCCATGGGCTTTGAGCAAAAACTGAAAACTAGGGCATACCTGGCAAAGGCATAGCTCAGCCAACCACGCAGCTGTTTCGTATCGGGACCTACACTGAATAGGCCAATTCTCCAAGTCATTCCTGTGTATATAGTGGTAGTTATAACAGGTTACTGCTGATGGCCATCCACAAACTATGTTGATAAACAGGAAAGATACGAATACCAAGCGTTTCGTTTGTCACTACAAAAGTGGAACAAGCGCCAGTGCTACTAGCGCTGAGCATAAACCAGCCGGCAGGACGGCAAGGCGTCGCGGCGTTTGAATCGTATACTGACAAGGCAGTGACAAGGCCCCAGGTCCACATATGATTTGCTCATCCGGGCCTGTTTTCTTTCTCCACGACTAATCAGCATCACGATCTTTCCTATGCTATGCTGGCCGCTTTTCCGAGAAGAATGTATAAAGCTGATATTAGAACGTTATAATGTATTCGATATCATCTTCATTATCAGTTACGGTGCCAGAGCCTGCATTGATAACCCAATTATTTCTACCAGTTTATAACGCAGCTTTGACTTCGAAGCATGGATTTTGACCCAAAATTGGTGGGAGGTTTGGTTTGTTTGTTGCTAGTCGTGGCTGCTATTCAAAAGAGGCATCGCTTTGGGCGTCATTTACCTTTGCCTCCGAGTCCACCAAAAACCCAATGGTTATGGGGACATATCCTTCCACCTCAGCGGTACGCACTATGATATGTATTTGTTGTAGAGTAATTTCAGATATTTTTTATCCCAATTACCAGAGGTTTTCTCAAAGTCGAAGAATGGATCAACACATACGGCTCTGTCATCTCTATCAGGCAAGGAAGGCGGAGAGTCGTTATCGTTGGCCGATATCAGGTATTCATCACTGTCCTCCGTTTCAGTCTAATTGACTCACTGCAATTTATTTGTCGCCAAAGGCTGCTGTGGATATAATGGAAAAGCAAGGAGGTTCAACTGTCGATCGTCCCCGTATGGTCGCTGCGGGAGATATACTCTCAGGAGGACTTCGATTTATCTTCACACCTGGTGGTGAGAGGTTCAGAAGAATGCGTAGGCAAGTCTAAAATATTATTCACCAATCATACCTCAATATCAATGAATTTTCATACGCCACTTCAGAGCTATTCACACGCACCTGCAGCCCAAGGCTGCAGAACACTATGAATCAGTTCAAATGGATAATGCCAAGAACACAATCCTTGATTTGCTTGATGATCCAGACCAATATTCTCTTCATGCCACACGGTATGTATAGTCCTGCTGCATGTTATGGTTGCTCATATCTATACTTAATTTCAGGTATTCCTCTGCTGTGATACAGAAGGTTGCTTACGGGAAAACATCACCCACTTCTGCTACAGACCCCGAAATTCAGCAAGTACGCCTATCATTGCACAGATTGCGTCACGCCATGCGACCTGGTCAGTATCTAGTAGATACATTCCCATTCTTAAAAGGTATTCCTTGGTATGGTCTGGAGCTAAAGCAATGGCATGAAGAAGAGCGCAAACTTTTTACCGGTCAACTTAACAAGGTCCAGGAACAACTTGTAAGTGACCCCTATTGAATGGGTACGTAACCATACGAACTCATATTATCAGGACAATAACGAAGACGTGGGGCCTTCATTTGGCAAACATCTACTCGAGAACAAGATGGAATATGCACTAACAGAAACTGAGATGGCGTACCTAACAGGTGGTTTCTTCGCCGCTGGCTCTGATACGGTAACATTTCACTTATTCATCATGATCGTATCTCATTACTCATTACTCTACATCACACACAGACTGCTGCTGCAATTTCTCTTATGATCTTGTCAGCGGCAGTTCACCCAGAAGCTCAGGCTAAAGTGCAGGCAGAGCTCGACTCTGTAATAGGCCAACAAAGGGGTGAGATTCGTTGTCACTCTGGTAGACCTGATATCCATATGTTTCTATATAGCTCCTACGTTCTCTGATGAGGAAATGCTTCCGCAACTCCAGGCTTTCATCTTAGAGAGTTTCCGGTGGAGACCCATTGTTGGTGGAGGTAAGAGGCAATTTTTAAATTTACGTCATCCCTCATGAATGATTATTCTCTTAGGTCTGCCTCACCGAACCAATAAGGATATGATTTGGGTAAGTCCCCACCTATTCGGCTGTCGACTTTTTTTGAATTTTTACAAAGGAAAATCTCTTTATTCCTTCTGGGACAACTATCGTCGGACACCATTGGTATGCCAAGGCTAGCTTCTCTGGAATATCTATCTGATACTTTCGACAGGGCTATTTCCCGGGATCCCGTTGTGTATCCCAATCCAAACAGCTTCGAACCCCAGCGATGGTTGAACAGTCAAGGGAAGATAAGAGACGATATCAAGTTTTTCACGTATGGCTTCGGAAGACGGTAATTCAGTGTCTTCCTCTATAATTACCATTCACTCACTAGCATCGCTCTTACCCCAGTGCATGTCCTGGACAGCATGTCGCCAACAGGTCACCAGGATTATATCAAATAAATTTTGCTTTTTACTCATTCCTTATGTATAGATCTGTGTATATCAACGCTGCGCTTATCCTGTGGTCCTTCCGGATGTCTCTAAATTCTTCTGAGCCGATCGATGACATGGCGTTCATGGGTGGAATGGTTCCATCAGTAACACCAAAAGTACTTTTCGAAAAAAGAATGGACGAGAAAGAGCTGAGAGATATTATAGAAAGGTATTCCGAGGGGCTGTGATTGTGTCAAGTTGAGGTTTATGTTTTCACCGAGTTTTCATGTTCGCAGATCTCGCCAAAGGCGCTGGCGACGATGCAACTGTCTGGAATTCACATGAATTATGCTTGCTGCAAGTAGAGTTATATATGAATTTAAGTCCCGAATCATTTCTTGTCAGTCCTACATAACTTGTACATTATATCCACGATTCATTGTCCTCTAAACCTTCTCATGGGCTTAACTTAGATCGAGTGATATATGACCACGCCTGGCAGCTGAGCCCGCTGAACTTGAACAATATACACGACGCCCTCAAAATTGCAAGCTCAGTATGATACCAGGAATGAGAGGGAAGAATAAACGACGCCAAAGAAAAGTGCAAAGTACAACTACGATCTGAGTGGTTATATTATATGATACATGGCTTCAGAGACGCGAATGCAGGCTGTTTAAACTTGACACCATCTACTTTAATGTAGCAGCCCAGTCGCTGCGTTAGCGCGGCGGGCGTCAATGTTATCACAAGGTCCATACCCTCCTATCTGTTGAACAACATGAGTATCCGATTTTGGTATGGAGCTGCTTGCTAAACACTGAAATACCTACCTGCTCGATATGCACGTCGATCTCATCATCCTCCTCCATGTCCAGCTGCCAAGAACCTTTGGGGTTACACCAATAACGATGATACGATGATACGAGGTGGGAACTAACCTCCTGTGGAGTCTCCCGCTCATCACCTCGGAGCGTTATTCCATTGTATTGAAACCTAACAGCGTCTGAACAATGATAGGACCATTAGCGCTAGCCAATGGTAGACCAGAAAAGATACGAGTGCTCACCTCGGTCGATTCCCAGTCGATCCTTGTCGCACACTCGTGATCGAGATGATCGAAGATCAAGTCATATAGGAAATGAGCTTACAGCTGCTGCATCAATTAGTCTTCTCAAACTACTGGTGCGCTTCGTAGAAAAGTACAATGCTGTACACGTTCACGATTTCCAATAGATTAAAGGTGGGACCTCTATCATATACAGCGAATGATGAGAAAAGGAACTCACTGCGACCTTGGAAGACGACCTTGAGCTGTATCTTCCGGCGTTTGTCGTCGTCTGGGTAGTCAGCAGACATGGGGCTTTGGCAGGAGATGCCAATATGGTATAGGATGAGTATGGTAAGTCTTCGATGCCACCACTTTCACAGCACACGTAGCTTATTTTAGCAACAACGGAAGAACGGCACGAAGCACCTTCGCATTTTTGGTATAGCTTTCAAGTCACGTTAACCCAAACAAAACAGCAAGACAGTCCATAGTTAATGTACAGCAGTACCCCGCAGAACGTGATACAGACCCGGGAAACACGCGCTAGCGTCCACCACCCAGCTGAAACGGAGAAAAGAGGACATTGTAAGTTTGGATATATACAAAGTGACATTTTTGGTTCACTAACTTGCTCTAAAACCGCGTCAATCATGTCACCGTCTTCCATCTCTCGCTGAATGACAGTAAGGGTCGGCTATGGAAGGTGTGGCTGGGCGACTTACTTGGGCTGGGGTATCCATAGCATTCAGTCGTTGTCCTTCGTGGACGAATTTAAATGTCCCTAGTGATGTTATATTCAATGATGAATCCGGGTAAAGGTGAGTAAAGCTCTGGCTGACCTGGTTCCTTCCCGAACCGTTTCTAGCGAAACGCGTTCAACTCATGAACGAAGCGGCCTATATAATCGTTTAGAACTCACCTCTGCCGCCTCAAATATCTTCTTAAAAGCCATATTTGCCTTGACTTTGACCGTGATATCTATCCCATTTCCAGGTGCAAAGTCAGAGAACCACGGATATGACGCGTGCATGAAAGAACACGCGCTGAAAGAAACTTGGGCTCACGGTTGCCCTCATAATTTACAACCAGGTTGAGTTTTGGTTTGACGTCTTCGCTTTCATCGGCCATATTATTTAGCAAGAGTACAATATATAACAGCAGATGCAAGCCAGGGCGTGTATAGGACAGTGGAGGTAACGTGAAAAGCAGATATCCATTTGCCACCCTGACCTGCAGAACACAAATTCTGCCACTTGAAAGTCGCGTTAAGCGAACTATGATGTGTCTGGGGTCCTAGCACTTTCAGTAAACAATCTATATTCTGCTTTTCCATCCTTTGCTCCATACCACAACGACCTAACCATATCTATAACATTTATCACTTTTCTTGGTTATATACATTGAAACACACATATCACTTTTGTGACATTCGTTCTCAACATGTCGCTCTCATTATTGCGTGCATCGACTGCACACAGGATGTTGTTTATCCCAGAACTCGTCAACATGGTATTCACCTTCATGGATCGTGAAAGTAACGTCACAAATGCTTGTGTATGCAAGCATTGGTCCGATATTGCTCTTGACTTACTCTGGAAAAACGTGGATAATCTCCTTCAGCTCATCAATCTGCTCGCGCCAGTTCATATATCTCGCGGCTACTACGTCTGTCCAGTTCTTTTTTCACTCAATTCGTATTATTTAAATACGTACTTCACATTCCCCCTTCTGACAGATGTTTGTTAAACTCCCAGACGCCAACGCGTGGCTCAGATTTCAACATTATGCTAAACGTGTCCGGACGCTCCGTTTCTGTGATAACACCGAAGATACGGGCGTACAGTTGCGACTGCGCCCAATTTTTGACGACATCGCTAGGACAAGGACGGCTTTGGACATCCTGCCTAACCTCCACACACTTGAGTGGCTAACCTACCAGGACAACTGCATGGAGCTCTCAGTCCTCTTCATGCACACGCGTGTAAAACACTTCGTCCTATCTGTTCCCTCTGATCCAGAACAGTCGAGACTCGCATTCTTTACCGATATCTGTGCCAGGATGCCTCATCTAACAGAATTGGATCTGCGTATCCCATTCGCGATGAGCAACATTGAGGATGATATTCTGGCACTATTACGCGGACTGCCAAACTTGCGAAAGGTAGTCTTTCCGGAATACCACCTCACGTCCAAGGTCGTATCTCAGCTCTCTCAGCTTCGCAGAATAGGAGTGGTGCAATTCGAGCATGGCGATGCCCAAGGATGTGGATCTGTGCAGGACGTCGAGTCGTTCGAGCCCACTCTATCTGAAGGCGCCTTTCGGTCATTGTGGGATCTGTCTCTGACAGCTCGTCTCACCGACGTTGACCGTTTTCTCAACAAGTCGTTCGCTCCCATCAACCTCACAACTCTTTTCGTTAACACCTGCTGGATTCAAAGCCCACGCCACCTTCACACTCTCCTTTCAACTCTTCTCGACAACTGCCAGCTCCTCTCCAGCCTTTACCTTGAGCTACTCTACTTGACCGAACAGCACGAGGAGCAAATCACACCCGAGCTTCAAATCAACTTTAGCACATTAAAGCCTCTCCTCTCCTTCCCTAATCTCACGACATTCGAGCTGACACACGAATACCCCGTAGACATCACGCTAGCGGAGATAGAAGAACTAGCCAGAAATTGGCCTTCACTCGAACGTCTCTCGCTCAATTGCGAGCCCCTCGTCATGGATCATTTCACTCTCGACCTCCGTGCGCTCCTCCCTTTCGCGCGATACTGCCCGAAACTGCGTAAACTCGGCTTGTTTCTTAACGCGACGACGGTAGACATGCCAGATGTACGCGAATTGGGGTTGAGGCCGTTCCCCGCGCTGCGTACTCTGTCGGTCGGTGTGTCGAAGGTACAGGAGGAAGAGCCGGTCGCGCTTTTCTTGAGTCAGGTCTGCCCACTTGGGTGCGAGATTGAGTTTGGTGTGACATGGCTCCGTTCGCCTGGATTTCCTCTTCTAGTGCTCGCCTCAGTTGCAGACCGGTGTTTAGCATGGGAATCAGTCAAGCGGCTCTTGCCGTCGTTGATAAAACTGCGGAGAGAAGAGAGGAAGAGGACAAAACGTTTAGTTGAAGAGGTCGAAGATCTTCGCATACGCAGCAGGCTACTGACAGAAAAACGCAATTTAAAAACGGACGATTCGTGTGTCATATCGTAGGGGACATTTTCTATATCTAAGCAGATTGGATTCGTGACTGGGAATGTGTATTGTTATTGTATTGTTATTTGTGTGAGCTACAAGTGGAGAAACCGTTGATTGAAGTTTAGTATACAACTATCATTCTTCCTGTAGGACGTGCTAGATAAAAACAAAGGCTTGGGGTAATATATACCGGCCAGTTAAGCCTTCTTTAGCTTTTCTTCAGAGCATGTATCTCCTCGCTGGATCAGAATTTACGCTGAGGCAATGTTTGCCCGTAAAAATGCTGCATCATAGCTTCGGTATGTGTAATCGTGAGGTTGAACAGAGGGTGCGTCGCATTCTAGTCAGGTAGTTGGTGAATATCAAGATGACATCGATTCACCGAAAATGGATGCTTACAACGCGGTTTCCCTGTCCTCCAATAATTTGTGAGGTCCCTTCCTCCTCCGTCCACGACAAAGCTTCTATAAATGCTTCTTTACGTATCTCGTTGAATTCTGTATCGCATTGTTCAAATGTTAAAGTAGAGTAATTAATTATTATTATATATATAAGTCCCCACCTGAGACTGGACTCCATGATCCTCGAAGCTGGGAACGTCGTGCTGGTGAAGGAAAGACATTATGTTGTGCAGAAGAAAGACCTGAGAGGCAGTACAATGTGTGGTAAGCATCTGAGCTCCTATAAAAGCACCGATGAGCGCGCGATAGCATGATATAATGAGAACGCACTTTGGAGGTTTATCCCTCAGCCCACCAGCGGGATGTTGACCAGCCAATAGAATATATTCTTGAAGTGCAATCCGATTCCAGAGAGAATCTGACCCATGAGATGTGACTTTCATGATTATCCAGAAGAGAAAGAGGATCTGGCCTACCATCGACTTCATCCCACAACTCACCTTCAGAGTCCGATGACCCCGTGTCCACATCCCGTCCTTGGCCTCCACCTATCCCTAACGAAGCAAGGAGAGAGAAACATCCACCGACCCACCATGAATAGCACCCGTCCACAAGCTTGTTCGTGCGCCCTCTGAATCCGCCCAGCTCGATCGGTAGACCCTGCATGTGTGTCAGCCATCTAAGCAGCGCTTTGAAGTCGACACTTGGCCTCGTAGAGGGGTCTTCGAGAGCCAAGAAGGGCTGAAGCATGATCCAGGAGCCAAGGGAGCAGAATGTGTATCCACCGTGAGCTTCGCCAAGCGGTGGCCGGGGGGCATTCAATATGGTTGATGTACCACTGGGCCCGGGAGAGTAGTAAGGTTGAGAGGATGATGAGAAGCCGCCTTCGTAAGTCTGACAAGAAGCTACGAAACCTGCTGTTCCTTCTACAAGCTCAGGCGTGAGGAGGTTTAAGAGATAGGCTGTCACGAGAAGACAATATATTCCACTATTTCGAATAAAAGTCAAATGTGTACTGTTTGAGCAATATCGAAAGTAACGAACCGAGCATCTACTTCGGCATGATGTGATACAAGGAAGGAACCATCTGGCTGCTTGAGAGACATGAAGAACTTGTACATTTTGGCACTGAATCAAATCAGTTTCGCTAGGGAGAAATCTGACCACTGAAGCTCACCGATCTACCTGATCCCACCCGCCTCTTGGACCTGGTCTCCCTACATTGGCGAGAGCGCTTACTGCGGCATACGTAGGTAATAGATGAGCAGCTTGTCCTGGTCCACCGCCAAAGCCACCATCCGGATGCTGCCATGCAAGGATGGTATCGATGGTTCTGTTACCGGTGTATGAGATGATAGCTATAGGACAGAGGACGACCGTCGATAGTACCTTTGTTTGTTATCTGGATCTAACGCGACTCCCAAAATGCTAAAGCTTTGCAGCGTCCAATACAGCAACCATGGCTGGCTGGCATCCTGGCTAGTATATCTCGTCGGCAGGCCCTGGGTAAGGTTTCGCACCAAATACTGCATATGCAGATTCTTCTGCAACACTAATGGCGTGTTAGGATCCAGTGGCAGGTGCTTCAAGAGCGTAGATTCCGTCTCTGCCTGAGTTTCAGAGGTTTCCGTGTCATATGAATCCGTAGGAAATGGCCTTGGAAAAACCATATTGATATCAAAAATGGTGGAAGGAGACAACAAACAAGTTGAGACAATTGAGGATGTTCATATTGTTAGCATAACTGGAAGTCGCGACCTTGCCCCTAATAAGGTTACAATACATAACGCCCAATCGGAGTCATACCATAATGACTTTGCTGCATTCAACACTCTCGCATACAAGTTTTTATACAACTTCTGCATCTATATCAAAACAGGACCTGATCCATTTTATACACTCTTCTGTCAACCTACAAAACCTTCTCCACAAGACCCAGACCCTCCTTTTCTAAGATAGCGCGGATAGGATCACAGATATCTTTGGTATAGGGTGCATGAACCCCTGGCGTGGTGAATACACCATCCAGCACTAACTGCGTAGCGATACCACAAGGAACCCCGACCGTCAGTGCCATCGCTGAGTGTCCTGTGGGGTCACCATACTGCTCTAGGGTCGAAGTAATGGTTTGCTAATGGACAAACCCGTTAAAAGATGGATACCATAATTAAAAAATGGACAAGTTTTAACTAACCTGGGTCCCATCTGCGTTCTCGACAACGAATTTGTGCTGGAGCATCACTAGATCCCGTTCTCCCTCCTCGTACTTCATCAGAGTCTCCAACTGAGCACACAGAGTGTCCAAAAGGTTTTTGCCCCTGGCCTTGACTTTTTCCGACGAGAACAGTCCGATCCACTTCAACCCGGAGATGATGCGGGTGCTCTCTGCTTCGCTTGGGAAGTTGCACACAGCCTTGACTCGGGAAACAAGGGAACTATCGGGAAAACTGAGCTACGAAGTTACAACTTCCATATTTCGTCGCTTACCTCTCAGTGGAATCGTTGGCACCAATCGTTTTCTGCATCACCTCAGCCCAAGTCAAATCCTCGTCCAAGAAAGCCTTTTCAGTTGCGTCCAGCCATCCCAGTGTGACTAGGGCTTTGATGAACTCCGGGAAACCCTGGTAACGCAGAGTCCCGCGTACGACAGTTTCCGCTTCGGGTATATTGTAGAACTCTCTGAATGGGACGGAATTGCGGTTCGGGTACGCAACGAATGCAAAGGCAGGTGAGATGAAGTAGGGTTGTGCGTAACCCATGAGTTCAGTGCCAGTGATGTCAAGCTGTTTGCTGTCTGACAAGTAGGAAGCCGGGTTCAATAAAGCGAGGAGAACCCCCCGTGATGACCATGAAAATTTGTATCCCAGAGGATTGCCAGAGCACTCCGGTGCAGGAAGGCCACCACAGTATGATAAGAATTGTTTGATCTGTCGCAAAAAAAATTAGATTAAAGAAAATAATTAACAGTTCGTCTCCCAGATTTACCTTTCCACCTTTGGCATGAACTTCGTCGATGGTTTTCACGGCGTATAAGTGGTCAATACCAGGGTCAAGACCGATTTCGTTCAGAACCACAATGCCCGCTCTCTTTGCTTCCTCATCTAGCTCCCTCATAGCGGGAGAAACATAGCTGGTGGTGACAACCTGAGTTTTTCCTTTGATAGCAGACTTGATGACTGCAGTGTGGTAGGTATAAGGAATGAGTGATATGACGAGATCATGTGCCGCCACTTGAGCATCTAAATCTGCAGTGGAGTTTACATCGAGCGCGATAGCCTTTGAGTTGGGCAGGCCACCAGCGAGAGCTTCGGCACTTGCAAGAGTACGGCACGCTAAAATGCAGCAATTCAGTACGTTTTAAAAGCACAATTATTTGTTTTCAAAAAAAAGTACCAATAGTGAGTTCGTTGGAAGGATCGCGGACTATATATTCAGCACAAGGACGTGCGACAAACCCAGAGCCGAGAAGGAGAACCTTTCGGGGGGCTTTCCCTTCAGACGCAGCTTTCGCAGCAGCGGCCGCCCTACCAAAGACGGGAGATTTGGCCTTTCCTTCCTCGAGAGATGCACGGGCAAATTCTGGCAGAACGAAAGCAGAGCGATGCACGTTTTCGTTGTAGTACAGCGTATCTGCTATTTTGCGAACGGGAGTCCTGAGATCCCGTCCTTTCTCCTTTGAGCAGACCACGAAACCGATCTGTCCGGAAGGATATGTTGGGATAGTCGTGAACGCATACTCCGAGACAGCGAATATTTCGCGAGTCATATTCCTAAGTTCAGAAATGAGAGGGAGATGGAGCCACAAACTTTCGCCTTGAGTTGAAATATGCCCCCCTGGAGTGAGAGCATCGTGAAGAAGTTGGAAATAAGGCTTTTGGAATAGAGATTCTGCAGGTCCAACCGGGTCTGAAGAATCAGTGATGATGACGTCGTAGGTGGCTTCATTATCGGCAAGAAATTTGAAACCATCGCCTACAAATACTGTTACTCTTGGCGAACTGAGAAGTGAGGACATGTGTGGAAGATAAGTTTTGGATACTCTTATGACAGCCTAGCATTATGGATGAAGCGATATGCAAGAGCAGGTGGAACATATGACCTACCTCATCGATATCGCAAAGTACGACCTGCTCCACAGTATCGTGCTTCAAGACCTCACGAACAACGCCACCATCACCGCCTCCGATGACGAGAACCTTTTTGGGGTTGGGATGGCTAGCAAGAGGTAAATGGGCGATCATCTCTTGGTAGCTGACGAAAAAAGAACGTTGACATTCAGCATGACTTATCACAGAGTCAAATCGATAATGATAACGACTGACGAAAATTCATCGCGTTCGGTGCACTGAATGACACCATCCAACACAAGTACATTTCCATATGTCTCTGACTCAAAGACGAGGACGTCCTGGTATAAAGACTTCTCCATGTGGAGAATTTTATTGACCTTGAGGGTCATAGCCTGACCCGGCCACTGGGATGAAATCTCGCGGAACCATCCATCTGTCTATGAATTAGGATGTTTCAATGCAAGTGATAGTAAAAAACTGGAGCACCTTTGATTGAGGGGTGAGTGAGGGGAGCCATGTTGAGTAAATAAGGAGTGAGCGTTAGAACTCGTTATAATTTTGTACTCCAAAGACCGAGTCAGAAATTTTGGTTTGCGGAAAATCCCCAATCAGCTTATCAGAAAAATCGTTATCTTATCAGATACCGATCCCGGACACAACCGAAGAGCCCGATCACGACACGAACTTAGAAATCGGAGTCCCTTGGGCAACTTATCTATGACTATACACTATGGCTCTGCCAGTGGAACATAACCAGCCCTTCGCCAAACTCATCTGGCGAAATGGCGACATGGGCGGCAGTCAAAAGTTGGCCACTACTGTTGGCCCTTGTTAACCCATAAGCAGCCCTAGAGCTTGGACGTCGTTACCAGTTGCGTTGGAAGGTTCCGCTATGTCTGGTCGCAAGCGGTACATCTTTGAAAGGCATTTATGCTACGATGCAACTTAACAACAACACGATCTTAAGGGATGAGCACGTATCGTATCGGGCATTCACTCACAGTCGTTGAAGATGTCACTTTTACAACACATGGTGTCGAAGCATAAGCGAGAAGATGGCGGTTAATTTAAGGCTGCGACAGCCTCGTTTACGAGAAGCAACGAATGTGAGTGGGACAAATCAAGTACATTGGAAGTTGTGACCTAACCTGTTATTGTTCGGCCTCGACCACTACAGAAATCAAGTCGACCACGAAGCTGGAAAACCAATCTGTGTTCCCAGCGACATGCAGCAGCCGGGGCCGGCGACCGCACTGGCAGTACAGGCTACACGAAAGTGACAAGGCGCCAAAGACAATAGTAACCCTTGATGAAGGGGGCTCGAATGGCATTAACTTAGCGGTTTCAAGCATGACAGCGGCGTGGTCTTCAGCAATAAATCCAAACTAGGAAAACAACGATTATAATCACTTACCTCCGAGTCGTTAGCAGGTGATGGAAACATGTACTTACCGTGACACGTTGCATAACAAACGCGGCAAGAAAAAGCCAGAGCCAGATGTCGCATCAGTGCGTTTTCACATTGCCCTCCATGATTACTTCATCGAGAAGGCAAGTAGCAATGAATGTGGTTGAATGTTGAACGCGGAAGCAACAAAATTGAGCGGGCAAGTACCGTGCCAATTACGCGTCGCGTCGAATACAGACTGCCAAAAGAAGAAGGGAAATCTTATATAATGTACCAAACCAGGAGGACAATGGGGCGGAGTGCAAGGCTTGCCTGACAACTTGGACATGCTTGGGACCGAAATATGACTTCGCGGCCCTAAAAATATTCCATCTCGTCAGGGGGGAAAAAGAAAGATCTTTGTGAGATGCCGACAGCCTTGCATTTACCCAAAGGGCTTAAATATCGGCAAAGTAAGCTCCTGACCAGCCGAGTAGAACTCTTGAACTTGAACTTGAAGCTGCACCAACTGATTTCCCTCGAAAGCAGGCAACAGGTATCGCTCGATCCATCTCGAGCCCACTTTCATGACCAGCAATGTCTGTCCTTAACTTGTCCGATGGCTCTTTGTACTCGGGGGCCGGCGACAACGACGGCAAGAATTATAGTATGTTCCTTTCTTCCGAACTCCATTATTGATGATGACCTGCTTTCACCCCAAGGACCAGTCTTTCCCATCTCTCTTCCCTCTCGCTTTCATCCATTTATGACCAGCTCATCATCTCTTGACGACTCATGCGACATTTTCCTTTCTCATAAACATGATTCCATTGTACCACCTTCATCTAGCATCGACACAACAATCATACAACCACCCAATTTGACAGTAGACGTACACGCACTCACCACAGATTCTCCTCCATCCCGATACCCAGACTCCCCAGACTCCCTTCTAGATATTGAATCACTACCGTCGCCCGCTTCCTTTCTCCAGAAAGCTCTCCCAATGCCTGGGGTCGCTGACCTCGCCAACAAGTCGGTTCGGAAGTCCCATGCCCGCAAGCAACCTCCTGGTCATATTCCCCGCCCCAGAAATGCATTCATTATGTTCCGTTGCGATTTTGTCGAGCAGAAGAAGGTCCCTGAAGCTGTTGAGAACGACCACAGGAATATCTCGAGGATTGCGGGAAAGTTATGGCGAGAAATGTCCAAGGAAGAGAAACAGCCTTGGATAGAACTAGCAGAAAAAGAAAAAGAGAGACACGCCGCTCAGTATCCAAACTACAGATACAGTCCCGCTCACAACCTTTCCATCCGGCAAGGTGTAACTACAAAGCGAAGAAAGACAAAGGGCGAACGAGACGACGACGCAACTTCTCGACTTGCATCGTCAAGGGGTCGGCGCAACCGTGATGTCCTAGGTGCAGTAACAATGGAGGATTCCGAGCTGGATCAGTCAATCCAAAGCCCATCCGCTCTTATCCCTCCACGTCGGTCATCTTCTTGTCCTCCCCCTGGTTCTGCTCCTGTTCCAGCCAAAAGTGAGCTGGACGCTTGGACTCGAATGTATACCACGCAAGATGACCTTGCTCGTCGTCCGAGCAGGGTAGTTACGTACCACTCTGTGACTTCTCGGCCCATCTTTGTTCCACCCCTTGTCCCAAATCCTCAGATCCTCACAGTGCAACCGACTGGAAGCCCCTGGTACCGTGCGCCAGAACCCTACCACTGGCCTCAAGATCTACAAATGCAAGAGCACGAGACGTTCAGAGGATACCATCCCCCGTCCGACATTCCCCAATATACAGTGCCTTTTGACCCTATGGTGCGTCCCGTGATTTAGATGTCTCGTCATTTCAAGCGAGAACTAATGAAACCATGTCAGGATACCATCTTTCCGTTCCATGCATCGGGTGTTAGCTTGGACTATACAGATCAAATGGCCAATTTGAAGACAGAACCCACATTCACGAATCCTTTCAGCACCGGGTATGACTCGTGTGGCGATCATTCTAGTGGTGCGTTACGGCCAGTGTTCATGCCACCCGAAGATATCTCGCCCCTTGATTGTATCGCCACTAACACCAACCACACTTTCCCGAGTGCAACTGGTCAATCTTTCCAGCAACACCGTAACCTTGCCCATCAGCCACAGGGTCCGGCGAATACCTTCTTTGACGGACAGGGTAACCTAAACGGACAAGATCAACAGCTCCCTAGCAACATGTGCTTATATGATTTTGGCCTTCAGGGTTCTCATGACGTGCATGACAATTCATTATTCTTTGCACCGGGGCCTGGCGCTCATGGAGATACAACATATTCCTTCCAGTGACGAAACTATTGATATCCTGCAATCAGAGAATGGGGGAATATGATTAGAACTATGAATACCTTCCGCGAGTACTAGTCATCATACGACTCGCCTTTTGTGTGTACAACAGGATTGGACGCACAATTTTCGAATTTCTTCTTGCTACCCTAGTAGAACCTTTTGACTACGATACCATATAATGCACTGATACACGCCTGTCGAGATTATATTTCCAAACATGATGAAAGCACACTAACGCCGCGAACGCGACTTGAATAGAGCAGCCAAAGTTTAAGCATCTTCGCCATACAGAAATCTGTGCAGTTTTTGAAGAAGCTGTCGGTCCTGTGAAGCTGAAGGCAGTGCGGAAAACGTTTAGAAGGATGACGACAGGCTACGAATGGCAAAGTTGGAGCTAACATCGGATGATGGGGCGAAAAAAAACTTGCCCTTCTTACCTCGTCCATGTTTTGTTTGATTTTAGCCCTCAACTAGCACATTTCGTTGCACGATCTTGCCTCACCTGAGTTAGCCCCTGCTCTAAGCGTTCCTGTTCTTTTTCCCCGATTCCTGGAATTTCTTCTCCGCCATCTCGTTTCCTTGCACTCATTCCTGGTTTCTTCCCTGCATTCTTGTTCCCCTCCTCCGAGTCCTGATACATATCGCGTGTCTCCAGATAAATTCCGACCGAGTGCACAAATCTCATGTTGAAATTCTGGATCGTCTCACTCCTCACACCGCTTCGTGATGACCGGGGGCCCCTTCAATCATTTCCTCGAGTGCCTTTTCTCGCTTTGCGTCGGGTCGCGGAGTGGCGAAGATGGACGCACTGCCATCAAACGTCATCACCTTTGCTCATTTTTCTTCTCCATGCTGACTGAAAGAGAACAGAACGTCGTTGGAAATTGTATAGTGAAGTGAAGGTAGCCTATTCGTGGACCGTCCCTTCCGAAACTGAGTTCCACCGAGTCGTTAGGAATGTTGAGTTGGAATATTTCAGCCCCGGGCCTAGCTCTCTCATGTGTGGCCATACCGAAAGCTCGCTGAATTATGCCTTGAAGGCAACCCCAGTAAAATCTCTCAAGGAGCGCTGTAGAGCGAAGAAGAGAAAGAGCGGCGTCACAAGTGACGTGAGTGTATGTGACGCGTCATGCGACTGTCGGTCACGCGGTCACGCTGCTTCAGTTTTGCATTAGCGACTTCAAAATTTCAAGCGTTCATAAAAGCCTCATTTGTTGTTCGCGAGTGGGGTTTCGAGAACGAAAGGATGATTCAATCTAGGGCTCACAAGTTTCAGTCTCTTCCCTGCGTCTTCTTCTTTGAACGGAACCAAATGTTGGCCATCGATCGTACTGACACCATCAAAAATTCCCAATATAAAACGAGTCAGGACAACTTATTCGACCATATCAGTTTGTGAGCTCTAAAGTTGAGGCTTGCAACGAAAGTCACGGTCCCGCCTTGTGGTATACCTCATCCTCAGACAGACACCACATCGCTATCGTTACCCTAGTTGAGTGCAACCGCAAATTTTTCTTCATGTTCCATGCCCACGTTGGTGCCCAGGACACAAAACTGAGCATGGGTATACTATCAACTCGATTTCCTCGGAGTATCGCTCGTGCTAGCAGGCTCCCACAGAACTATAATGCCAATCTCTCTACTGTCACATCTTCATATCCCCGACATTAAATCTCGAACTTGCGAACCCGCAAAGGCATCTTTTTTTCCTGAAAGAAAACTCGAAGAACACTGTAGGTATTATAGGCCTGCGGAACGGAGCCCGGGCTTTAGTCACGGCCCTCATCCGCATTCCATGGGAACAGCGCAAAGATGCAGTTGGCAGACCCGACCTCTCCTCTTTTGGCACAGCCCTTCGATGCCCAACTAAGAGCAAATTCTCCGTGTCTAACCGTGTCCGAGCTCCAGAAAAAGCTACCGATAGACGCTGCCAAGGTGGCACGGCCCCTTCTTGGTTGGTCACTGTCCCTTTTACGAAGCTCGCGGAACTCACAGACGTCGGTACTCCGGAACGTACAAAAAGCCTATGCCCTATGATTGGTTCAAAGCCATCGGTGTCATCTATTTATGAAATGCTTCATAGACTCGAGGGCGTCAAGAGGAAGAGAGGTAAGATCGATGGCGGGTTCCTTCCATTGAGGCAGGCCAGCTTCCGCCTCGGAGAGTGTGTGTTGTTGAATTTATAGACGTTTGTTCCGCGGTAAGAACATGTATTCCAGCGTGACTGCATGTTTCATGCGAAATTGCACCCGATGTTTGAGGAATGAAGGAAGGAAGGCATGGGTGTACGCAAGTGTTCTGAGATTGCTGTCCAACGAGCAGGATTATGAATACTGCTGTAGAATGCTATCAGCACCGGCCTGAATGAAGCGTGCTGTTAGCAGATTCAGTGGATTCGCGTCCAAAGTCCACGGATTGACTCGAAGCTGTCATTCTCCTGTATCGCGAATTGTGATATGCCGGGAAGACGACATGCGTGAGACGCCTCGTGCAGTGGTAGGGTCACTGTTTTTTTCTGCGCTATCGCTGAATTCTGGGGACCGATCTTCTCCTACTTCGAAAAGCGATTAGTCGTTTGAATCATGGAGAAAGCTATCGAAGGTCGTTTATGCTTTGGAAGGATCGTACTCTGATAGGATCCTACGGCCCGGGAAGGGTGCGAGTGACGGTCCGATGTGTGCACCTAAGATACTGTTTCTCATCGAAAGACACGGAGATTCTTGTACTTTGACGATGGTAGTGCCCTGTAAATCCTCGATCACTTCACCCGGCCCGCCATTTTCCCAAACTCAGCGGCTTTCACATCTGCGCGAGTACTTCTCCACTTTTCAGCTACTTCCCTTCTCATCATAGACTCTGTAGGCGCTCATTTCCTCATGGTATTCGATCGGTGATTAATAGTGCAGCGACGTTGTCCTGTGTGTATTTTCATTGCATTACCCAAATTACAGAGCATGTCATCCTACCCCGCATCATCTGCGGGCCGTCCCTTGAACCTTGAGACCTCGACAGGCCATGGTCATCTTTACCGCAAGCTTTACGGCACCGATGTCTTCTCCAAGGCAACAAATTCTTGAGCTAAGTCAAATTGATTGATTGGTTTGTTATCGTGTGAATGACAGCCAGTTCTTGCCAGAAGAGAGTGATATCCGATAGGAACCTGGTTCGTTCTAAAAGATTACTAAAGTGAGATTGGTACCCCCTTTTTCAGACAATGAATAGCCACGTTAAGATTTGGATCGCGTTTTGGCAGTTTAAACCCGCCAAACCATCACTGTATGAACGGTGCGAATCCGGTATACCGTACTATGTATCAGGTAAGTTTGTCGTCGTGTGTAACGGAATCGTGTGGGAACAAGACTGATTTTTTCCATTCATTCATTTTCCATTCGACTGCATTGCCAGGACGATAGGACTCCAGTGACTGGTTATCGAGACTACGCCGGCGACTCATGTGATCCAACCATGGACATACTTAAACCAGGAGGTGGGTAGAACGCTAAGAAAAGAACGTGAAATGTACATGCCGGATGTCCAGACGGTTACCCAGTGGAGCAGGTGTACTTTTGACAGCTCCTGCGTACCTGGAGAGATGATGGAGATCCTGTGCTATTTGCTGAGAAAGCGACATGAGACCCCCAATGCAGTGGACATATCGTGCAGTAAATGCTCATTACCGCACAGTGAAGGTGGCCATTAGTAGTTCGTGCGGGGTAACCGGACCGCCGGGCCGTGCCCCACAGGCACTGTACTTTCCCCGCAAGTCGGATCTCCAGGGTTTTTTCGGTAGCGCTTCGTTGTTTATAAAGGCCATCGGTTTCATACGAGAGCTCAAACGGATTTCCCTCTCTCTCTCACCTCCTCACCCACCATGCACTCTCCAGAAAGCAGGTGGAAGAATATCAGAGTATACTGTATGTCCTACCATCCCTTAGCTTGCTTTCTCATCATCCTCACTCACACCCAGGGCTGGCTTTCGTTTCGTATTGGGGAATCGTGCTCTTTGGTTATGACACGTTAGTGCACCATTTGATGACGCTGTGGCATTCTTAAACGCCTCTACATCTAGTGGAATTGCCGGAGGGGTTGTCTCACAGCCCTACTTCCAGACACATTTCGGTCTGACAAATGCAGACGGTCAAGTGAACCAGTCAAAATCTAACGAGGTTTCCTCCAACGTTGTTTCTGTCCTTCAAGCCGGAGCATTCTTTGGTGCCCTGGGAAGTGCACCTCTCTCAAGTTTGTCTTTTTCAAAAAGCATATCTGCATTCATTCATGTACCCATCTGCTCTGTCACCAGGTTGGTTAGGTCGCCGCTATACCTTGGTCGCTTTCACAGTCATTTTCTCCGTCGGTGCTGTAGGTTTCATCATATATCCGTCTACTCATCAGTCTAACTGGCGAGCCGCAGATTCTTACGACGGTAGCCGGTGGCAGTCGAGGGCTGGGCTACATCTATGGTGGCCGTGTCGTTTCCGGTTTGGGAATCGGTGGTATTTCCGCTGTAGCGCCGGCCTATGTATCAGAATGCTCGCCAAAAAATGTCCGTGGACGCATTACGGGAATGTTCCAAATCATGGTGGCAATTGGTGTCATGATATCTTACTTCATCAACTGTGCGTTGTTCAGAGTCGTTTATTCAATCCTATCACGACTGACTTGCTGTATAGTTGGTATAGGACTTCATATTTCTAACAGCGCACAAGTTTGGAGAATTCCTTTCGGTTTCCAGCTTGTTCCCGCGGGCATGATGTGCCTCGGTCTCTTTACAGTCAAGGTTGGTCATTGGAACTCTGTGGCTTTTCCAGTTCATTAGACCCCATACCTATTTTCATAGGAATCTCCTCGTTGGCTGGCATCCAAAGGTCGCATGCAGGAAGCCCTCGATAACCTTGCCTATCTTCGAAAGGAACATAACGACTCGCTGGAGGTGCGACACGAGTTAGCCGAAATTGAAGGTGCGATAAGGGAAGAACGAGAAGCCCGAAAGGGTCTCGGTCTGAAGGAAGCATTTTTCGGTCGTGGCAATTTCATTCGATTCGTTATCGCATTTGTCATTTTCCTTCTGCAGCAGTGGAGTGGCCAGAATTCAGTTGGCTACTATGCACCGCAGATTTTCAAATCAGTATGTCTCGTTCTGCCTTATCCCTTAGACCTATCTCCTGACATCCGCCCAGATCGGATACACAGGGACAGCAAACAGCTTGCTCGCTTCCGGTATATACGGTATTGTGAAAGTAGTCGCAACCGCTATCTTCGTCTTTTTCCTCGTCGAATCGCTCGGTCGAAAAATCTCGTTATTTATCTCGTCACTGGGGATGGGTGTCATGTTTTTCATCATCGGAGCTATCCTCAAGACGCATCCTGTGGCGACAGTCGCCGTTGGTCAGACCGGCCCTCCTCCCTCATCATCATCAAAGGCCATGGCTGCTATGCTTTACATCTACGTCTGCTTCTACTCGATGGGCTGGGGCCCCCTTCCTTGGGTCTACGTCTCCGATATCTTCCCGACTCGTACCCGTCATTACGGATTGGCCGTCGCCAGCGGATCGCAATGGCTCTTCAGTACGTGCATTCCTCTGTACCCGTGATCATGCTCTGACCGATAGGTGGGGTTCAGACTTTGTTGTTTCCAAAGTGACACCCACTCTGGAGACGGATCTCGGCTATAAACTCTTCATGATGTTTGCCGCGATCAATATCGGCGGCATGGCTATCTTCTCATTGTAAGTAGCAAATCTTACCCCGCCCTCAACACAGGTCCTTACATCGTTTATTTCCTAGACTTCTTCCCGAGACCAAAGGACGCAGTCTGGAAGAAATGGATATCATATTCGGGGCCGTCGCCGCCGAGTCTCGCGACGCCTTCATCGAGAAAGAAGAAAGAGGTACGCCGATGCTCAAGTGCCACCTTCTTCCCTGTCTAATCCGTCTTCCCAATAGCCTTTGAACACGAAGTCAACGAGACGACGTCTGAGCGATCCATCGATCGCAAAGTCTGAGGCGACCTGTTTTTTTTTTTTTTTTTTTTTTTCCATGTTTGGGCTTGAGCTATATCTATTATATCATACCGCCTGATTCACGAACTAGTCATCCGAGGCTACTGCCATGTCTGTATTATACGAACCGTCACGCTTATCTTTATTTTTTTCCCAACGTAGGAGTAGTTACCTCAGACCGGATCTCAGTCCGATCTTGCATGTCACCGAATAAAAGGTATAAAACACAAAAAAAAAAAATACGCCCCCCGCCCCCACACGCTTTTTCAGCTAATTTGTTTCCTATGTTCGAACCTTCAGAGAATGCCATCTACGAAAAAATACAACTTTATAAACTCTTCGACAGCAGCTCTTCGTAGTCTATGGTCTCGCCTTCTCTGGGGGAGCCGGTGCCCCACCCACATAGTTGTTGTGGGAACTTGGCGCCTTCCTCCGTGATCAACCGAACATCACCCTCCTCCAAACTAAAATCAAGAACCAGTTGCGCCTTCTGCCTTTCATCTTTCGTCGTCGTCGTGATCGTCAAAAAGCCCTGTTGGTGCTGCCATTTGAGAAGAACCTGGCCAGGCGTCACCTTGTATTTCCCTGCCATCGAATCCAGGATCGGACGAAGGGGACCGTTCGCGCTGCGTCCAACCGGCGTGAGTGGGCCATAGGCTGCGATCCTGATATCATGCCCGCGGCAGCACTCGACCGTGTCATGCCTAAAACAAGAGGAATGCGTTTGTGGCCGCTGCAGCACGCGATCGACGGATACGAAAGCGGGGGACTCACTCGTAGTGGTACGGGTGCAGCTCGATCTGGTTCACTTCCGGCTTCTCCCTCGCGCATCTGAGCAAACGCTCCAGAGAGTTCGGACGGAAGTTGGAGACGCCGATATGGCGGGCGAGACCGTTGGCCTTGACGGCCTCCATGCTCGCCCACGCCTCCTCGAGGCTGAGACCGCCGATTTCCATAAACGGGGTGTGTATCAGGTATAGATCAACGTAACTGGAGGCCGGGATAGACGTTTCAGCTAATTGGACGAGAAGATGGTCATCATCCTGCTTACTCGAGTCCAAGCGCCTCCAAACTCTTACGAAGGGCCCCTTCGACATCCTTGTCTTTGATTCCCATCCAAGGGTGGACTTTGCTTGTGATAAATAGCTCGCTCCGAGGGATGTTGGGGAAAGCCTTGAGGGCACGTCCCAGCACGGGTTCCGTTGTGTAAACTTCTGATTCGTCAAAGTGACGATACCCGTTTTGTATGGCACGCTTGAGGACGTCTTCCAGAAACTCAGCGTCAAGGTATGATTCACTGGGACAATGGCGAAAGTTGAGTCATGCGGTTCTACTGCGAAGGAGGAGTAAGCGATACTTACTCGATAGGAGCAGCACCGAATCCTACGGCAGGGACTTTATCGCCGTTGGAAAAGGCAAACGTTGAAAGCGAAGACATTGCAACAACAAAATGGTTGAAAAACGGGCAGCAAACGATGATATACTTGAGTAGTTGATGATTATTGATTGCAACACTAGGCTCACACAGCTAACCCGAATAACCTGGACCTTTTAGCTTCGTTTATATGCGATGGTTAACCCGAGCAAGACATAGCCGATGTAAGTCGCAATTATCTTATCAAAGTCATGCCCAAGTTTACTTCGGATTCTTGTGATCTAATAACGCGAGTAAACTTAATATCGTCAGATGTATAGGTCAGGCCATGACCTAGATTCTTTTCATGAGTTGTATTGTTTTTGATCCCATTTACTAGTCACGTCAAACCAATCGTAACTCGTCCACATGATGCACCTCGATATTGGCAATCAACCACTGAGCTGCCTCGAAAAATTGTTTCGCGTAAATGGGCACAAGGTGAGAAAAGGCTGCATCATAGCACACTTCAATCTTCACGTCTTCTTCATCAATAATGGTCGTCCATGCAATTGCCACAGGTACATCAAAGCCCAGTGCACCATGTTGTAAAACTGTGCGTGTAGGCTCTTTGTATGTTCGTAGGTTCCATACGAAGTTGAAGAAAGGATTGAGGTCTCTGGTACTACAACGCTGAACTTCTTCAAAGTGGACCAGCGACCTGTCCATCAGCTCATCTTGTGCCATCTGGATACGACGAAGTAATTCAAGCACCGTGTCCTCGGGATGGAAATCGACACAGTCGACAAGGCAATTGACCAGCATACCACAAATCTGAGTGATGCCGTCAATAGGAGCATTGCGACAAAATTGTGCTTGCCCAAACGCAACCGAGTTCCGCTTTGTCTGATTACGCATGACCAAGGCGATTGCAGCTTTAAGCAAGGTAGAGGAATGAATACCAAATGCGCGGGAGATTTTCGCGAGGCCAGAGAGCCTTTCTTTACGTTCGAAGTGTGGACCGAGCACCGAAATAGTAGAGTACGCTGAGTCTTCATCACACGAAGGGAATGGAATGGCATCTAAGCTGGAAAGTCGGTTTGCGAGCCACTCCACTGAAGACGAGCGTGTCCATTCATTGATTGCGTAGTCGACAAAGTTGCGAAACGGTACTGGGTCGGGAAGTGAGTGGCCTAAGATGATGCTTTCAATCTCATCAAAAAGAATCTGCTGTCCCCAGCCATCAAGTGCACATTGATGGAAACAACAGAGTAATGTGAGTGGCTTGGTCTTTATGACATTAAAACGCCACCAATTTTCAGGCGGCGTAAAGGCATAACTGGCGGGATCTTCAAGTAAAGATCGAATGTCTGGAACATCCTCTGCAGTGTGCACCCTAATGATCTCGTCGCGGATCTTCTGAGAATATCGGAAAACTACTTGGTGAGAGTAGCATGAGAACGAAGTGGTGCGTAACACTCCCTGACGCGATATGACAATCTCAAGAGCGCGAATGAGAGTGTCAAAGTCGGTGTGCACCGTCCAGGATTCGTGTGCCATGCAAAAACCAGGCACAGGTTCCTCGAAAGGCATTCTTTGGGAGACCGCCGTCTCGAATATGTCCTCTACATCGTCTGCAGTAAGTCCACGTGCACATAAAACTTTATTCAAAGCGTTCTGGTCATATGGGACCTCACGGCGTGTACTTGCCCGTGTCGCCGTTGATACATCAGTTCTTTGTTTCTTCGCCGTTTCTTGTTCCAGGTAGCTTGCCAAGGCCGCCACGTTTGCGCATTTATGGACGGCTGCATACGAGAGGGCATCGAAATCGAATTCAACGCGAAGGGATGATAAAAGTTTTGGCGTGCGGAACGAGTGCAATCCGAGTTCAATTAGATCCGCGTGCAAAGGGACCTAAAAGCAAAATAAAGGGAAAAACACATGAGTCTAAAGTCTCGCAAAATGGCGCTATCAATCATCGGAGGTTGCGTACATTTAATGGGTCCATATCCAAAACTTCACCAACACACTTTTGAACGCGGGCCTCGCTTTCGTTTTCTGGTTGATATAACTCTGCCCCCCGAGCTTCAGCAGCGGCAAGATCTTTCCACGAGCTAGGCTCGGCGAGTAACTTTCGGTCTACCTTCCCGTTGCTTGTCAAAGGTAATGTGTCCACCACAATGAAGTGGTTAGGAATCATATACGATGATAACTTCTCCCGACAGCGAGCCCGTAACTTGGCGACAAGATCTTTTCCTTTCGTGGAAGGCGCCCGACACTCGACGGGAGAATTCGTAGTCAGATCATCTACATCGATAGCAGCAAAATTGGCCTTGAATTCTGATTGCGTATGGGAAAAGACTGCTGAAAAAGTACAATCAACCGCTGAAGCCTTCCAGCTGATGTCAACTTGGTACCCAAGACGGGCAGCTAGAGCAGAAATATCTTGAGGAGATAAAGCTCGAGTACACCATTCCGAACGAGTTGCGTCTTTAATCAGATCTGTAGCCGTCAAAGGTGGCACATCACTTAGCAGGAGCCGTAAAGCAGCCTCTTGGACAGCTACGAGCGCATTTGGGATGCCACGGATTGCAACGATTTCACTTTCACCAGAGGAGAGCATGTTGTCCAGGTCTGATGCGGTCGTGTAGCCAACCCAAGAAACAGAATTAAGCAGTATAGGAGCCTGAGGTCCGATATGAAGATAGACTTGTTGGCGGAATTGGCTCAATTCATTGCGAGTCATCATCATCTTGGGCAAGATTTCGACGTGTGAGATGCGACTCTCGCCCTTGTTGGCAAGGTCGAAAAAGAAGGAAGGGTTCACTTTGAGTTCGGTTTGTCGCGACTGCCATCGATCCAGTCGGTCCTGGATATCGGAGGTTAACAAATCAGGGGATGGATCACAATGAAGTATCCGAGCCAAGTCATGGTGTCTATCCAGACCCCAGCTTCGAAGATCGCCGATGAAGATACGACCACCATCTTGTACCCTAGCAATGCAGGATTGTAGGATTTGTTCAAGGTATTCACGTGAGGGGAAGTACTGTGTGACACTGTTGATGATGACCAGGCTGAAGCGTTGTTCAGCTGGAAGCAACTGCTCGAGTTCATCAGCCATTCCCCGGAAGACTTCTACTTTATCTCCTAGTCCACGACGATTGACCTGAGCTTTGACGAAGGCCACAGATGACTCTGACATATCGATGCCGACATACTCCTTGTACCGTGATTCGAGTGAAAATAAAATCATGCCTGTCCCGCAGCCGATCTCAAGAATAGAGTCCCCATCCTTCATCTGAATGCTCTTCACCGTGTCAGCGAGCCAGTCTTCCATGGCAGGGCGAGGTATCTGAACTCCATCGTACATACTAACCTTAAAAAAGGTAGAAAGCCGTGTCAGGGTTAAACATGAGTATAAGGCAGAAAACCTACCCAGCCAGTGAAATCGGCCCCAGTTAACGAGGGATCGATATTTTCCCAGTCATATTGTGACTGGAAAACATTCCATGCATCCTGCATGGTTCCAGCGTCCTTCCTGTCTTCATTTCCACTGTCTGCATCATTCTTCACAATGTATGCTATTATTGTATCATCCGCAACAACAACAGCAGATTGGTCTGCTCCCTCCATTCCAGTACATAAAACAGCCTCAACTTCACCAAGTTCAAGCCGTTGGCCGCGAATCTTGACCTGACTGTCGATACGGCCCACATATTCGAGCTGAGGCCCTTCACCTGACGATACAAATTTGCCCATATCGCCAGTGCGGTAGATGCGATAGCTAGACCCACATTCTTCGATATTGGCCACGGTGACTATCCAAAAAGGATAAGTGAGAATCTGTGCGTTTGTGATAATCGATAGACTTACTAAACTTCTCCGAAGAAGGGTGAGGTTCATCCAAATATCCTCGAGCAAGTCCTACTCCACTGATACATATTTCTCCAGGAGTGCCAAAGGGGACAGCACTAAGATTGTCATCCAAGAGAAAGACGCGCATATTCGGTATAGCACGCCCAACTGGAATCGACTTTCCAGCCGTGTCGTCGTACGGGGAAAGGTCTCGAGGCACTTCGAAATCGGTGGCGCCGATGGTGGTCTCCGCGGACCCATAGGCGTTCATTAACTTTGTATGGGGGGCATGACGGAAAAAATTCTTTGCACTCGCTATGCTGAGCCTTTCTCCCCCGATAAGGACATAGCTCAAAGTCCTACCAAGGGATGCTGCAACATCATCATCGTTCGCAAAGCGATGAAAGACAGCAGTAGGGAGGAAGGTTTTTCGGATATTCTTAGTAGAAAAGAAGTTCACAGTGGCTTCCGTATCTGCCAAGTGTGTTGTTAGGACACAGATCTCTGCTCCGTTAACTAGAGGATTCCATATTTCCAGAGAGGACACGTCAAAGGAAGGGGTGGCTGTCATAGCTACACGATCGCCGGGATGGATGTCCATGTAGCGACGATCGATAAGATTCAACATGCTACCCTATAGCAGGGATGTTAGCGTTATAGCAGGTAAGGCTAAGAAAATCACTTACATGCTCAATACAAACACCTTTTGGACGACCCGTGCTACCTGAAGTCCAGAAGACGGCAAGGAGAGTGTTGTCCCGCAGCTCAAAATCGGGTGGCTGGAGTCCCTGGCGGTCCAGTGCGTATCTTTGATTTATGAAAGGAGTGATATTGAATGTATCAGCACGGCCAAGAGATGAAATATGGTCCCCAGGAAGACCAGCAGCGACAAGGAGAAGGCTGGCATCGCACTGAGAGATTTGATCACTCAGTCTAGCTAGGGGTGCTGAAGGATCGAGGGGAGTGTAGGAGAACCCAGCCTTTACGACAGCGAGGACAGAAACTATGAGGAGAGTAGAACGGGGAATACAGATGGCGATAGGGCCTCGACGCTCGCGATTGAAAGGTTGCGCACGCGAGTGAATTTCACAAGCTAGACTATTGGACCATCGATCCAGTTCATGATAACTGAGGGTAAATGAATTGTCATGGACAGCAACGGCATCTGGATTAAGGAAAACATGGTGCTGAAAACGATGAATTAGGTCGTCTTTGAATGGCATCGCGTTACTATGAAGAGCGACGGGGAATCTGTATGTTTTGATATAGTTACTAGATCTTAATTCGAATGGATAATAGTAATGACTTGCCTGTTAATGCTTACTATTAACGATTCTTTCTAGGTAAGGAATCCTTGAAGGACCTGTTATTTTTCCACTTATACTATTATACGGACGCTATTCGATAGCAATACTCGCTTTCCTGAGTGCTTGAGGAACTTCTCGTCATTAGCTGTGCTGGTCCGAACAGAGTAAACTTATTTTTGGTAACCGAACAGGTACTATCGTCGCACTAACACTGCGAGGGGTAACATGACTGGCCCTTTCACTCGCTATCTTTCTCGGGTTAACCATGACTAAGTAACATATGCAGCAAGTACTCACATCAGTGTAACATCATCGTCCACTTCCCCAACTAGTAACACATTTTCTATCATGTCGCCGCCACTGTTCACGCTTCCCAGTGGTGACAAAATTCCGAGCGTGGCCTTTGGCACTGCACCTGTCGAGTAAGTCATCATAATTTGCACACAGCTCAACTGTTTTCGAAATGCACCTGCAACAGCGAACGCTACCTGACCCCAGAGTTTCTGGAAGATGTCCTCAAACGTGCAATCCAGAACGGGCACCGCCACTTTGATGAGGCGGAAATGTACACAACGGAACCAGTTTTAGGCTCAGCACTCAAGGCTTTCCCTGCCATATCTCGGAGCGAGCTATTCATTACGAGTAAAGTTCACCCTTGGATGGGAATTAAACACAAGGATGTAGAAGGTGCACTCCTTAACAGCTTGAAGGCACTCGGTCTGGAGTGAGTGTCTATTCGCTGTTGAGATCATCGCGGCTTTAATGTAACTTGGCTGAGGTTTCAGTTATATCGACTTGTATTTGATTCACATGCCGTTCTTAGATGTAGAGGGTCTCACCCTCGAGGAAACCTGGGCAAGTATGGAGTCTGTCAAGGCTAAAGGCCTCGTCCGTCACATTGGTGTCTCTAATTTCCGCCCAAGCACTCTTGAGCGCTTGCTCAAGTCTGCAGTAGAAAAGCCAGAAGTGAACCAGATCGAGCTTCATCCGTATCACTTTGAGTCAGTCTGCACTTGATGAATGAGCTACATTAGCTTACGTCTTTTGATTTAGGCATGATACGGTCGATTTTTGTCGCGAGCATAATATTTTAGTTGCAGCCTACAGCCCACTTGCGCCCCTTGGTCCCTGCAGCGACGGGCCTCTTGCTCCGATTCTTAACTCAATCGCAGACAAATACAACGTCACCCCAGGTCAGATTCTTCTGAAATGGCAACATCAGCAAGGCTTCTTGCCCGTCACATCGACTACAAGAGATGAACGGCAGAAAGCACTGCTAAATCTCGATTTCACCTTGGAAGAGTGCGATGTTAGGCTGATCACGGAAAAGGGTGCAACATGGCACGAGCAGTTATTTAGATGGGGCATGGGCACCCCGAGGGAAGGGGAAGATATTGAATACGACAAATTGATGGCGAAAAGTTTGTGACATTGTTCGCTTTCTATCCAGCTTTTATTTGTATATCGATCTTGAGTACAAGAGACAAGGTAAATATTACATATCTCGTCATAAAACATCATACTGTTGCTCTCCTTTTCTTTGAATCGGTGAAGATGGTGTAGGTGTAAAAACTACGCAGTTATAGTTGCAGCCCATCAAAGCTTTGAGCTTGAATATTAGACAAAAGCCAACGAGCTGCGGTAAAGAATTGATCAACATAACCAGGTATGCGATCAGAAAAGACGGGGTCATGATCGAGCTTGACTGTCACTTGTTCGCCCTCAACTATGGTAGCCCATTCAACACCTATATCGTTCTCTGCACCCGCTGGCCCTAGCTGCAGAGCCTTATATGGTGGTCTTCCATCTAAAGAAAAGAAGTTGTAACCAGACGTGGCAAGAGGCGTTAAATCTTTCTCGATCGCAGAAAACACTGCTCCGTAGTCGACCACAGAAATATCGGTTATCTTCTCTTGATTACTTTGAGTGCGACGCAGCAACCCGAGGACAGTATCATTTTGGAGGAAGTCAACACGATCAATTGCAACGCTGAATGTGGGAGCACACATGTCTGAGATCCCCTTGATTGGCAGACTTCGGCATGCTTCCACCTGTGGAATGAGCACCGTATCCATTTTCGTTTCATTCCGCTTTATCAACGCAAAAGCAATTTTGAAAAGCGTAGAAGGTTTGATACCGTATGTCTGAACAACTTGAGCCATGCCGGGGAACTGCTCTACCCGAAGAAAATTCGGGCCAAGGCATGAACTACTAGAGAACGTTGATTTCGTGTCGCAGCTTGGAAATCCAATGATATCCGCAGTGCGAAGTCGTTCTACATGCCAGGCAATGTCCTCGGAGTTGTGGCCATTCGCAATGACATATTCCACATAGTGTCGGAAAGGAATGGGTTCGGGAAGTTTTTCCCCTAATATCGTCTGGTCAATCTCTCGAAGCAGGCAATGTTTGCTCCATTCGTCCAAAATAGCATGATGTGCAATTATAAGTAAGGTAGGTGGATCTGTCCGGAAAAATTCGAACTTGATCAAATTGCCAGGTATAGCCAAAGCGTAGCGATCATCATCCTTGATTATATCCTCAAGAAATTGAGCTTCTTCAGCAGGATAAACATGCACCATTTCGTCCCGGAGTTTTTGTTGATAACGGAAGACGACTTGACGCTCCAGGTTGTCAAAGATAGTGGAGCGTAAGATAGTGTGTCGAGATATGATCACTTCCACGGCACGAACAAACGTGTTGATGTCAGTGTGCGCCGTCACAACTTGGTGCATCATATAACTGCGACGTGACGGAGCCATCAAAGGCATTTGCTGCACGAGCGTTGTTTCGTAAATGTCCTCCACGTCGTCTGTCGTCAGGCCACGACGTTCTAAAACTTCGTGCAAAGCGTCATGGCTATACTGAACTTGGCGCGAGGCTATTCCAGACGAATCTGGGACCCCAGGCGTGCTCGAGTGTAATTGAATCTGCTGCTCCAAGTAACCACTTAAAGCTTTTATATTCGGGCATTGGAATATAACTCTGAAGGGTAAATCTGGGATAGAAAACTGGTCGCGGAGTGCATCCAAGAGTGCCGGAGCGCGGAATGAATGCAGGCCTAATGCGACGAAGTCTGTTTGAAGAGGAATCTATTCCACACAAAATCAGAATATGTGAAGCCAGTTACGTTTATTGCAAATCACATACTTTGTCTGTGTCTTCTTTCAATACTCTAGCAATGCATGCCTGAACTTGAGCTTGAGTTTCGTTTTCAGGATAATGCGATTCCGACATAGAACTAGGAGTCTTGCTTTCCATCCACATCCTAGGTTCTGCTAGCATCCTCCGGTCAACTTTGCCATTTCCTGTAAGAGGTAAACTTTTTTGGATAATGATGCGATGAGGTACCATGTACGACGGAAGCCTCTCGCGACAACGATTGTGCAACCTTGTGATCAAATCACGTTCATGGGAAGTAGCCTTAGCAGAATTTGTCGGACAATTAGTGAGTGAGCTGTGAGTCGGGATGGTGCTAAAATCGCCTTTGACAAGGGATGAACCCCGGGAAAATACAGCTGCCATGGTCTGATCGACACCTAAGGACTTGAAACTGACATCCACTTGGTAGTTGTGGCGAGCACACAACGCGGCAAGACCGCATGGGGAAAGGGCGTTGGCATACTGATCCGAGGCCGTTACAGCAGCAATGAGTTCAGAAGCTTTAGCTGGTGCCTGAGATGAGGACATGAGTTGTAGAACTCCCTGTTCGAGGGCCACAAGAGAATTGGGAATGCCGTTCACTGCCAAGACAGCTTCCTCAGCACATAATGCTTCCTCCAACTTGGAAATATTTGTATACTTCATCCAATGCTTAGGCTTGGTCAAGATTGGCGTTTTCCCGATATGGAGAATAATTTGATAGCGGAACTGGCTCAGTTCATTACAAGTTGACATCATCTTGGGTAGAATTTCAACGTGTGAGATGCGACTGCCTGACTTCTCCTGAAGCTGGAAAAAGAACGATGGGTTGACTTTGAGTTCCAGCTGCCTAAGCTGCCAATGAGCGAGCCTGTCGCGAATTTCCGAGGTTGGCAACTCCGGAGATGGATCACAGTGTAGCACGCGAGCCAAGTCATGGTGTTTGTCCACTCCAAGATGACGAATATCACCTAAAAAGATACGGCCTCCTTCGTGGAGCTTATTGGCACAGATCCTAAGCACATTCTCCAAATAATCCGCCGAAGGGAAGTACTGCACAACGCTATTTAGAATAATCAAATTGAACCGCTTCTCGCTAGGGAGTAACTGGTCAAGTTCATCGGCCTTTCCTTGCAGGAGCGTAACCTTGTCCTGTAACCCGCGTTCAGTAAGCTGTGCTTGTACGTACGCGAGCACGGAGCCCAGCATGTCCATGGCATAATATTCCTGGCAACGTGACTCGAGCGAGAATAATATCATTCCCGTCCCACATCCAATTTCAAGCACAGAGTCATTCTGCTCGACCTGAATGCCTCGCAAAGTATCCGAGAGCCAGTCCTGCATCTCCATTCGGGGAATCGGCACGCCGTCGTACATACTGACCTGTAGTACATCGCGATGAGACAAAGGACAGTTTGCTTTAGGTGGAAACTCACCCAACCAGTAAAATCAGCTCCAACCAAAGCGGGGTTTATACTCTCAAAATGCTCAGCATAGAAAATCTCTCGTAACCTTACACTGTCCTCTGCCTGCTCAGATGGCTTTTGGGGATCTGCATCGTCCTTTTGGACCACATACGCTACGAGCTGGTCACTTTCAGTGACGACAACGGCAGCTTGATCTATGTTGTCGGATCCAGCGCACAACACCGCCTCTATTTCTCCTGGCTCCAGCCGCTGACCACGAATTTTGACTTGATTGTCATTTCGACCTATAAACTGTAGAAGATTTTCTCTTCCAGATTGCACAAACTTGCCAATATCATGAGTGCGATATAGTCGAATCGAAGAGCCATCTCCTTCAAGATCATTGACCATCACTACAAATTGAAGATTGAGTGAGAATGACAATGGGTTCAATATTTAGGTTTGAACTAAACATACCAAACTTATCAGATATAGATTGATCTTGTCCAAGGTAGCCTGCGGCAAGGCCAATACCACCAATACAAATTTCACCAGGAAGACCAGGATCCACTGGACGAAGATTTTCATCCAAAAGATATATGACAGTATTAGGAATACAACGACCGACTGGTATAGGCGTCGAGGAAGAATCGTCGTAATCAAAAGTGGCGGATGATAGCTCAAATGTTGTAGTACAAATAGTGGCTTCCGTGGGACCATATATGTTTACCAGTCTGGTATCAGGTGCATGGCGAAAAAAGCTTTTGACAGCAGCAGTTGCAAGTCTCTCCCCACCCACTATCAACAGGCGAAGTGTAGTGCTAAGGGAGGCAGTGTTGAATATGTCGCTTACGACGTGATGGAAAACTGCAGTAGGTAGGAAGACTTTGTTGATCGTCTTCTCTCTGAAAAATGACACAACAGCTTCACTGTCGGCCAAATGACCAGTAAAAACGAAGATTGTGCCACCGTGACAAAGGGTGTCCCAGATATCGAGCGAAGAAGCATCAAAAGAAGGATTATTGACCATAGCCACGCGATCTCCTGGCTGAATCTCCATGAGACAATTATTGACGAAATTAGTCATACCAGCCTAAGGTGAATTAGATCAGCTTTGCCTTGCCAAAAGAAACAGTGATGCCTCTTACATGCTGAAGCAGCACTCCTTTCGGGCGCCCTGTACTACCTGATGTAAAATAGATCACAAGTGTGCGATTCCGTGGGTCGAGACTGGATGGTGAGAGTTCGAGACGGTTGTACACACATGTGTTGTTGATGAATGGGACAATATTAAATGGAACAGCGCGCCCAAGAGACAGTTGACTGTCCGATACAGTAAGCAAAAGATTGGTGTCAGATTGTAGGACTTGATCTGTAAGCCTAGCAGATGGTGCGGAGGGGTCAAGAGGTAAATACGGGAGCCCGATTTTGACAACGGCGAGAACAGAGACGATCAAAAGCACCGAACGAGGCATATAGATCGCAATTGTACTGGAACCTCCAGTACCCTTCAGGCGAGAGCATATCTCATGACCAAGATTATTTGACCATCGTTCCAATTCTGAGTACGTAAGAGTAAAAGATTCGTCTTGAACAGCAGTTGCAGTGGGTTGAAGCTCCACTTGTCGACGAAAAAGCTCGATAAGATGTTGAGAGGACATGGCCCAATACGATAGCAGGCTAATGCTTCAAGATATTCCTGATTGTATTTATATGGCGCTGTATGTCAGATATCAATAAATAAACCGTATTAGCATACTCAAGCCGAACAGGAATAGAAATTAGGGCTACGATTGACCCGATTAGCAATATTATATTTTTTTAGCCATTTCATTACTCAATGCTTTACCTTCCGGAGATGAAGCCACCGAGATACATTTTAGGCGAATCTTCTGATTTCTGTATTCGAGAAACCATTCTTGAAGCGAATAATATCAGTACCAGTTGGTTCGATGTCACATGAAAAAATGGTAAAGGACAGAAAGTGTGTTCTATAATGTTCGTTACCCTGTGGGCATAACTCTATGTCAGATGAGTCATGTAATTGCAGATATAGGACCAACGATCTAAAAAAAGGGAAACGTATCTATATTCCATAAACCAATCTCGCGTTTTCTCTTGCCTGATGCATGATCTTAGTTGTATCCCAACTACCACCAGCGACGTTTGCAGCATATTCAGCCACCCAAGGGATCATTGCAGTATGGCAAAGTGGTAGTCGGCCTTTCACGGCTGAGAGTGAAGGATAAAGGTTTGATGGGATCATGAAGGGGGCATCTGTCTCCAATAGGATTCGAAGTGTATTGGGCTGTCCGGACATCTGTCGAACGAGGGCAGATGTATTGAGATTCGTTGAATAAGTGATAACCCCTGATCAAAATACGCTTTTGGTCAACTAGTCAAGATAGCTATCACAGACGACTTACCTGTCACACCGATATGAAGATTTGGAAAGTGTTCGAGTAACCTTTGGGCAAGCTCTGGCGAGTCTGTATAGCAGTGGACGTGTATCTTAGAAAAAAACTTGGTCAGCAGATTTGACCATGCATGTTCCATATTCCATTTACCTTATGGTCTCGAGGAACTTCTTGTTTCAAAATCCTCTCGGTATCTTCTTCAGCCTCTCTTGTATGAATTGTCAAAGGCTTTCCCAATTTAATGGCTTGTCGCAGTTGGCGAATCAATACAGTCTGCTGAATATCTCGAGGTGAATTATCATAGTGATAATCGAGACCAATCTCGCCCCATCCAACGCATCGCGGGTGGGTCATCGCCTCTAAGCTGATACTCTATAAGAAACCATACATAAGCAGAGGACGCGTACTCACATGGAGGCTTCTACTTCGTCGTTATATTCTTTGGCTTGGTGACTGCAAGACCGGTAAGGAAAAAGATCATGCATTGAGAGCCCTGGGCTACTCACGGGTGAACGCCTGGGGGTGATGAGAATACAGTTTTAAGTTAACAACGGGAAGCTTACCCATGACGAACCAATACTCAACCCCAGCCCATTTCACTTCTCTATCATGGGCAGTCAAGGCCGAATCTGCGAGCTCCTTCCAAGCAGCCTGCACTGGAGCCTCACACCATACGTCTATGATAGCCTCAATATTGCGACCACTGTATAATCCCTTCACGAAAGCAAAGACATCTTCATGCTTGGCAAACTTATATTTCTGTCGGTAAGCAGAGAATGTCGAGAGGAGATGGGTGTGGGTATCGACGATGGGAGTGATGGATGCTGGGGTAGCAGCAGCCTCGGTGTATGGGTGAAGTGGTAAGACAAGGTGCTCTTCACCTGGAACGCTATTCTTTTTATTCTTACCCATAGATCGAGACTTGGGATTATGGTAGTACTTAACCAGATAAGGATTTCTCAGATATGGCAGACGCCTGCCAAGTAAGGTTTGCGCGGTCGTTAGCATAACAGTTATTATCCGATAAGTACTATCGTTGGACAATAGGTGCAATTGGTCTGGGGAGAAGTTGAATAACTCACCAGTTGTTGAGCTTTAGACTGTCGGAACTTGACCAGTAGATATAATTTTTAGTTTTCTAGTTGCCTATGTAGAAAAATAAGCAAGAACTTGAAGCATTGGAGCAGCGGAACAAAACCGAAAAGACGACACATGTTTTGGAATGGTTCTGCAATTTCTGGTCACACTGGGTCACAACGGCACTCACAGACCAAATCAGGCGGAGCTTACCAGTCAAATTCCGCCAGGTCACCAAGTCCTGACGCTGGTGGTATGTGCGGTGCGTACCGAAGCGGAGCTAGCGGTCCTTGATTGATTATCTTGGTGTGTGATTGCCTGTTTCGGTCGCCTAGGCCCAAGTGCATATCTCTAACCGGTTGCATCCGGTGTCCAACGATAGTAGACCAAAATTTCTTGGAAAGACATTTACAGCTAATTGCAGAACGTTAGACATGTCAGCATAGAAATCGCATACAGGCGGACTTGAAAAATAGAAATCCCCGAAAGATCAGGAGACTGTATCTTAAGTCTGGTTAGCGTAGCTGTGGCGCCTCGTGGCTTCCTGTGGCGGGCAGACTCTGAGATTAGTCTTACGAGTCTAAAATAATTTACTTCCCGCTCATCCCGCTTCAACTCCGAGTGCACGTTTTTCATACCGGGATGTTTAACGATCTGCAATTAGCTGTAAACGGAGGCTTGGCGGAGCTACTGAGTTAGGCAATACCTCACCTCTTTTAAGCTCCGCGTCATCAAAAGCTGGTAGTGCCGCTTACCGGCATTTGTGCCGAATCCACTCTCCGCACACAAAGTCCGATTTCTGTACACATTTCTCGTAGATTTCTCGTAGAGGTCTATCGATATCTGATAATAGCTGGAACGTCAGCTTTTATTTAAATTCTGTGTTATGTATCGTAAACGCGTAAAGTACATCGTGAAATCGTGTTAAATGTCGACAGCGAATAGAGAGCAAAAGAAAAGAAAAAAACAGATATTTTCTATATCGTGACATTGGCAGAATGCAATGGATTAACAAAAGTGTCCGTATCAATGTAAGTGGCATCAGCTCAAAGTTTGTGGGTTCAATAACACCTGCACCTCTTTGATGCATTCAATTAGACGAATATGCACCTCCTTTGCATTCTCTAGTAATGGCTTAATATTCTCTGGGGTCATCGCAAGCTTGAAATCAGGAAGAAAATGGCGATCGTCCAGAGGTTGAGGGGGTGCAGAACGGACAGATCCCGACTTGACCGCTTTGTGGCTTTTAGAAGGAGGGGGGCTTTCCCGCGGCAAAGATATCCGATTTTTGGACTTTGACTTGGAACGTGATTCCCGATGAGCACTGTCGACATGTTCTTCTACATTTGATAACCTGGTTGAGCGCATTGGTCGAATAGAACGAGGAGAAGATTCACCCCAGAACGATGTTTGAGACGCGCTCGGTGCTCGTTTAGGAGTCACCGGACGGGCCTCTTGATTATGCTCATGAAGATACGGTGAGCGTCCTCGCTTCCCTTTAATAGTGGCAGAACCATCAATGCCCAGCGCCTTCGCTGCAGCATCAAGGTCAGACGCAGAATCGATGCGATCCCAATCTTCCTCCTCTGCCGCGCTGCTTCCACTACTGGCCACTCTAATTTCACTAGCATTGCTTATGGGCGTATCAGGCCCAGACGTCGGAACCTTGTTTTTCTGTCCTAGACGAAATATAGATGCTAGTGATGGGCGACGAGGAGAAGCCTTGTGAGTCAAAGATGAACCGTTGTAAGGGGAAGTTGGGGAGTGTTCTTTGGCAGAGCGCATAGAATCAGGTCCAGTGCTAGCCTTTGAACGCCTACGATTGGCAATGACATGAGCGTGGGGGTGATTGCTGCGACTACGGCTGTCGTGAGACGAGTTAGTACTAAGGGAGGAAGTAGAGGCTGGGATCGGGGGTTGATCAGAATGGCTTCGCTTCAACGACCTTAACATGTCGCGCAGCCCACTCATTCCCAACCTACCACTCCTACGCTTCTTGTTCCCGACAGAATCCTGAGTAGATTCTTCCGAGGGCAGGGTGACAGTACTGTTCATCGCATCACCCCACCGCCAGTGTCGGTTTACAGCACCCTCCTCAGGGATCAAGGAGGCATTCGCATAAGAATTGTCGACGTTATGAAGCATGTCCCTCAGCAAAACAAGTTGCCGTTGGCTGAGATCGTGCCGGCCAGTCGACGCCCTCCAAGCAAGATTTGGTTGAGTCGCAGTACTAGAACCAGACGCCGCAATAGGTTTTGCTTCTTCACCTGATAGCGTCACAGCGCGTTCGCGGCTTTTTCGACTATCAATCTGCATTTGTATTGCGGGAGCAGATACGCTACTGGAAGGAGGGGAAACGGGCGTCGGAGTACCTCCTCCCAACTCGATGAGCAGCTCTGCACATTCCCAGGGTACTCTATATTTGAGACTGATAGTGTAAAAAGCTGTAGCAAGTTGCTTGGGATTATGTTGGGGCCTTGGATTGGTATTGGAACGCGCACGAGAGCCAGGACGTGCTAGGTAAAAAATGGTAGGAGAAGCCGACCGAGAAGGTAGCTCGCTATCAAGGATGGCTTGAACCTCAGATACCAAGGCATAGTAAATCATTTGCAGTTCTTTAAGTTCTATAATATATAGCATAAGACGCGTTATCTGGAAATATGGGGACGTGGGGGGACTCACTTTCAACGCTGGCCGCAAACTCCCTTACCATACCAAGATCCCTTTTCAAACCTATCTGCGCCTGACTAATCCTAGCGGGAATTTTGAGATCGCCCAAGGAATTCCGTCGAGGTACTGAAATATTTGTTGTTGCAGTACTAGGCACATGAGTTGACCGTCCTAAAGAGGCAGACTGGGGCGATGAAGGAGCTTTTGAAGGGGAGTTACGATTAATATTCGATGAATTGCCTCGTGATGGCAGTGATGAAGGCATACTTGATGGAACAATCAAAGACTCGATACCGGCAGATATAGTGATCGGAGCTGAGTGCGCTGTTGTAATACCACCAACCACACGAGGCGGGGAAGGCGGTTGCAGCTCTATCGGTGGTAGCAACTGCTCCAAGGGGGTTTGCCTGCCTTGCGTCGGAATCGGGTTAGGTTGCGATGGAAGGTCTGGGTGAGGTGGCATTGGATCTATAGCAGAACTTTTGTTGCGCCTGTGTTTCTTAGAGGTGACCAAACTGATTCTGCGAACGCTTCCCATAAAACTCCGACTACCTTCCTGTGTAGGCTTCTCTGAACTCTCCACACTTCCCTCTGTTGAGTCAATCGCCTTGGATGATGATCGACCAATCGATGACCCATACGAGGTTTGCCTAAGGCTCCCAGACTTACTGTTAGGGACCTGCATCGAACTGGGTCGTCTGACAGCCGAAAATAATGACGGCTTTGAGATCTGCTCTACTTCTCCGCGGTCACCTTTCTCAAACGTCCTACTCTGCTTGCGCTTGATCACTTTGTGAGGCGAGTCTGGAGGGGTCATAGGCATCAACTGCATCTTGTCCAGACTCTGTTCGTGTCTCAATTCAGCTAGAGCCCTTGGTGGCGGTGATCCAGACCCAAGGCCGCCGCCAGGGCCCCGAAAAAACCAGTTAGGTTTGTTAGAGGCTGGAGTCTGAGCAAGAGAGCTCGTTGGACGGGGTGTTGCTTCCTCATCCTGGTTATAACGTTGTGCCATCACCTCAGATGGACCAGTACTAGCTCGCTTTTTACGCACACCCCACTTCTTCACTGATCCTATGCGAGATAACAGAGGAGTCTTATTTGATCCAGGAGACGTTGGATCAGAAGTAGTAGGCGGTGGGCTGGACGAACGTTCTGGGGTTGATGGCGGTATAGGACCAGTGGGTGGGTCGTAGTGCTCCTCTATGAGTTCGAATACATTGTTATCGAGATGTTGTGGGCGGGATTTCTTTCGCAATCTGCGCCTTTCTCTGTGTATAGGTGGGCTCGGGGGAAGCATCGCAAGAGAACCCCCGGAAAGCGTAGGTCTAAGGGCAAGGCGGGAAGTAGAGGTGTACCCTATCGAATTGCGCCCGCTTGTGGTGGGTATGGAGAAAACAGAGACCGTTGGAGAGCGAGGAAATGGCTCTGTCAAGGATCCTAGGAATGATTGTGGTATTGCAGGGACGGGAGGAGGGGGAGTCAGCCCCGGTAACATCGCTCGGCGAGTACGGGTAGTGACGGTCCTGTCTTCTTCCTTCTCCGCAAAACCGAACTCGCCCTCGTCGTCCGACGATTCTACATACGCGTCATGACGCGTTCGTTTGGGCAGAGGCGAGTCACCCTTGCCAGCATCAAAGTCGTCATCCCAGTTCTCTGGCTCGATGAATTGGCGGGTGCGCGGCGGGGTGTGATATGAGTGACGGGTTTTTAGAGAATGAATAGGTTTTTGAATGGGTGATTCTGGCCTATCTTCAAAATCATCGTCCCAGTTCTCTGCTTGACCAGTTGCCCGTTTGGTGGGAGTCGATGGACCAGGCTCAGACCAGTCTTCGAGAGGAGATCGCACGCCTTTGACGGGATAGTTCTTCCTATCTTCCAAAACGTTCTTAGATGCAGCTGGGAGCGACGAGGGCATTTCGTTGTCCCAGTCTTCCCCGAAAGTCGAACTTGTGGCGGATAGCCGAGGTTCCCTCGTGCCTTGAATCGTGCCATTAGCGTGACGGTCATTGCCCTGCTGGAACTCGAAATCATCGTCCCAGTTCTCAGAGGGAACTAGGTCAAAAATAGCAGCACAAATGTGCTTTGAGATGAGCAAAAAGATCATATGGGACGCGCCACCCCAAAGAGAACGCATACCTGATGTATGATTGGACCTTTGGGCATTCATATGTCTCGGTCAGTATAGGCTGGCGTTTTCGTGGCAGCGCCGTGCGTGTCGTATGTCAATGTTTTTATCGTGTCGTAAATGTTATATGATAAAGAATATAAGGCTGGCGTTGTTTCTCGAGTTCTGGGTTGTGGTCGTTCAAAGTTCATGAGGCCGTTATAATAAACGCTGTTTGCCGCGCTTTGTCCGGTTCAAGTGCACTCGGTTACAGTAAAACTGCCGCGTACTCTTCTCAAAGCAAAAGGCTACAAAATGTCAAAGCAAATCTCGCCTACACTTGCTTGAAACACTTTGGAAATTGCCATCAGCAACTGAGGTTTCATGAGACTTCAGATAGCTTCAGTGGATCAACAAGTTTAGCGATTAGCAGTAGTGACAATGAACGAACAGCTACACGTGTACAAGGTATATATGATATAATATAGGTTAGTCGTCGTGCTAAGCTACTGGCGACAGCTATGGGACATCGAGTGCTGTGCGTTCTGGCATTTGAGGGGTATGCTCCATTGAGATTTGCTCAGGTAATGTTGGTTGATAAATTTCGACGAGTGAACTCAATCGAGAGTTTGGTATCTGGCGAACAGTGTCGAATTTCGACTGCCGTGGGCATGGTGAATTTAAAGATGCATTACTACACCGTTCGGTAACCATGGGAGGAATGACAGGGGAGTGTGGAATACGGAACAGATGGTTCGCTGAAGAGCATTGCAGCAAAGGTGATCGAGGTGACTGAGAGCCGAGGCGAGATACACGAATAGTTTCCTCAGGTGCGAAAGAAGCCAGCTCAGCATGTGATAGCACAGCGTAGGGGGGCATTGACTTGGGCTGTATGTGAACGGGTCTTATCTGAAACTGGTCGAATTCAGTACAGGATGGCTTGGGCGTTGGATCATCTGCAACCTGGATCATGAAAAATAATGCGTAACCACAAAATGACGAGGAAAAAGATTACATACCCAATTGTCATGACCACTTTTCGTATAACGCGACCAAGAGAGGCCATCCAGGTCACTGAATTCCGTCTTGACAGACTTGAAAGAAAGTAGTAATGTCTGCTTCTGGTCCTAAAGAAACACAGGTGATAAATGACTAGCTAACGAGGGAGCTCGGACAAAATTACTTACCTCTGTCATGACCAGAGCTTCTTGATCCCATTTCTGTTGTTCCAGCTCCAGCTGTTTGATTCTTGCTTTCCTGGCCTTCGCCCGATCGCTGCAAGCTGGTACAGGATTCGAGGGAGAGGTCATGTCGGACATTAAGGGAAAGAGCGATTGCCAGTCTAGACAGCAATATTAATGTTAAGTACCAGTGACCCAGTCACGACTTTGAGTACTGAGGATTGGGTGGGTATAAGTACGGGATGATGTTTCAAGAATAAAAATAAAACAGTATAAGCCACCGCAATGGCCACACTGGCTTTTGTACGTACATCCCAGTTCAGACAATGTGGCCCAATTCTAAACCAGGCCATAAGTCTGCACTTCCCTAGACCACAGGTTTCGGCGTATGTCCACTGGCTGGGAATGTGTTACTTTTCAAGTCGATGCAGAACAATGGTTTGCTGTTTCCAAGCAAACGCAGAATGAATGTTACATTGTGCCGCGTGACAGATATGTGACATAGCGCGCCACTCCCACGGTCGGTATTGTGGCTCCGCTTGAAAAGAACGCGTCCTTTCTTTCGCCTTTCTCATCTTTCGACGCGTTTCCTTTCCCCGTCTCCTTTGCCAATCCAGACATGCTCGAAGCCAGGCTACAGGAAGCAGCACTCTTGAAGCGTCTTCTTGACTGTATGTATCTTTCCATGTATCTTACTCTGAACGCGTATTGATTATAGCGCAGCAATCAAGGAGCTAGTAACAGACGCCAATTTCGAGTGCAATGAAGAAGGCATCGTATGTCTCGTGCATCTTTATACGCGAGTTTCTCTGAAATGTGTAATCTGTGGCGCATCTGGAATAGAACCTCCAAGCCATGGATAACTCTCACGTCGCTTTAGTGGCGGTGAAGCTGGACGCTGTTGGCTTCAAGAGATATCGCTGTGACCGCCCAATGCCTCTCGGTGTCAACCTCAATTCCCTTACCAAAGTCCTCAAGTGTGCAAAAGACGACGATATATGTGTCATAAAGGCCACTGATGACGCTGACGTGCTTAATCTCGTATACGAAGCACGCAGTATGTCTACCATTCTCATACGCTCGTCCCTCGTAGACTTATCACCTGTTTCTCTTTAGACTCTGATCGAATTGCAGAGTACGATATGAAACTGATGGATATTGATTCGGATAATCTGGGCATACCAGATACGGAATATGACGCGCGTGTGACGATGCCCGCTTCAGAATTTTCGCGTATTGTTCGTGACTTGTCGCAGTTGGGCGAATCTGTTCGCATAGAGGTATCTAAAGAGGGTGTTCGGTTTGCCAGTGACGGTGAAGCTGCGAACGGCAGCGTGTTACTGAAACAGACAGAAGCCGCACGGGAGAAGTATGCTGACTATGGTAAAGATGATGATGCGAAAGAGGATGAAGACGAAGAGGAGGGAAGTAGTAAGAAGAAGGTCAAGAAAGAAAAAGTGAAGAAGGAGACTGGAGATGATGTAGAAATGGATGCTGAAGATGATGAGGAAAATGAGAATGAAGAGGTCAAAGCAAAGCCAGAAGATGACGGAGAAGAAGAGCAAGATGACGAGGAGGAGGGGAGAAGTAAGAAACGAAAGAAGGCTCCAGCTAAGGTTGGTTACTTCATTTTTTTCTGTTATTCCTCCAGTAACTGCACGCTCTTAATAGAACGGCAAGCCCGCCAAAAAGGCCAAAAAATCTGATGACATCCCTTCGGACGGAGGCGTTAGCATCGAGATGAACCAACATGTCACGCTAACATTTAGTTTGAAATATCTTGTCAACTTCTCGAAAAGCTCGTCGCTCTCAGACACCGTACAGCTCATGATGAGCAACGATGTCCCTCTTCTGGTACGCCACCATCTCTTGATTTAATAGGAATAAATGTGTTCTTATGTTTTGCATTTTAGGTTTCCTATAAATTTGGCCAGGGTCACATTAGATATTACCTTGCACCCAAAATCGGGGATGATTGATGGAATCTTTTACACTTATCAGTTTATGTATTTTTGACTTTACTATCATCTGTGTAATATCTTGGCTCTTTCGAAATGTACTTTGTTTTCTGTCTTCTTTTTCACGCTTTCGGGCCTCGCACCGATGTTCGAGTACAACGTGTCGATAACCACAAATTAAGAACTCCTATCAATAGTTCAGATCACTAAGAAATTCAAATTAATGCTGCGAGTAAGGTAGTGTGAATACGGAATAAGGGGACAACACTCCGACTAGATGCGAGAAAAGCTGATCACTGTCCAACATGTCGATAGGCTCGTTATGATTGAGTGGTGCTGCCAACTGGCACGTCCACCAAACCGAACCACTCCGGGATCTTCATCCACACTTCCCCTCTTGCCTTTCTGACAGCGATGGCGAAGTCGATTTTGCAAGAACTACACATTTTTAGCCCACACTGCTTGAACCCGTCTGAGAAATCCGTCCTTGAGAGCATCTCAATCGCCTGGACGAGCGTGTACAACGGGTCGGCGTCACGCCCACACGCAATACCCCCCACAGACCGCAGGATGTTGAGCTGGATGAAGTAGAAAGATTCGTAACAGTACTGTGAGTCGAACCTCCCGGCGTTGAGGCAGCCCAGGGACACGTTGCGTTCTCTCAGCTCGGTATCGATGAAGGTGGCAATATACCGCTGTGCTTGTTCGCGACCAAAGAACACTCTACATAGGTTCTCCTGTGAGAGGTGGATGGTCTGGGAGTCCGCGGGGACGTAATTTGAGCTGTGTCCTGGACCCGATGGCAACGGTACAACAGGCGGAGGAACGCGAGTACCGACGAGGATCTTGCTGGGTCCATAGCGAGAGAGATCGTAGAAAGCACTGGGAAGCATTGCATCTAGCCCGAGCTCTAGAGCGAGGTTGATAACTAGGATTGGATGGGCACACGACTCGCGAGGGGAATACCGGCCTTGTGCATCAATGGCGTCCCTTTCACGGCGTTCCCATCCAACAAGGGTGGATGGCCAGTCGAGTTCTAGACGCGCGATACATCGTCTACGGAGATGCTCAATGAAATATTTTGTAGATAGTCGGAGAACTGCAGCGATAGCGGGAAAATCGGTTACTGTGGGCTTTTGCTGGAAATATCTGGGACACGAGCCATGTGTAAGTTAGTCATGACTTGTGTGTCGGTTGAAGGCAAAGAATGGTGAGATACTCACAGTCCATCGTAAAGTGCCACCAATAGATGATGGAAGGACAGTCATAAATCTCGACACAGGGACAACCATCCACGAGATTCTGCACTGCTGGCTGTGGAACGGAGAACAAGTCACGGAAAACATCAGAATGACGCTCAAGTTGACCCCGGTGGACCTTGAAGGCCGCAGAGCCTGCGATGAGCACGATATTGCCGTCCTGGAACCAGAAATCTGAGCGGATGAAGTTGCTAAGCCCAGGCTTGCCACAAAAACTTGAATGATCGACTTCCATCACGATTGAGGTACGCTGAGCAATAAATATCGAGCAAGACAGAAAACAGGAGTCTCAAAGAAAAATCTATATGAGAGAGCGGCTGACGAGACGTCGTGAACAACGGTCTGAGCGCATCGTTATACGTTAGGCCTACGTATTGGGAAGCAGACCAGCAGGCTCGGTGCCTACAAGACCCGGTGAGCCCAGATACTTGGAATTCGGAAAGAGAGCTGAGGGTTATATGCTGCATGATATTTTCAGTCTGTAGCATACTGGCATATAAGAAGTAGGAGAGAATGCAGAAAGAGCATAGGGCACGAAACTTCAAGTTGAGCCTCAGCATGCTGGATCTGAGTCGAGTCATTGATAGTGGTCACGGTGGATGGGTGCAGGATATAAAAGGCAAGTCCTGTATTTAGCCTGAAGCCACATCCCTTCGTTACTCAAAAAAACTGTCCATAGCTTTATCTGATGCCTATATCTTCAAGCAGACAAACCGAAGTCACATATGCTCATCGATGAGCGGGCTGGCATCAAACTTAACAATGAACAAGAACCGTCTCCTGTCTGATGTTGAACTATCAAGCCAAAGGCGAAATTCGCTCAGCGATCCGCTTTCTCCCTAACATCCATTTAGGAGGGAACATGGGTCTTGGAAGCCATCACAAGGTCTCAGGGGTTGTCCCGATATGACCAGATGATAAATAGAAGGTGCTAGCATTGTTGTTCACCGCTCGCGATTGGCGGGTCCCAGCATAATAATTTGGTCGTAGAAAGGGCGATCAGAACCGTAAAGGATAAGCCAAGGCGCGTTTAGTAAATCAATACACGTACGCATCGCTGGCATCAGGACTCAAAGAATGGCATACATTCTTCGGTAACTGCTCGGCAAGGAGATCTATTCAAAAGTTAGCTCGAAGTTACTCCTGATAACGGAACAATAAAATTGAGGGAGCCAATCATGTGCGTCTAGTGGGGCGATCCAGAACTGAGAAGAACATCTCGTGTCGGCCCAGGTGATACACACGGGGTCTGTTGATACGTTAGAAGCTTAGGCTTCGAGGGACGAACTTGAAGTCGATAAGAGGAGAGTTACTGGTTGGGAAGATAAGAATTAATATGAAAGAACATCGCAATCGCCACTTCACGCCGCAGCAACTTCATTCAGCTTTTGTATCGCTGTATTTGATTTGCCCCTTCGAGACATCCTGAACAGAAACAAAGGAGTGGAAAACGAAAAGAGACGGATACGATGGGATGATCTGTCAAGGATCCGAGGATGAGCGGACAGTAATCGTAATAGATTAGGATATCAACACATCGTACCAGAATGCACATAATAACTGCGAGGCACTGCATGCACTATAAAGCCTAGCGTTACCCCCACCTCTTCCACATCTCCAAACATCTTTCAGCCCTCTCACTTTTATATCCCGCTGAACAACATGTCAACGCCAAGAAAGGGAGCTAAGACTGGTAAGTGTTACTCGTCGTCACCAACCTCCTGCATTATTGAGGGAACATCATTCATTCTCCTCCGCCGTTTGTTCAACCATGCATGGATAGCCTCTCCTCCCACTGGAGGTGCTAAAAGCGGTCCCACCGCAAAGAACACCCCGCCAGTGCAGGTGAACCTTGTGCAATGTACAGCCCTTTTTGGATCCTAATGCACAAGCTATCATTTTAGAGCAAAGGTGCATCACCCGCGGTACCTGCCAGCGTTGAGGCACCTGCCGGTAAAGCCAAGGCTCCCAAGGCTCCCAAGAAGAAGTAAATGTGGTGAACTTGAACATACGCGCGGTGTCCTCGAGTAGCACATAGAGAATTTAGTTACGCGAAGAACCTGGAAAGGCCAGGGTAGTGTCCTACTCAGACACGCCCCCTGGGTCATTTCTTGAAGCATCATGGATAAGCTCGATATCAATTGTAAACTGTAATAATACAGTTATTTTCGGATCAATATTCAAAACATGGCGTAAAATGGGAGATGAATGTCGGTTGGGCTACTGCTACTGTCAGGTAACATCTAATGCAGATTGACTCACAATGTGCGGAAAGAGGATAATTGATAATGACATCGCGGATGAACATTCCGGGGCTGCGTCTGGGAGACTGTTGGGTATAGCACTGTAGCACACTGGCATTTTCATCAATTCAGGGCCTTGTGTATGCTTGCCTTCCTGTCCTGCCGCGCATCGTGATACGAAACAACGTGGCCCCGACAATCCGACAATAAGTAATGCATTTTCGAGGAATATCCCGAACAGTCGGACATGGCGTTGAGATATGACCAGCCATCTACTGCGATCTACTGCGTGCAGTACATGTGCAATTGACCCACAGCCCTTGCAAGGCACTTTAGGCTAGCCTTATCGGAGTGATAAAATACGTTCACCAGGTATTAATTTATGGGCTTACTTGGTATAATTCGACCGGCACACAATCCGAGCCAGTGCCAAAAAACTGAGACCAAGTTCAAAGGATATGCAGCACCATTTTACTTCACATCCTTGAGAAATACCGTGGATTTGTAAAACGTTCCTTTCTACGGGCATAGTAATTATAAGGGTGACTGGTTGAGACAAAAAACATGTATGTGGTAGAGTACAAGACCTTGACAACCTTGCAGCGACAGGTCTGCCTTGTAGCCGGACAATTCGAAATTAGGTAAACAACACATGTCAGTTGTTTTTATTATCTCAGTTACCCAGGCTCTCTTTCTTTCTTACAAACACCAGGCTTTCGCATCTTTTTTGAATCTGACAGCTGCTGGCTGGCTTTGTATACTGACCCTTTTTCTTTACAAAGGAAAGGCATCACACTGAGGACGATTTGGGCGTCTTGAGAACACCGAAACATATTATGGCAGCGACATGTCCGTCTGAAAACACACAAGCCATTGATCAAACCAGCTTCTGGAGCTCAAGTGGCTTGAACTGGGACGAACATCGCATTGGTTGGGCAATTGCAGGTGGTTGCACAGTCCTTGTAAGTCGTATTGTCTCGCTTTTGGGTAGGACCGCTCCTTACTCGCTATGATACTGCGTCCATAGACTGTTATTATCTCTTCCATCTCTGTGCTACAACACTGTCGGTAAGCCATATATCCACTTTTAGTCACCTCGCATCACTTAGGTAGTCGTCATCAAATGTGCACATTGCAGTAATTATCATGTTCCTAACGAGCAGCGTCAAGTGTACGTGCTGTTAACGCCCATTCTTCATTCATGCTGAGCAGTTCTTGTACATTCAGACTACGAGTACTGTATATGCCGCCGGTCTATGCTATCATCTCATTCTTTTCCTACCGTTTCTTCCGGAGCTATACTTATTACTCCCTCATCGAAGCTGGTATGTATGCCTCGTGTCTAGTTCGGCTCAGGCTCATATGTCTGTCTTTCCATAGCATACGAGGTGACCATCTATATCTTTCCTTCCTTCCGGATCTGAAATCACTCACATTGTCTTTAGGCTGTTACTCTCAGCGCATTTCTGTCAGTCATTTTCATATTGCCTTGGTACTTTTCATATCTGACTGTCATATGTTAGATTACTTCTCATAGAGTATGTAGCTGCTACCGCGACGGGTCACAACGCAATACAAGCCATCGAGAGGAAAGATAAAAGGCCGCTCCCCATACCAGTAAGTACCTAGCTCGTCGTAGGCTGTAGTTGTGAACCGTATAAAACTCATTGACCTCACCCCCAGTTTTGCTGTTGGAGATATCGGCCTACTAAAGTATGTTCGTTATCTTGAGCAAATATTTGGTGTTCTCATCTCACCTCTCATCACAGGCCTACTTCATGTATACCGTGAAGGTGAGTCCGATAGGCCAACTTTCGAGCTCTCATGTCATACGTTGTTTCCCGTTGTAGTGGTCTGTCTTACAATACGTCATCATCCGACCAGGTCAGTATTTAACATACTGTCGCCTAATCTTTATTCATCTATACTTCTTGCTGGCACCACTAGCTTGCTCTATAGCCGGCATCATTTGCCAAGCATACAACGTGCTGTGTGAATCAGGGTCATTCAACGTACACTTTGCAAATGTTTATCTAGAAGCTATAGATTTTGTCAGTATCAGGTGCGCCTTTTCAACCTCCTCGACGAATGTTAGGGTGTGACTGCAGTCTAGTATCGCTCTTTATGGACTTTTGCTATTCTACGGTTTGACCAAAGACGAGCTTGTGGGCAGGCGTCCACTGTCCAAGTTTCTTGCCATCAAGCTCATTGTCATGTTCACGTTCTATCAGTCGTTCGTCGTATGCAGCTTTTCTCTCACGCTATTTCTTTCATTGCTCACTTTTCTTTCTCCTTTGGATAGTTCTCCGCCTTAGAGGGTCGCGTCATCCAATGTAAGTTGACACAGCAGCCTCGTCGTCTCCTCCGAGCTCAATCATTGTTTTCAATAGCCACTACGTATTGGACTGCCACTAACATTGCTGATGGTCTCAACGCGCTAGCAATATGTGTGGAGGTACGTTCACAGCAATATTGTTGCTTCTGAATCACATCCCCATGCCATCGGTTTATAAATACCTTTATCTATTCTGTAGATGGTCTTCTTCTCCGCATTTATGTGGTGGGCTTACACTGTGAATGAGTATAAGTTCAAGGGAGGAGAGACGACCAGCATATGGCGACCGTTGTGGGATAGGTAGGTTCATTTACAGTCGCTTTAAAACCTCGAGCTTTGTTGACAAAAATCGATAATACCTTAGCATCAACTACAGTAAGACCAAACAACTTTTCATCGTAGCTGGTATATTCTCATAATGTTTCTTTTTTAATACAGCCGATTTCGTCATCGAAATTGCAGGTTCCCTCAAGTTCTTCTTCGACTGTTCTCGTGGAAAGCATCCCACACGCACTCAAGCACGGCGTGCGAGCATCGGCGGTGTAGCCAATAACAACAGCAATAAGATGGACTTTGGAGAGGCCTTTGGTGTGAGCGGCAGCGCTTATTCAAAAGCTCGGCCTGCTGCGGTCAGCGGTGAGTCCCCGACTATCCGTCCTCGACCAAGCTACGACGAGGATATTCGATTAGCTCCATACTCCTACAACGAATCGCGTATCATGAACAGCGGCAGTCCAGTCAGCGAATGATTTTTCCGTTTCTAGGCTGCACATATTGCTCTAGCCGTGGAGGTCCTCATCGTAGGAGACAAGTGGTATTTACGTGTTTTCGGAGTCTTCGGTCTTCCATCGAACGGTGATACCCTTGGTTTTGCACGACTTCTGGGACAAACAATTTTAGTTTAGTTTTCTCTGTTGGGATTTCTTTTTTTAAAGATTAACTTGTCTACGCTCGTTATTTCATCGTGATCGCTTGAAACGTGTCTACTGTATATATAGCACTTTTCTTTATTTCTTGGCCAATACGTGTGGTTTGGAGAGTTGTGAAGCATCAGATAAGAAGCAACTATCCACTTGCGGCATTGAAGTGGGCTTAATCTGACAATCAATATTAATCAATGTTTGAAAACCCAGTTAACCAATAAAATTTAAATCCGGTGCACTCTACCAGAATCAGTCCTAGACACCTCCATAACCGTATTCGACTCTTACAGTAGAGATGAAATAGGATCGCAAATGTCAATAAAACTCGTCCAAGCCATGTGCAAAAACGCGGCATAGCGATTTAGACGATCAAGCAAGAGCTCCAGGCTGATGGGAAGAAAAGCGCTCAAACTACTAATACCTAAACAAAACAAAACGGGCGAACAAGGGAGTTGAGCATCAGGCTGCGGGTATGGATGCCTGCCATGAACCAGACTAAGCAAGCAAGGTTGTCTGGATTCAAAACCAAGGGGAAAGGATAGAAATAATGTAACAATTTCTGGAATAAGATACAACTCCGTGAATTAAAAATTGGAAGGAGCAGAAGCAATATCAAAAAAGGAGAAAACAGATTGTAAAAGATCCAAACTACTCTCACAGGGCTGTCATGGCATCATACTACACAGGATGGGTGAAGGTATCGCACAGATTGGCTGAATCAAGTAGCCAAACCAAGGTGAGTATCATCGGCGTTCTCGACAACGCCAACGTCCTCGTCGGCAAAGGAAATGCTCTTCCTAGGCGGCCTGGCCATAGCAGGAGAGGCCGGTGCCGGTGCACCTGGAGAGTACAGTGTCCGCATGCCGTTGCCATTGTAGTTCACAACAGGTAGCGGAAAAGTCGGAGCACCCACTGGTGGAGGAGATGCTATCCTACGTTCGGCATAGGCACGCAGCATTTCGTCGGGAGACATAACGCTGGCAGGCATAGGCATCATACCAACGGGTGACGTAGGAGCAGCATGGATGGGACTCGGGGGTGTAGGCATTTCCACACTTGGCTTGTGAGGCAAGAGATAGTCATCTCCCAGGTTCTGGGTTTCAGCACCTGTGCGCATCACTAACAAGGCAGGTCAGTACCTAACTAACATAGTAAGAGAGAATAAGATACATACTACTTAGGGCAGGGAAGACTTCATCCATACTAGGACGGGACGCGAAGTCTCCGGACACAGATATCCGAGTCCGGATATCTTCTGGAGTCAAAGAGAAAGCGCCTTTGGTTTGCGTAGGCGACAATTCTCCCGCACCATGAAGCGGAGGAACAGGGGGCACGAAACCAGTGTGGTAAGCGCGACTGGTGACCGTGCGGCGAGACTCCATGGAGGGGCGTACATCAGCAGCGAATGATACTCGCGAAACGCGATCTCCAAGGCCGGAGGGTCGCACGGGACGCAGGTGGCTCACGGGAGAAGCAGATGAGTCCATACTAAGTTTCTCATTGTTCGAATGAGCACCATCGACAGCGACTGTGCTGACCGGGCGAATGGCACCGAACGAAAAGGAGGAGTTGCGATTTCCAGCACTGGATACTGCGATACTGTTGCGAATGGCAGCACTTGCGCCAGCTGCAGACATCGATTTCCAATCGGTAGAGATTGTGGACATACGTTTGTCGATAGCCTCGCTGAAACGCCTTCGCTTCTCCTTTCCCTTCGAACGGCTCATCTTAAGGTAAGCCGCAATACCGAGGCCGATGAAGATTAAGGGTACCAGCACACCAGCAGCAATCTTGCCCTTATCGGATGAGTGGTTGCTCGGGAAGTTGTCGACACTCGTGATACCGGCGGATGTCCCAGCACCACTGGATCCCGTGGAAGAACCGGAAGAAGTGGCAGTGAATATAGGCCCGGCAGGAAGAGTGTTTTGGTAAAGAAAAGTGCCAGACTCCAGTATAGAGAACTGAAGGTCGATGGATGATGAGTCATTCCACCATTGAGGTTGTAGGGTAGTCTGATAGCTACCGAGACCGTAGTTGACATTTTGCCACATATGAATAAGTGAAGTGGCGAGAGATGGAGCATATAAATAAATATCAATGGCTGAACTGTTGAGACAGGTAGTATCCCAAGAAACGTTGACGGGACTGCCTGTCGAAATGGATGCTCCAGTGGTAGGACTGGTGTATAAACCGCCAGAAGTGCAAGAGGCTGACAGAAATTTAGGACGGATCTGAGGGTCTATGCGAACAATATCAGAACTCACAAGTACGCTTTTTGTGGTGATTGGCAGCGGCACCAGCGTGGCCAACGCGAACATGGGTGAATCCTCTCTTCATGATGTAAAGTTGACGCTATATACTATCGGTGCAGTTTTGTTCAGTGCTATGTAGGGCAAAGCCCTTCGGTGTTGGTAAAGAACGTGACCCCGGTGTTGGGCTGTCGAGGTAAACGAAGGAAATGCCGACGAGAGCGACGGAAAGATGAGCACAATGGTTGGAGCAGCGACGAAAGGGAAAAACAAAGCGGCAACCAACAATTGACGACAGTATTTCAAACTCAGCCCAATCGGCTCCCGCCGGCACCAGTTTCAGATGTTCTGCAGATTGAGAACCTTGCTGAGAACACTAGATAGATACCGTATGATAAGTCGATTACAGGTCTCGTTAGATAAATTGTGTATACCACAGCTAACTAGCTCCCCCAAATAGCCCCTCAATGGGCAAATAAAATCCTTTGCTTCGTTCTGGTGGTGTCACCAGTTGTCAGCCCTATCGCATCACTTGTTCGATACCTGTTGGGATCTGCTCGTGATCATCATGATCAATAATTGGCGTACAGCCTATTATACGCGGGTTAAAAACAAACCTTCCAGCCGTGTGTAGCTGCAGCTCTCGTGTATCCGGCCAGCGCTTCTTGTGGAGAGTAAGGGCTGAGAATTGACTTCAGTTTGAACACCAATATACCAAGCCATCCTGTGCACTCACGCATCCCATTTTGAATCCAGTCGTGCGGGTCTTGGATCCGGATTCGAGATGGCCAGTTTTATCTGCAGCAGCACTGCGGATATACTGATAGGATCTCAGCATCAATCTTTGCTCCAACGTGGGGAAAATTTCACATACCTATAACTCGGCAGCCATCCTACGCATAAAGTATTAACTATGCTCTGTTGATCATCTGTGAGTGTTCACGTACCGTCTGCAGTCAAAAGATCCATGCAGATAGAACCACCCCCTGTGACATGACCGCCACCTCCCTGTTGCCATCGATGTCTATTTCAGTTTTCAGCCTCTATGGTAAAGGTGACTACTCACATTAATAAAAGGTAGTAGCCGTGGTAAGACGATCCGGAAAAATGGAGGCGATATTGGAAACGTCGGTAGGAAGCGTATTTCAAATACGAGCGAGTTTAAACCTCTGCATCCACAGACCTGTCAGCACCAACCTCAAGTCTCTCAGCAACAAAATCGACGCACTTAGCTTTCATATCCTTCGCAACCGGTAAGTCTGGGTCAAACGAGTGCAGCTCCACGATCCATTGAAATAAGTTTCCTCCATTTAGCTCTGGGGACATATACCATCCTAGCTCGCTCAACCTCGTCGCCTTCTCCTGTTCCTTTAACATCGCTTGGAGCTCCTTCTGCAGTGCCATCGTCGAAGATAATGATGATTCCGATGGCGGAGGCATCAAGTGCATCATACTTGTCTGCACCCACTCTGAATCGTGCACCCAGTCCACTTCTTCCGTTTTTTCGGGAGTCGATTCTTTGTCTGCGGCTCCATTTAGGATAGCCAGGTCCTCAGTGTCGTATTCTTCCTCAATGTGCGCCTTCTGACAAGCATCGAGCATCTTCCCTAGCCTATAAGAAGGCTGTGGAATGGCGATCGTCTTGCCTGACATGTGTACCGAGCGCCGAGGGTCCATTTGCATTAGGGGAACATCGGGGAGGATCTCCACTGGAGCCTGACCCAGTGGGGCCAGTGTACTTGATGTCACGGCAGAGGCTTGATGTGGACTGGCCTTGACGATAAGATATCGACTTTCAAAAATAGGTGTCAGTCCTCTCACTCATACCAGATAACTCGTGCATACAGACGCACCACATAATCCACTTTGTATCACCAACTACGTAGTGTGGCTCCGAGCTCACAAACTGACTGGGTAAGTTCACAAGTTCTGCGAGTGTGACACAGACTCCAGGGCTGACTACGCTATTTCGCCACTGGTGCGTGCTACCTGAGGCATAATGGCCCACTGAAACAGCACCGTCTCTGGAGAAGTAGACACCTTGAATAAAGCATCAGGCTCAGGTGGACATATTAGTTGCAACGAGCAACTCACCATGACCATACGCGCGTCCGTTGGCAATATCCTTGTACCAAAGGCCATGCCTTATAATCTAAAGACGGTTTATTTTTATCCATGAAACTTGTTATGCGACATACTGAATGCCAATTTCTAACGGACGACCCATGAAAACCCTATTATCCACAAAAGCATATTACTAGCTTTCTTGCAACCAAAAAAGAATGTAGCTTTAACGCACGAATATAGTGGGATACGTCCTCGCATTCTCATCCCGCCCACGCGCATCCCTCACCGCTGTATTGAATTTAGCTTCCATATCAGGCGCACCTACCGTGAACCTGAATTGTCTCCATGCAGGGTCTGTTACATTTTCATTCTAAGTCCCAATGTTATTGACTGACAGTATAAACGATTCACCAATGTTTCGCACTCGTTCCTCAGGCGACGTCAGCTCTTGTATATGCGCTGTGCAAGATGCGATACACCTAACATTATGCGTCGGTAGAGATAAGACACGATACTTGAAATTGATAAGTGGAACACACCAGCGCAATATGGACCACGCAGCTGGTAAAATCTCAGGGTCGATATCTTGCAGTTTGGGTTTAACCATCCCAGGTCCAATCTTTTTCTCTAGATACTTCTTCATATCCCCGATCTGTGTCAATATTTTTTAAATAAACTGAGTCTCATCGAACATTGAAACGAGGACTTGAGACAAAAATTACCGGAGGTAACGAGTCAATAAGCCCTGCTATAGCTGCTCGCATCTGTGAACTATAGTTAGTACTCATAGATCACCTGCAGTGTCCAGCACTCCAGCACTCACATGCGGCACATCTAAATCATCAAATTCTACCAGCCCATCTGGACCAGGTTCAACGCAACTCTGCTCTTCTGCTTTTTTATTCGAATCTCCGCTTCCACCTGCAGAGACCGCACTGGGTTGGAGCGCTATTACACCCCTGTAAGACTGATGCATAGGTAAAGCAGAAAGTTGTGGATTGGTTATTGTCGATGGTGCTCGAGACGCGACTACATGTTGTGGACGTCGTACACGCAGGCCCATCCCCCGAGGTAAAGGTTCATCGAGCACCCCTTCTGCTGCTGCAATGTAAGCAAGTGAGACGAGTAGGTCAACAGTTTCTGGATTTGTGCATATTTCGTACTAATCACACGACATTTCAAAGATATTTCAGCAACTCATCCTATGAGAAGGAAGAAAAATACTTTAAATTGCAGAACCCACCTCGAGTGACGGCCCCATGTTTAATGAATAATATTGGAACGCACAGAGTCCTGAATCGCACACATATGGCTTGAGTGCTTCGTAGTTTGTCCGCAATCTCTGATGACAAACTACGCAATAGCGCGTGCAAAGCTGGTCGTTGATAATTCAGAATGGTATTATTTTGACATCAAAAACGCCAAGATAAACATACCGTCAATCTCCGCACAACGTACGAGAACGCAGTCGAGATAAAGTTGATCTCTTTTCCTTCCGTATGACCCGCAAGTGGATCGTCGGGGAGTTTGTATGATAGAGCCAGGAGAGCCTCCTCCTGATCTGCTTCTTCGATTTTCTAGATACGCCAATTAGCACATGTATTTCTGGAGATCTCCCTCCCTGGTCCTAGGAAAAGAACCGCTAACTGAAAAGCAACCTCACATTCTTTTCCTCTATCCATACGCTTTCAATAGTCCGCTGTTCCTTCTCTACAATTCCAAGCAGCATTTCCGCGCCAGCCCACCCGACACCATAAAGCACACGCAGATGGACGATACGAACAAAACATGATTCGAGGAGAGACTCTAGGGAAGGAGAAAGACTGAAAGGGGTAAAGTTTGTTTGTAACGAAAGGGGCATCGTGACAGGAGCTGGGCTTGTAATATCAGTTTGGATGGAAGCCTGCTGCACAGCTTGGTTCTGAGTAGACGAGGGTGTGGATAGCGCAGTAGTTGCCCGAGAGGCCAGAGATGCTACTTGCTGATGTCCCAAAAATGAATTTCCACCCCAGCGGACCGCGGCAGCGGGGATAGACCCAATATTCGGACCAGGAGCGTTATGCATTCCTGACAATGCAGACCCCTCCTTTTCATCTCCCATAACCACTTCCTTACACCATTCATCCTCTTTCTCACTATCCGAACCATCTACTGGCACATCCCTGGCCTTGAGCCCATGTTTTCGCATCGCGCTCGCAGCAGCCTCTCGATCAGGCTTTGTGGCACACCCAAGTCCGACTCTAAATTTTATTTCTTTCAAGTTGACATTAAAGTTCAGGCTCGTACTTCTAGTCGTTTGTGCGCTTAATCCGAATCCATCCAGGCCCACTTGTCCGTCCCATCCAATGGGAGCACCCGCAATCAGGAGAACGAGCCGGACACTAGGAACGAGGAGTCGGTTGTCCCATGCAAGAAGGGCGTGGGGAGGGATGCCAGTGGGCGGGGAATAAGTCTGTGTCGGTGCAGGAGAGGTAAAATGGGAGAGTGGTGAGGATGAGAAGGTGGAAGTAGATACGGGCGCGTTAGTAGAAACATGGGAACTGAGATTAGGGTTGAAAATGTGATGGGATTGTTGTCCAGGAACGACACCTGTGAACATGTGTGGTTGGAAAGCAGCACTGGGATTATGAAAGCCAGTGCTTGCACTTCCACTAGCAGCCATCCCAAACATCGATACCTGCGCCGGGCCACCGGTTAGAAACTGGGGGTGAGCGTAGCCCGGTAGGACTTGATGCTGCATCGGCATCGACATGACATTTCCCGCAAAGACCTGAGGATGTGGGCCAGACGTAGATGGAAGACCTGGGGGATACAAACTGCTGCCACGTCCAACACCCTGTATCGCCATCCCACCAGGTCCTTGTTGCGTCGACATCCCATTAGGAGGAATGGAGACGGTCTGTGTTGGGGGCAGCGAGGACAGTGATAAAGGAATCTGCTGAGACCTGTTAATGCGCCCTCTTCCTGTATTCGCAGTTCCCTTATTTTTACGACCTACCGCTTTACTTTTGCCTTTGCTTTTGTTGGCATTGGGCTCATTACCGTCGTCGATCATGTCAGCCATAGGCTCTTCACGCTCCTCTGTCGACGAAGCGGCAAGATGAACGATAGGTATCGAGGCTGTGAGATAATATGAGGCTGGAAGAGTAGCAGACGGTGCCGAGAGATTTGAGGAGAGATGTATGATACCGGGGGAGTAGCTTCCTCTACGGGTGGCTTCGAAATCGCTGATTATATCCGCGGTATCAGTACAACTTTATGCAACAACAACTAGACAGTTTAATATGATAGGGAGGGTTAAATACTCACCGCTTCATCGCTCGAAGCCTCCTCCCCACTTCTTCCTCCCCCGCCCCGTGTATTGATGATCCAAGATCAAAGTTGAGATCATCGACACCTATACCATAGTCGTAATCATAAGCGTCGTCGTCTGAGGACATGTTTGCGTCGACATCGTCAGCATTTGTCTCGTCGTCGCTTGTTTGACTTCCTTTCAAATGCCTCCTCTTTTCGTGAGCATCGCTCTGCGGACGGTCTGGACATTTCTCAGGAGATAAATCGCTGAGAATGTTTTTCACTGTGTCTTCTATTGTGCGTGCATCTTTCGTTGACAGATTTTCGAGGAGATGAGAGAGTTGCATGTGAATATGCGTAGAAACGGGAGATGAGGACGGGTTTGTGGTAACAGAACCGAAAAATGCATGGCTGCTAGGGTAATCGGATTTGTCTAACAGGAAGGAGTGTAAACGAGAGAAATAGTGAATATATAGAGTGAAACTAACCAGATACGAGCAAATTAACAGATGCTATGATTTGCTCTGCGACTTTGTCATTGAAAGTAACAATGTCAAAGTCGATAGAGCCTTCATCTTCTCCTGGCCTCAAGTCTATGAGAGGCAGTAGAGTGGATCAGATGAGACGATAGATCATAAAACACGGTGGCTACCAAGAACGCCACATGGTGCATACTGATGGGACGTACTGCGAATGGACAAGGCACGTACAGCGAGTGTGGTGCAACTTAGACTTAGCTCTTCAAGGTCTGCAATAAACCTCTTCCTGCCTTTCAAAGGCTTGGTCCCATTCGAAACACGAGGCGTAGCTGGAGCATCAACGAGTGGCACAGTTGAACAAGATGCAGTGTTAGGATCTACATCCATGCCAATACCCAAATCTATATCTAAATCCATCTTAACTTGCTTTGCGAGATTGCGAAGGAAATCCTGAGATGCTTGGCTGATGGATTGTGCTGGTGTCATAGTAGTATGAGTAAGAAAAGGCTCAGAAGAAGTGACAGGAACAAGTGAGGATATACCATGAGATTTTTCGTGGCTTTGTACGTTTTGAGCGCCTTGAGGGTCATATAGTGAACGTGTTTGAGGCTGCGCACTTACTCTAAGGCGTTTAAGGGTGCGGGGGTCGCTCAGGCTAGAACTGCTGGTGCTGTTGCCGGAACCAGTGAAACTTGCTTCAACATTGCTGTCGTGACAACAATGCCTCTTTTCAGGCTTGCTCGTAGGTTCCATTACCAAACTCTCACAGGGATTAAAAGAAAAGGAGAACGGACACATGGGCGTGTCTTTATATCATTTCGTGTTGCATTGACTCGAGGCTGCGCTGAGTTCGAAAGTTAATGAGTGTCATCGAATTCCGCGTAGAGTGTACCCACTCCACGTGACCACTATATGATCGAGTCACGAAATCAGTTCCTTCTTTACCGTCGCAATGAGTAGTCGACTGCCCAAGCTGATTGCATTTGATCTTGAGTAAGTCATAGCAATGTCGTTAGCCATTCAATCTAGTGTTCTGTCATTAATTCTCCTGCTCTACAGCTATACGCTCTGGGATTTTTGGATAGATACTCACATAACACCGCCTCTCACTGCCAGCCCAACTTCTGGTGCTCTTACAGACGCGTATGATACTCCAATCGAGTTCTATCCAGATGTACCTGCAATTCTCCATAGGCTGCGTGATGCTGGCGTTGTTGTCGCTGCATGCTCCAGGACGCATGCACCAACAGTGTTGGTACTACTTTTTGTGATGCTTACAGACACTGAGACTTTCACATAGAGCTAGAGAGGCACTTTCGCTTATCCAGATACCGTCAAAGCCAGGCTCGGATCCCGCAACCGTGAAATCCGCGATCTCTTATTTTGGACAACTTGAAATATACCCCGGGTCGAAATCAACTCATTTCAAAGCACTTCACACTGCAACGAGTTTACCTTACTCAGAAATGGCAAGTCCTTTTTTACGACGGCATGATATCATGATATTTTCGACCTAATGTCTATGCCACGCCAGTTATTCTTCGACGATGAGAGTAGAAATCGCGAAGTCGAGTCTTTAGGTGAGTGGCCCCCTTTCAATGTCTTGACGTTTCGTACAATGACATGGCTAAATCGGTATTCTTACTCTACACAATCTAAAGGTGTAACGTTCAGCCTCGTTCATTCTGGGCTTGATCAGCGTACCTTTGAGCGTGGTCTAACAGAATGGCGCAGAAGACACCTGCACGAAGTTGTTGAGGACGCTGAAGGCTAACTCCAAAGACATCTGTAATGACCAAGTTAAGCAAATCTGAAACGTTTAGTGGGAGGGAAAAGTACAGTTCATATGTCATATACCCACATAGAGTTTGTCAAAATTTCTTCTATATCTCTCTCTAGCATTAAAGTATCTCATCTCTCATGAACAACATATCTTAGTTTCTAACCTTCACCTTTGTCCTTATCGCTCCAGTATTTACTCCCCGGCAACCCATGTTCATTCCAAACGTGAGATATTTCATCTACGTCCATTTAACTTGGCGTATTGCATCTCGATTAGCGATGGGTTTATCCCTCAACGGCCCCCAAGTGCGGCGCACGTGGGAGCACGTTCTTGCTCGCTCGCTTTTTTGTGGCACCACGGGCCACGGGCGTGGAAGGCACCGCAGGCACCAGGCTCCTCCCCATCTACTGTTTCGAGGTTCGAATTTATCCTAGGGACATGTAGATTAGATTAGATAAATGATAAGATAATGTTTTGAAAGTCAGCTGAACTTTGATTCTGAACCTCTCCACAGCGGCTGGACTTTAACATTTGCAAAGCAAGTCAGCCACAGTGACTAGTGACCGTCAAGTGACGGCTGACTTCGAAAATAACCCACTCCAAAATAAATCCTGTCGACTGTCTCGAATTATCTGTGTTTTGACATTAATAGCAACACCTGTCGCTCCCACGGTTGTCCTGTAACTAGAGTGGTTAATGTGAGGCAACGATAAACTATAACAAAAACTAAACCTATCTCCTTCTGCACTTGCAGGGAGTAAGGGTTCAATGAGCTTGAGGTCGACAGACGCTAGTAAATATAGCGAGTAGAGGACTTTGAGAGGTAAGCTTCAAAGGTTCTTGTTGAGGAGTAAAGCGGGTAAATTCAGTAATAGAAAACTAAGGAGCCATACATGAATAGGTAAGGCTTTATATAGGGAACTGTCCGTTCCTCAGACCGAAAGGAGAATATGCAAAAAGTGGTCTGAGGAATTAATCAAGCAATAAGAAAAAGGGAGAGTAACTATTGTACGACTTTTGACTTGATTAATCAGCAGATGAGAGACTTGTACTAATTATAGAGGATTGTCACACGTGTTCAGGAACCGTATCCTCATGATGAGGTACGATCCTAAATAAGGCGTTATTAGTATTACCAGGCTTTACTAGGGCTTTGAGCTGGTTGGCGAGATGCCTACCAGCAGTCCCTACCCAGTGTGCTGGCTGGCTGGGGGCGATACCCAGTCTCTGATCTGTGATATAAAATGGTAGCGATGGTTAAGAAAGCCTGTGAGGGATATGAGAAGTAAAACGGCAAAGGATACCTCTAGCCCTAGAGCCAGAGGTGTAACGGGAAAAGCGTTCGAGAACCAAGACATAGCGAAGATAGGAAAATAATGAAATGGTCCTTACAGTTAATACTTCTCTGATGCACCTCTAATAAGAGGGGATAGGCACTTTGTGCTGCCTCTTTTATTAATCCTTGGTTAATTAGATAGACTCTGGAAATGGGACACACTGTCTTCCCCTTGCCAACGGAGTCCGGACCCGAGGGACCTGCACAGCCAGGCCAGATGGTATCATCAGTCACGTTACCTCCACGACGGCATCAATTTAACAACAAGGGGTAAATGTGGCATATGACGTTGATGCAACAACACAACATCGTTACATTGAGTCGTCACAATCTCCTCACCAGTGTTGCCGTCGCCATGGCCATCAACAGTGAACTATTCCTTTCCCTCTAACTGCACCTTCCCCCCCGCTTATGTCACAAAACCCATGGATATACAACCTGTGAAGGCTTCTGTTCATTGACAGCTTATGGGAACGCAGCTATGCGAGCCTATAGGCTGTCACTGCACAGGAGGTCATTCTAACACTATCACCCCAGTGCGGCGCATCTTTGTTGCTTCCACCAATGATGCAGGACACTTCCCCGCCCTCCGATTGTGAGGCAACAATAAACTATAACAAAAACTAAACCTATCTCCTTCTGCACTTGCAGGGAGTAAGGGTTCAATGAGCTTGAGGTCGACAGACGCTAGTAAATATAGCGAGTAGAGGACTTTGAGTGGTAAGCTTCAAAGGTTCTTGTTGAGGAGTAAAGCGGGTAAATTCAGTAATAGAAAACTAAGGAGCCATACATGAATAGGTAAGGCTTTATATAGGGAACTGTCCGTTCCTCAGACCGAAAGGAAAATATACGAAAAGTGGTCTGAGGAATTAATCAAGCAATAAGAAAAAAGGAGAGTAACTATCGTACGACTTTTGACTTGATTAATCAGCAGGTGAGAGACTTGTACTAATAATAGAGGATTGTCACGCGTATTCAGGAACCGTATCCTCATGATGAGGTACGATCCTAAATAAGGCGTTATTAGTATTACCAGGCTTTACTAGGGCTTGGAGCTGGTTGGCGAGATGCCTACCAGCAGTCCCTACCCAGTGTGCTGGCTGGCTGGGGGCGATGCCCAGTCTCTGATCTGTGATATAAAATGGTAGCGATGGTTAAGAAAGCCTGTGAGGGCTATAAGAAGTAAAACGGCAAAGGATACCTCTAGCCCTAGGGCCAGAGGTGTAACGGGAAAGGTGTTCGAGAACCAAGACATAGCAAAGATAGAGAAATAATGAAATGGTCCTTACACCGATCATCCCTTCCTGCCACTCATAGAACTGGTTTACACCATAAGGGCTCAACAGTACCTTCACCACTGTCACTTGCTAGCTCTCCCCGTCCTCCCTCCAATGTGCCGACTCCCAATGTTGTATATACCCAGACACATCAGAGAGGCCTGTGCATTGCCCAGTTATAGGAACGTGTACCACATGCACCTATAACCTGTCACCGCACAGGCATCAATTCTGGCATACAATAACATGTCCTGAGGGGTGTCGCTTTGAACACTCAACTGCTGTTGGGGACAATGGTCACCCATATTACATTCAATTCAAGCATGTCTAGTTGCTCTCACACTTCCCCCTCCCCAAGCCTTCTCGCCTCCCTTCACCCCACTCAGCTCCTATCACAGACATTTCTTCGTCTCATTGTTTCCATGTTTACAATAGGTATGATATTCATATGTTTGGGGTACATGGAGGTGAGTGTAAGGACCATTTTATTATTTTCTTATCCTCTCCATGTCTTGGTTCTCGAATGCCTTTCCCATTACACCTCTGGCTCTAGGGCTAGAGGTATCATCTGCCATTTTACTTCTCATAGCCCTCACAGGCTTTCTTAACCACCGTTACCACTTTATATCACAGATCACAGACTGGGTATCACTCCCAGCCAGCCAGCACAATGGGTAGGGACTGGTAGTAGGCATCTTGCCAACCAGCTCCAAGCCCCATTAAGGCCTGGATATACTAATAAACGCTTTGATCAGGATTGTACCTCTTTATGAGGATACGGTTCCTGAACACGCGTGACAAATATCTATTATTAGTACAATTCTCTCACCCGCTGATTAATCAAGTTAAAGTTGTACAATAGTTGTTCTCTTTTTTCTTATTGGACGATTTATTCCTCAGACCACTTTTCGTTTACTCTCCTTTCGCTCTGAGGGACGGACAGTTAGCTATATAAAGCCTTACCTATTCATGTATAGTTCCTTAGTTTTCTATTACTGAATTTACCCGCTTTACTCCTCAACCGAAACCCTTGAGCTTACCTCCCAAGTCCTCTACTCGCTATATTTACTAGCGTCTGTCGACCTCAAGCTCATTGAACCTCTTACTCCCTGCAAGTGCAGAAGGAGACAGGTTTCGTTTTTGTTATAGTTTATCGTTGCCTCACAGTGAGTACATGGAGCATAATGGGGCATATGGGGATCTATTACAACATAAGCCATCATTGGGCCTTCACTCATCTTGGTCAGAGTTTTCTCGGGACGACACAATGACCTCCACACTCTTTGGTTCCTGATGCTTCCTGTTGTAACAATGACTGAGTGTAATTGAATAGGGACAATGTGTACTTACGCAAGCCGCTCCTACAAAACCTGGTGCACTGTTGGCGGCAGTTAGCAAGGTCTTCTTGTTCGTGGACGGCTGAAATAATAATGAGATGAGAGAAGATTAATTTAACTCAATGCAGTACTTACTCTGATTTCGTGAACAAGCCCATTGTTTGAATAACATAGCAAGTTCGTCCGGGTCTCTCCCGACAACATCCTCCCAGAAGTCCATTGAGTTATTGCTTCCATACCAGGTGGGCGCCCCCAAGTCAAATATGTGACCGCGGGTCAGGAAGAAACAACCATAAGCACCTGTCCTTGCAGTGAGATTATTGAGCTGAAAACAAGAAGTCAGTGGGGATCATCAATGAAATGATGTCCGAGTCACTTTACCTCCTTTTCAATCCTATTTGCAGTTACCAGGACATCCCTTGCTGCCGCTAAATTGTTAGCACGGCTTCCCAAGGACTTGGTTTCACGATGATTGAGAAGGCGCCCACAAAGATCGTCACGTTCTTCTTTGCTTAGAGTAGAGGGATTGCAGGTTTTGCTGACTATATTCTGCAGCTCTTGTAGATGCTTTCTTTCACCGGCTGGGAGATCTTTGGAGTATATATTAGTATTTTTGTACCATTACTATCATATGAATAATACCTGTATTGATTTCTGTTGATTTTGCATGAACCATCGCGTTGTAGATATTTGGTGCACGGGTGTGTCTGTAATTACTTTCTGCACTGAGTTGTTTTTTTATATACTCAGTTGTCACGTTATGCTTGATTGCCAGATCTTCCATGCAAAGCTCCTGGTTGAGTCGAAATTTGTCAATGTCTTCTTTCAACCTCGCCTTGGTGAGTTTCCTATCTTTTGCAGAGATTTTGCGTGAAGCCTTTTCTGCTTCTGTAAGTGCATATGGTGCAGGTCGACGAGCCTATACCGGCCGCTCAGGGTTTTGACCTGCCCAAGTCAGTCGGTCTGGTTGCACAGCTTGTATGTGAGAGAAGGGGTGTGGGGGCGGGGCTGGAGGAGGCTGGGGTGCTGGTGCCGGAGGAGGTTGGGGTGCTGGGGCTGGAGGGGCAGTTAGCACTGGGTTTTTGAGGGGCTGCAAAGCCGCCAAACGGCTTGGTGATCTCTGCACTGTACTTGTTGTGGTCAGTGCTATGCCATTGCTTTGGGACCCTTTGTTTGCAAACGGTGGCTCTAGGAGACGTGGGTCAATCATCTCAAGAGGGATAGTAGGAGGCCTAATGTCTCCCTGAGGTACCGAAGATGGCACCAGTGCAGGACCTGGGCCATTTGTTGGGGGGGGAATGAGGGGGATACGAAGAAAAAGATGGGAGCAGCAGCACAGGTGCTCTTGGATATCCTGCAAAGCCCTCACAAGTTCTCCAATGAGGGGGTTGTGTTCCAGCAGGATTAACGGGATCTCTCCAGTCAGGGAAAATAAAATGAGACATGTAGCACAAAACACAGGAACAGAAAATGAATATTTTATAAAAACAAATCCTCGACTGCTCCTATAAAAAAAACTACATCAAAGTTCATTATTACAAAGATCATGCAAAATATAAAGTACGGATAACTGCCCTAAGCACATGCTTGAACATAGTATGCTCACCTGCCGAGATCACGTGTAGTCAGATTGATGAAGTATGTATAGTTCCCTGAGTGTTGTGTTGTTGGTTTGGCCTGACTGCAAAGAGTAATGAAAGTTGTCACTAACATCATGTAATCAACTCGCCAAAAATTCTCTCCCTGCCCTCTTATCCAGACTAGAAATCCGCATACAGGTTGATTGCATGGGGCCGAATGCATCCGATACAGTTGCGGAGAAACAACAGTCACTAATACTCAATATAACACCACAAATTTGACTCACCAAGTATACGTCAAGGCAGGAATCTATGAGGGGAAACATAGAGTTATTGTAGAGAGATTATATGACAAATTACCTGGAAATGGAGTGTCAGTATTGTAGAAAATTAACAAGAAACTCACTGACATAAATTTTATCTAGCAGGCCTCATGGTGGCCCGCAATTGGATTTGGTGATATTTAAAATGAATGTACAAGGCAAGTCTAAATTCCATCCAAAGGCATCACAGCACTGACGGGAAATTAGACATACCTTATCAGATTCACGCTGACCTGTTGATTGATGACTTAATAATCAGCTCAGACTCAAACGCGTGGGTGGCATCACGCATCAAGGCTTCTCCCAGTCATCTGCACCGGTCCGGCTTCCTGTGCGCCTTCATCCTGTGGCAAATCTCAAATCCAAGTTGAGTGCAAGAGAGAGAGGAAGACAAAAATTTCACAGATTGTTGTCAGGTGTACATCTATCTGCTAAAAGTAGATCTACACTGATGCCTATGTACTTGATATCTGACACTTTGTTTGGTGGTACAACAGCAGCATACTCTTCCAGTTTCAACTCGAAAAACCTGACCTCCGACATTAGCGACACGATCATCTCAAATATCCTCAGACCGACGGCCATCAGTTCTGTGGGTGCAGTTCGCGCTAGGTGAGTCAAATTAAACAGCTTTATCCTCCCCAAAATAACCCTCCCAACACGGATATGCTCATCCCATCTCAGAAACAAATAATCAACCACCAGCTGTCCTTTTGCTCGAGCAAAGTCAAGCTCTCTGTGAAAGTGTTTGTTCCACCCACTTTGAGGGCCCCACTCTATTCCCCAAGCTCCAAATGCACACTCGATCCCGACAAAATCCTTCCTGATATCCTGCCAGCCAAATTTGCTGGTTACACGACCCTCCGGTGAGTCTGAACTGGTGATCGCCTCAGCTCCATTGATTCCACCTGGAGTAGCAATCTCGGGATTGTCTGACTTGTGAACTAGGGTGACCTTGGCTTTATCATTGCGTTTTCTTTTAAAGGTATGTCAGCAGCTTTATAGACATATACACAGGATATCAACTCACTTGTCACGATATCTGTGGTATGATCAGGCCAAAAACTCGACATTCAAAGCATAACATACTCACCGTGCTGAACGTTCCCTCGCCTTTGCATTTTGGATTGCAAAAACTCTATTTAGACAGTTCACTGGGGCTATCGCAGTATACAAGGAGGACACTAACTTGGGATTTGAAAGCCATTTTTTTGTAGCAAGAAATTGCTTTTCTTTCTTCTGTGGTGAGTCTTGCAACATATGTTTTGTTGTCCACTCGCTTGTGGTCGTGGCTGACATATAATTGCAGCAATAGTATCAGCTTGGCAAAAAAAAAAACAAGATCAAAGTTAGACTCGCGTAGATCCAGAGTTATATCAAAATATAGCGTACTGTTCACTATAGCTGTAACATAATGTACAATCCAGTGTATTTTGTAGCCCACTAGGAATATAGGTGTCAATAGTATGATTAGAGAGCCTTTTTGGATGTCGTGAGTAATATTGACATCCCAGTACATTGAACACGAAAATTAATAAAACTAAGTGAAACTCAGCCGCTGCCCAAGAGGCTATAGAAACGACATTATTATTTACCTAAGTGAAACTACAATAGATTTTAGTTTAAGGTGATCTCTAATAAATGTAATGTAACATACCTCAGCCGCTGCCCGAGAGGCTATAGAAACGACTGAGGTATTCCTATACTAAACCCCCTACTACTTATAGTTGGAGGTGCTACTCACTACAGTATAATGACTCCTAGGAGTACAATTGTGCTCCTAGGAGAACAATGGTTACTCCATGGAGTGGTGGCTATGCTCCATGGAGAACAATGGCTGCTTCGGCGGAGACCGGGTTTATCCGGTTTTGTCAAAAATACCTATCACGACAATTTTCAATAGCCTTTGATCTCTTTCTGGAGATCAGAACTCAAGTCAATCAATGCGTACAGAAAGCTTGTGGTCGGGATACCCCAAACTGGCGGCTCAAGCATGCTTGTCCCGCATGCACATACACACTCGAGGATGAACCCACAATGAAGTTCAAGCTTCTATACGCAATGGACGGAAACGACTCGCTCAAAAGAGTCATAAGGCACACTTCAACTGATCATGATGACAACGGGCCAGGACAACCATGTGAGCTACTGACGACTCAAGAAGTCCACGGGGACCATTACTTAACCAGAGCTTACGTTGATAAATGGGCCATTGAAGCACTTGAAGATCTATTGGGTGAAGCTCAGAGTGCAGTGAGTTTTCTTTGACTACATATGCTGTGTTACGAGGATACAACACTACGGGCCTCACGGAAACTGATATGCCCCATTTCCGCCATTACCTTCTTAGTCAAGTCTTAAAAATGTTGTCGCACAATGTTTGAAATCCTGTATATTAGAATCAATATCTAGGTGTCTCTTTTTCTCATTTTTATGACCAGTGGTTAAAACAATAGACTGAGCTCAAGTGCAAAATGTGAATTTAGGATGGAGATACATGTAATATAAGATGATCAGCTAGTGACCAACCTTGGGACGAGTATCAATAACTATGGGGTTATCCTTTTGTCTTTTCAAGTTGTTGGTCCGATTAGCCCCAATACATGGTTTGAGCTTGTTGCATCAATTGCTGCATCTGTTTGGGAGGAATGGTTTGCACAGCAGCAAGAGAAGAAAGCAGTTTTGAATTGAATCCCAATGTATGGAAGCTTTGCCCATCATATGGTACACTCACCATTATTATCTGACCAACATTGCCAGCTGTAAGGTGACCTGCAAAATAATACTCTCAAAATGTAGTACCACCACCGTCATGTCCTAAACTTAGCTCATGTGGACCAAATCGGACTTGGATCTCCCGGAGAGTCAGTGCTTCACTAACACTAGTCTTTTCTATTGAGGCCTTTGCATCCAATCTCTTTCAAGTTTGCTATCCACTCAACTCAGACGTCCACTTGTACTATAACAGTGCTAGTTTTGGGATCAACAGTGGTAGGCTCAGCCTTGGGAATCAAATACTACTACTAATGTCAGTGCTAGTAGTTCGTCCATCTTCACATCGACAACCCAACCTTGGACCTCAGCCTGCAATCAACATCAAGTTTTCGCCTAAGTACGTCTTTGGACCCTCGCCATCTGCCTCTAGACAGCTATAGTCGGAGTGCAGACTCGGCTTCGCATCTGCTGCCTACGTTATTCTCTTCCTTGTTTCTTACCCTGTAATCGGAGTGCCAGTGATCATCGATGATGATACCCAGAGCTTTACGTATCACACTATCATATGGAATGTAAGCGACTACTCGGCTCCGGGAATTGTCTTACTTCGGAGGCGATTACTGCTGCATAATCATTGGTAGTGTAAGTGCTACTTAGTTAGCAAGATATAATATTGACTGTCGTAATTCTTGAATTAGGTCGGCGACTGGAGACTATATACTACTCTTGGCTACAGCTCGCTCGACTCGTCACAAATGGCAAAATGCAACATAGATGCAATTCAAAAGGACGCGATTGCATTCGAGAGTCAGCCTGAAGATGTGTTAAGCCAGGAAAAAGAACTGGATTCGGAGGTCGCACACAGCGGCATAGAAACCCCCACAGACAAAGTCATACATGGCGCAGAAGAAATCACTCGGGTTGTAAGTTCCTATGCTTTATGATTTGCGCAGCGTCGCATTGACTGTTTCCTCCCAACTAGATCATATCTCCGGATGACCAACCTCATCTTCCCACTCTCACCTTTCGTTTTTGGGTCCTTGGTATCGGTTTATCGATTTTCGGTCAGTTCGTGTCCCATCTACAACTCTTTATCGCTGACATAATGCTCATCAATCTCTTCAGGTTCGGTCCTCTCAGAGATCTACTTCTGGAAACCTCAGAACGCAACCGTCAGCAACCTCTTCCAGCTCATTGTTGCATATGTTCTCGGGAATGCAGTCAGTCGAGCATTTTGCGCTTCCCTATATACTTACATACTTATATAGTCCCCTATCCTATAGATGCACTATGTTATGCCTTCCAAAGGTATCTGGCGGTATCTCAACCCAGGGCCATTTAACATAAAGGAGCATACTTGCATCACCATGATGGCTTCCACCGCTTCTTCTTCCGCTTTCGCCATCGGCGTCATTGCCACCCTCGATCTCTTCTATAACATAAAGCTCAACCCCGCTGCCGCAATTTTCCAGAGCTTCGCCTCGCAGGTATGTGCACAGACGATATGTTGCATCTATTGCGGTCTGTCTTATTACGTTTACATATAGCTCATTGGATATGGATTTGCGGGAATATTGCGATCACTTTTGGTCTGGCCGACTTATGCCCTTCATCCAGCCAATATACCTTTGATATCCCTTCTTCAATCGATGCACTTTGATGGCCTGCTAAACAAAAAGAAAATGCAATACTTCTGGATCGGTAAATTCTAATAATCGCTTTACTCCTTGTTCCCTTCACCACTCACCCCACCCTGCTTCTCACAGTGTTTACATGTATCTTCATCTGGGTAAGAATATCAGTCTCTTTCTCCATTCCTTCCCACTTATTTTTCTGTCCTGCCGTTCAGGAAATAGTTCCTACTTGGATTTTCCCCCTCCTTACATCCTTTTCCGTCATTTGTCTTGCCGATACCGGTCAGCACACTGTTGTTCGCAATCTTTTCGGTGCAGGTTCCTCAAATGAAGGACTGGGCCTCTTTTCTTTCGGGTTTGATTGGATGCTTATAACCCAGGCCTTCCCGCTCTACTGGCCACTTCAGACGCAGGTGTCCTCTTGGGTTGGAATAGCTTTGTGTTACATACTTTTGAGTATGTCCTCTCGCATTCTATTCCCTCTCTAGCATGAAGATCTAGATGACTCATGTTTGATACCTGTGCTTCTGCTTTGTAGTGGGCTGCTATTATGGCGACGTGTTTGAAGGCAAGTCAAGAGGCCTCCCATTTCTGTCAGCATCGTTATTTAGTGGAAACGGTTCGCTGTATGACCAAAGCGCTATCCTTACACCCGCTAACCAGCTCGACGCTGTAAAGTTCGCCGAGATTGGCCCTCCGTGAGTTCCCTCTCCTCTTGTGTCACCCTGTTTCCTGACGTGGTATTTCGCTACTACAGCTACATGACGACAACGTATGCAATCTCTCTCCTTACAGCTTACGCCGCCTTGGGTGCTGCCTTTTCGCATGTCCTGCTGTGGCATTGGAAAGAGTTATGGATGGCATTCAAGGGTTTCAATTTCCTCAAATCTGGTCAGGACTTTGATGAGTGCGTTGGACACATCGAACTTCCTTTCGACTGGAAGCTATTAGCTGACAAATACCCCTTCATCTCCTTTTTCACAGTGTCCACTACCAGAAAATGAAAGTCTACAAAGAAGTCCCACAGTGGTGGTATGGTCTTACATTCCTCGTATCCCTTGCGCTCGCCATTGGAATGGCATATGTCGGGCTAGAAACCCTGCCTTGGTGGTCAGTCATACTGTTTACCGTCCTGGGTGCGTATTCTTATTCTGGTGTTCTCCGTGTACAAATCGTACTGATCAAGCTCTTTGGTACACTTGATCCACTCCATGTCCTGCAGCTTTTATCATTTCAATCATTCTTGGTTTTATTTTTGCCGTGACAGGGTTTCAAATACCTACCTTTGGTGTTGTACAAGTTATTGCCGTGCGTGTCTTTCTACCTCAATTTTGATGTTTTCTCTTTCTGTTCTTGTATATTTGTTCACTCAATGTCGATTATATTCCTATGTCCAGGCCTATGTCCACCCACAACAACCGATACAGAACATGTATGCGAAGCTATACGGCTACAATACTGGATATCAAACTCTCTACATGCTCGCGGACCTGAAGCTCGGTATGTCTAGTATATCATGCCTTCGTTAATACTCATTCCCAACGAATAATGGTCGGCTTTACCTTCACTCATTAGGTCAGTACGCTAAAGTTCCCCCAAGAGCAACTTTCATATCTCAGATTGCTGGCACAATTCTTGGCGCTGGTATGTCCCTCCTTTGACCTTAGTTTCTTCTGTGAAGTCGCTATGGAATCTCATGCTCACTTCGGTGTCCTGTAGGATTCAATTACATTTTGTACAAGTCTATCGTAGACGCACACCGTGCTGATCTGATCAATCGTGAGTCCTGAACATCTTTCTCATTTCATTCCATTTATATTTCCATCTTCGACTTGTATCCTGAAGCAATTGGTACACGTATATGGTCAGGGTGGAACTCGCAAGATATCAATTCCGCTGCGATTACCTGGGGTGCACTATCCAAAGAGCTTTATAGTCCCGGAAAGATGTATTTCCAGGTATTAGACGTCTTGCATCATCTGAGAGTGGATAACAGGACTTATCACCCCTCGTGCGCATGGGTAGATCCCGATGGGTCTTCTATACGGCTTTCTCGCACCCTTCCCGTTATACTTCCTTCACAGACTGTTCCCTAAGTATGTACTGTCAGCTCTTCATGTCTGTGTCTAGCAGCTAACTTGGAACTTCAAAAATATAGACAAAAGATATGGTCCTATCTCAATGTGCCTGTCATTATCACATATTTGGGCTGGCTTACGTATTCAGTGAATGGTATGTATCCCCAACATCTTTTTCTGGCAGCCTCTTGTGGTTAGAATTTGAAATGAGCTGATGGCTTATACGCTTTTTTTGTAGGGGCATGGTGGCCTGGGTTTGTTATTGGCTTGTGGACGCAATGGTGGGTGAGGACGCGGAAACCAAGGTGGTACAACAAATATAATTGTACGTGCTATTGTCCACTTTCGATATTGTAATTGGGTGATTATTCGCTGAGTCTTCACTCTGCTAGTCCTCACTTCTGCAGCTCTGGATGGTGGGTCATCGATCGTGTATTTTATCCTCAGCTTTGCGGTATTTGGTAGGTTCTTTAATTCGCCTGTGGATGTACTTGCACTGATCTTGCTTGATTTCATCCCGTCTATGGGAACAGGTGCGAGTGGGCAGGGTATCAACTTTCCATTCTGGTGGGGTAATCCAGATCCAGCTATGATGAGTGTTGGTGAGCAGCTTTTACGTCTCGTGCCTACTTTTCGTTCAACTCAAGACCTTTTTGTATCCATTTGTGTGTAGATCACTGTGCAATGAGCTCGGGATGATGCAAGGCCACCATACTAGGAAGGTGTAGTAGTTAGTTGACCCGTGCGTTTTGATGGGCAATGTTTTCTCCTTAGTTATACTTCCGTTTAGTTTTATAAACCCTCGTAGCAACGACTGTTCACCCCAGAGCTTCGTGGGTGAGGATCTTATACCTTTTTTGTTTCTTATGATGTACTTATACTTCGCACCTAGTATTTTGGTTTATATTAGATCTCTCTGAATCTGAGGAGAGTCAAACGACATACCCACACTGGCGATAGCACTGTCCGCGAAAGCATTTGTCAGACATGGGGATGCATGAGACGCCGTTCTATGCATACACAACGACGTCAGCTTATCGATGTAGTAAGAGGTCATCTTACAACTTTGGACTCATGTTCTTATCAAGCAAGGCAACGACATCTGATATCAATTCGACAAATACATGTATAGGTTGTGGCGCGGCATATAACTCTGGTAATACTAGCATTGTCACGGTATGTATCAACCTCTCCTGCCACCACACAATTCTCGTTGTCAAGAAGACTGGGGTCACCCAGGCCTGTGGAAAGGTGACTCGACAGTATTTTCCACCAATACTCGCAACAACACGATCTTGTCTCCAACCAACTCGAAATGACCGTCGAACTTCCTGCGGGGACATGTATGTTAGATGCGAATTTACTTTGAGGTACGACTTGTCCACTCACTGCACATCTCCAGTTGCTGGTATTAGGGTTTCAGCCTGTCAGACAATCACAGAAAAGGTCATGTGGTTGTTTGATAGAGTAAGTTGAGAAAACTTACGCGAATGGACACCTTTCCAAGACTCTCGATCACGTCCAGCACAGTAGTCTGATGAGCCGCTGATGTTTATCAACTACGAGCATCAATAAACACGAGGCCAATACCTTCAGCGCAGAGAAATGAGGTGAGATGGTGTTTTCACTGAATTTTCGGTACGCATCTTTGTCGAGTGGACCGTGACTCTCAGATGGAGCATCGTAAATGAATTCATCAGAAAGCAAGTCACAGCAAGCGCTGATGTCGCCGCGATCAACAGTTTCGATAAATGCTAAAACAGTGCGAAGTTGACCTGAAGGTTGATCGGTCATTCTACAGTAAGCAGGTGGAGCCTGAGAGTGATTCACGTCGAGATGGTCAAAATCATATTACACTACTTATAATACGAGTAGTGGTTGGTGAGTTTTGTATATTCGCTTCCAACAATGTCCGCATAGGGGCCGGCCCTTCTGAAATAAAATATTTTCCTGAAAATAATTATCTATGTAATTATGTCGGTTCGCGAATCGATCGCTTGAATGTTGTCGATTACAGCCATTTGCTTCAAAAGGACGACGTGCGTCTCGTAAGGAGTCGTTTAAACCTGGATCTCTAGCTTCAAGCTTGGCCACATCAGGTATGGCGAAGAAACTTAACCGAAGCACTACATACCTGGATAATACTCATACCCATCCTGCTCGCTTAGCTCTCCGCTTACATCATTTCTACGAGGGCCCATCAGGAAATCGGTGAAGATCACCCTTGGCAGCAACATCGAGAGGTTCCCACGCACTACTAGATGGGTTTCTGTGCAGTGGGGAATATATCTTAGAGACTACCTCTTGAACGAGGCTTACCCTTACATCCTAGTTGGGATTTTAGAGTCTGTAGCCTTGTATGTATAATATCTTCAATTAACATGTAGAGGGTCTTGATCTCCTCGTAGGAGGCTCAACTTGTTTGGGTATGTCAAATTGTACAAGACTGTCTCGGTATAGCGCGCCTAAGAGCATTTTAGAACCCTTATTCTGAAGCCTCACCAATGATCACTGTTGTCCGAGTTCACTGTATTTTTTTTTTTTTTTTTTTTTTGCAAAACATGATATTTTATTTCAGAATGAGCCTCGAGCATAAGATACATTGAGCACATCGACACAACAAACATAGTAAGTAGAGCAAGCTAGCAACTATATAGTGCAGCCAAGAACATAGGGGAGGGGATAATACGAGATGACCACGCCCAACTAATGCTCTTTGGGGCAGTGCTGATGACAACTTCCACCTGCTTTCTCTTTGACAAAGCCTGCTTTTTTATGCTGGATTCCTTGTCATCATCGCAGCCGTTTCCTTGAGGCTCACAATCAGGGCTAGCGGGAACTCTTGGTTGACGCTGCACACTGCGCTTTTGTTTGTTGACACGAGGTGCATCTGTGTCATCTTTACACATACACCTTTGCGGTCGGCCGTTTGGTTCGCAAATTTCCTCCATCCGAATTTGTAATGGGAGCTAGATGGGGGTGCGACACCTAGTATGACAGGCTGGGTTGAGTTTACTAGTTGGGCTATAGAATATGTTTGATAGAATATTGCTAGAATAGCTAACAATGTACCTTTTATTTTAGGGTCTGCCTGGAAGTACAAACGGTCTGGACCTTTGTCTTGAAGGCTCTTGACAAGCCTTGCATGTTCTGTGAGTTTGAGGTCCGAGACACCCTTCAGTTTGGTTGTTGCTGAATATTGTAGTAGCCTGATGTTGTTGCCACTGAAAGAGAGTTATTCATTCTCCGACTCCGGAGTCTCAATTACATATTTGGATTATCTAATACTCTCTTCCTTATCTGATTCCTGTGTTGGCCTACTCCAAGCATACCCCCCCTCAAAGCTAGCACACCCTCATGCTACCTCGTCTCTAATCCTTCAAATTACCCCTGCACTTTGTTATTTGTCGACCGTCCCTCCTTCACTCCTGCACTCCTGGTCCTTTCTTCGTCTTCCACACCCTCTCTTCTTCCATTCCTGTCTTTTGCAATCTTGGTTGATTTCTCCTAGTTGTCGTTTTTTCTTTGCTCCCCCTGACTTCCTCCTGGCTGTCGTTCCTTGTTGCCTCTATACTCTTTTTCTTCTTCCACATCTGTATGTCCTTCCATCCTTGTTACTTCATGGTTTTGTATATTCTGACCATTCTCTTGTTTTTGTTTTAGCTCAGTCCCGTTGTTGGGGAAGAATCATCTGATTCTCCTTGCATGTACTCTGATTCCTGGCTCCTCTCGTTGCTGATCCAACCTCTTCACCAGGTACAAATTTTCCCATCTTTCTACCACTTTCAACGGTCCTGACCACTGCACCATCAGTTTTCTACTCACTTTGTGAGTATCCTCTTTCCCAATGTACATTTGGACTAATTGTCTTTCTTCAAACATTACCAGTTTAACTTTTTTGTCAAAAATAGCTTTCCGTTTCCCCGCATGCTCCAATGTCTTCAAAAATACTTCGGCTCGGAACCCATCGACAAATGCCATATGAATCTCCGTCAACTCTATATTGGCTGTTGCTGTTCCGTCTTGTGGTGCCTTTGGTCTTTCAGCATCAGTAAGAACTATACCCATTAGGAGTTCTCTAGGGCTAAATCCAAGCGATGGCAGCACTCTGCTGTTCATTTGAGCTATTGCGGTTGTCAATTGTAGTGGCCATTTTGCTGGAGTTTTATCTATATCAAAGTCAACTTCATCCTCCTTGTATCTCGTAGTACATAGTTGTTTCAGTTGTCCTATTAGTATTTTATTTGCATCTTCGATCAGTCCATTGACCCATGGTGACCGTGCGGGTGTTCGTATGATTTCGATGTTTTCTTGTCGGCACCATGTCAATACTTCTTTGCAATCAAAGTGTGATCCCCTGTCGGTCATTAGTTGCTCTGATGTTGTGTATCCTCTTGATATCTCTGTCAACCCTTTCACTGTTGACTGTCCGGTTCCTGGGTGCTTAAACATGAACACCCACACAAAGCGGGAAGACACATCAATGCATAACAACACTGTTTTATATCCTCTGTGTCCTGCAGGCAATGATAGATAGTCAGCTGCCATCAGTTGAAAGGGACGAGATCTTGTAATTGGACTTAACAGCGTGTTTAAATGTCTTGACCCAAACACTTCGCATTTTGTACACTATGTTATTGCTTTCATCACTTCTTTACGCATGTTTGGCCAAAAAAACATGCATCTCAGTTCTGCTTCACAGAGATCTTGCCCAAAATGCCCTCCATCTTTGTGACAAGCTTTTGCTTTCTCTCTCCCTTCATTGGCTGGTATGCACTCTACTCTTGGTGCTCATTCTCCGTTTTTACCTGCCACTTTCCATAGCTGAATCCCTTCAATTATGTATGCTGTGGCTCTTGCTTTTACTGATTTTTTTCTTCCACAACCACACTCCTTTGGTGCTGTTAGTGTTGCCAGCCATTCAACAACCTCCACAAAGTATGGGTCGTTCTTGTATCTCTGTATCACTCGCTCCATTTGTACGTCTGGTTTGAGTAGGAATAAATCATTCTTGATTCCTGTCGTGTCCTCCCACTTGGGTGAGACCATATATTTGTGTCCATTTTCTGGTGTATCTTGCTTGTTTTGCCATATTCTGCTCAAACCGTTGGCTTGATTCAATTCTCCGTCTCGATGAGTAGCTTTGACTATGTCCCATCCTATAAGGGTGTCTTTCCATCTAGCATGCACTGTTGATAGATTCGTGTTATTTAGTGTATCTTTCAAAGCTTGACAGTCAATTACGATTTCGATTAGTTGTCCATGTATATATTTCTTAAATTTTCCAAGTGCGAAGTGTAATGCGGCAAATTTGAGCATGTATGGAGAGTATGCTTCCTTGGTAGTTGTTGTTTATTTGGATGCAAATGTGATAGCATGTTCCACTAATTTTGTAGTGCCGTCTTCTTTCTTTGTTGGCCATTTTTGTGAGAGTGTTGCTCCAAATCCTTTCTTTGATCCATCCGTTGTGACTACTAATTGCAGATCCCATCTTGGAGCTTTCAGCACTGGTTCTGACATTAACACTGTCTTCAGCGTTGCAAAAGCTTGCTCTTGTTTGATGCCCCATTTCTTGGTTATGTTATTTTCCATCAATACTCTCTTGTATGATCCTTTTTGCAGTTTTGTTCCTTTTGAGGTTACTGGTTTGATATTGCGTATAAGGTCTGATAAAGGCTGTGCTTTCCTTGCATAGTCTGCTATCAAAGGTCGGAAGTGTCCTGTAAGTCCTAGAAATCCTAGTACATTGTGTGCTGTTTTGGGTTTCGGCCAATCCAATATTGTTTTGACTTTGATCCTATCTGGTTTAATGCCTTCTTTTGATACAATAGTTCCTGCATAGTTAGCTTTGTTCATGAATAAAAATGTTTTACCCGGGTTCAATGATAACTTTCTCTCTTGACATCTCTGGAAGAACTTCCAAACAGTTTCTATTTTCTCTGCAAGGAAATCCCCAGCTGTTACAATACACCATATTTGGACCTTTAAATTTCATTCTCCACTTTAACTTTCTTCTGTAGTTTCCACACCCTGTGCCATGCAGCCCTTTCCATTTCATCAGGAAAAACACTTTGGCTATATAGGCTCTAATAGTACTATAGTTGCAAATATAGTTGTCATAGTGATCATAGCTGCAATACAAACCCCAACATCTATTCAGGAACAATGTGCTCTTATAGTACTCTTATAGTTGGCTATAGCCTCTTATAGCACTGATAGCACTTATAGCATATGGCTGACTATGTGAGCTATCAGAGAGCTGTGGCTGATTTTAAAAAATTAATCACACACAAGGTTTGAACTCTCAACCTGTTGGTCCGCTTTTTGCTGACCAATCAATCTACAGCCACATACCACACATTTATCCACTACACCATAAAGGCTTACAAAATATACTATACATATTGACCTTTAATGGACTTGTCATTTTTTTTACACATTGTCACAACTTATACTTGGATAAAGCATTGCTATAAATATGTACTATGGTCTTGACAGCTATATAGGCTATTAGAGCTATAAGAGCCATTATAATGCCTTGGCTAGCTATATAACATTATACATGTGTGCTCAAACTTATAGTACTATTAGAGCTATAATAGTATAAATAGTATTGCCTCTGCTATAGTACTATAAGAGCTATCGTAGTATCTTCTCTGTTATATAGTACTATTAGAGCTATAATAGCATAAATAGTATTGCCTCTGCTATATAGCCAAAGTGTTTTTCCTGATGTTTGTTCAAACTCCACCTTCTCACGCTGCGCTGCCTTTTTCCTTATTTTAGCTACAAGTCTCTCACACAGTGGAGCTGGTCACACGGTGTCATGCACCAAAGTTGATTGGTAGCATGGACAGGTGTCAATAACGAAGCGAATATTCAAAAGACTTGCCTTTGCGCCACACAGGCACAGTGCCACGTGGAATAGTATTTAATATTGCCTTTTTCGAACTTGTGGCTGATCAGCATCACCTCTATTAGGCAATCCAGTCACGCTTACCTTTGCTTTTCCATTCAGTACTTTCTGCATTTCGGCAAATTTTCGTGTTGCCACTGGCTACATATTGTGCCCTTGCTTTTGTTGTTCTCCCTTACTTTACTCAGCCCCACCATGGGACCCTTGCTCTCCTTTTTATTCTCACCTGACGGTCGTTTCTGGGTCCCCATTCTAATCCACTTTTCCGTCACCTCCACCCTCCTCCTCCTCATCTTATTTGCACCCCCACCATTTCTGATGTCACCACTTCCTATCCGCTTCCGTCGCCGATCCGTTGACTACCACGTGCCACTGCTGATATCAGCAAAGCCCCGGCGGCCGGTCCAAATAGGGCAACAGGTCCATCTTTATGACGTCGATCTACCATCATATACTATCAAAACATCGGTCGCTCGTCTTGCCTGGTTGGAGCGTGGGTGGGTAATTTTTGAGCTGGAGAAGGTTCATCCCCTTGCATCGCCCATGTTCATTGCTGTCCCATTCACTTGGGTACACTTATCATTTGTCCATCGTCTTCGCTACAGCTACACCTACCACACACTGCCTGGGACTCACTTGTTCCAAATTGGAACTACTCCCCTCCCTCCCTCATTTGACCAGGTGGTCCAATACAACCAGTCCATTGGTAAGGCCTTGGAACCGTCGGATTTGGACTAGGTGGTGGACCGGTGGCTCCAGTTTCTTTTTCTTCAGCAGAACATTCATTTACAGTGCGATTATTTTTGATTTTTGAATCATTTTTATGGACACATATTTTTTTAGAATGCCTGACTGACAATAAAGGAACTGTGCTGATACTGATAGTGTTTTGCCTTGCCCTTTTTTTTACTGCATCTTCCCATGACATCATGATTTTCCTGCTCTCTTTTTGCTATTGGACTTTACTTTATGGCTGTACAAACCTGTGACATTACTCACAGCATTTATTGTTCTATCCCTTTCTTTTCCTTTTTTTGACAATCTTATCCTGTACTACCTACGCAGGATTCGTCAGCGTACCTTCATATTCTTTCTCATTCTTTTTGCACAGCTATACTGTGCATAGCCTACTTTTCTTTTACTATATAAACCCCTGTATTTTACCTTGTAAAAACAACAAGAAGAACTCAAATCCAGACTTCTTCTCTACTCTCAAGTTCACTACTCTGCTACTTGTGATCCAGTGTGGTCACAACACTTCCCACTTCTACCACTGTCAACTGCTGTCATCGTCACTTCCCACTTTTGAAGTCATTGTCATCCCTTTCGATTAGAGTCCTTCTGAGCACTACAGTTTGTGCGTCAGGAGCCTGCTATCACTGGGAACCTCGTCATATTGTCGTTCCCAAACCTACCTTGTGCTACAATTAGCAAGGTAGTGCTCATCTATACTCATCACTAAGCCCCCTATCTTCTACAAATTCAACTATCCCTCCTCCTCAAAACCCAAACTCATACATCTCTGGGTTTTACTTTGAAGGATCTTTATACGTACCACCCCACGAACAACCAGACCACTCCACTGTTCTAGGAGGCAAAGCCCATAAACAAGTTCCGTGGAATCTGGGAGGATTGTGTGTTAGTTTTTTTTTGTGTGTGGTTTTCTAACTGCAGTTCTCATCATCAACACCGTCCATGGCCTGATGATGTAGGGGACTTCCCATGAAGAGCAACGGCACTAGCCTTTCCTGTTCATGCTGCTGAATGCCCCGAGCCATAGCATCATGATCAGCACGCATCGGAAACAACAGAGTCACGGCTTGAGAGTCGATGTACTGGCCCTTGGACCCTGTCACTGGTTTAGCGTTATATTTCGGCGACGTTTCCCAGAATGCATGCAACCAATCCCACCACTTGAAGTCCTTTCGGATTTTCTCTGATAAATATTTTAATGAGGTATATTTCAATATATCTACAGACTTACGAAAAGAATTATCAAAACCCTGCGATGCTTCCTCCGATGGTATACCCTGACCAGTCTTCAAGAGACCTCGTACAAGTGCCTTATATTTATCACCCAATCTATATAGTTTGGTCAATAAAATAATAGACAACATATAAGCAAAATACATGCATTGCTAATCGATTCTGTACAGAAACACCAAACTTCTTGCGGTGGTGATCAACAGCAACATGCATCATTTCTTGAGAGTCATTCTTGAAGACGTGCTTTGCAATCCATTCATGGATATATTCCTTCACTTTTTTGGTGTCCTTGACGACTGGCCTCCCTTCATCCTTGGCTACAGACCTAGAGTCCGAAAAAAGCATCTGACGGCATCTCAGATGCTTCTCTAGCCATTCTATCAACCGATGTATACAAGAATCCGTCCAGGAGATGTAAGGGAGAGCAGGTTTACCTTGTGTGTTGATTTGTTCTGATGGGTCCGTGAAACAGCTGGTAAAAGTCTTTGAAGACCCATCGTCAACTTGGTCAAGGTCCTGTTCATTCTCGTTGTCACGATCTGTCCTTTCGTGAGACATGCTGCAATGCCAGGTGAGGCATTGTTGAATAGAGTAACTCCCCCGTACCCCAGTGAACTTCTAGCGCCGATTGAAGATCTGATCTCCACTTCAAATAAATATTAGTATTTTCTGTTATTTTCGATGAAAGCCGGTTTTATCCTTAGGTAACTAGAATTGCAGATCGATGGCTTTGCTTGAAAACAGCCGAATTTAGGCGACAGACCCTGTCGCGCTTAGCCTTTTACTCTGAACGATGCTAATAGATTGACGAGGACCTCAACGTTATGTCGCACTTGACTAGGTTTGATCGAAGGGCCATAGTATATTCGGGACCGAATAAGCTTAACATACAAACCAAGTTAGTGACAGAACGTGTTGGCTACTCATGCGTACCAATCGTGGCTTTCCCGACCCCTGTGATTTAAATGAGTAGACAGCATCCATGTCCATGTAGGTGCTACATTAGTACATGGCCTGCATGATGTCGTCCCTGCGCTTTCTGTACAACTCCATTGTGTTATCTCTCGTTCCCAAGAGCTTAGCAAGTGTGAACTTTACTTTGGGTTCTGTGCTTATCTCTGCGGGCGTTCTTGCTGTCTGGTATTCACAGCTCAAGAAATCTGATGGTTTTTATCCCCTTTACAGTATCCCTTTCATTGGATCATGCTCTTTCTTTGTGAATCGTGAAAAGTTCCTCGACATGGCTACGAAGGCCAGCCTCTCTGGCAAGACACCCAAGTTCAGCGTTTTTGGTGTAAATATATCTTTTATTTGGAATTCACTCCGCTAAATCTGCGATTATTACCTTTAGCACACTGTCGTAATTCCTACAGGAGAACAAGCTCGAAAGCTCTTCTTTTTCTCCCGAACTCTCGATAACGGTGAAGGTTTCCAAATACTTACCGGTCATGTCAGTGTCTTCACAGAGCATTCTTAACTCTTGCTGTCGCACGTACCCTACTCATTATGGTCACAGGCTCCTAGAATTGAAGAAGTAATGGAAAACAGACCAGCTAACCAGAAACGCTTCGCTTTATTCATAAGACGAACACATTCGCTTCTACACCGGGATCGACTGGAAAAATGTCAGTCAGTATATTGATACTCAAATATTACTGCTAATTTCTTGTCCGTACAGTGATTCCCGAGCTTTTCTCCGACCTTAATACCCATATGAATTCATGGCCAAAAAACGACCAAGTTGATCCATTCGCCAACTCCTTCGGTGTATGAAACAGGGGCCATTCTTACTTTACCGTTAGCTAACTGTTTTGTTTCATTACAGCTGATGTTTCACATGACGATGCGTAGCCAATGCGCCAGAGAGGTAAGTATGTTGATAATCTATATGCGTTCTGCGTTTGAAACAATACTTCCAGTTCGCTGATGATCTCTCTACTTTGCACGGCATGGGCGAGCTTTTGAGGTTCTGGAACTCGGAGCAAGAATTCAGCTTCAATAATGCTTTTACTTCCTGGGCCCCTGGGAGCGTTGTACAGAAGCGGAAAAAAGCTATCGGCGATCTTTATGGTATCCTCACAGACATCATCAAAAAGCGCGGAGACGAAGGAAGGTGTGAAAACGATGCGTTTCAATTTATGCTCGACCAGGGTGATACCATTGATGACATATTTCCAGTAAGTTAGCCAACAATTACAGGTGTCTTGTGTTGGAACCAAATGTCTTATTATGTTCTCAAGTACATGTTGTGGATTGTCTTCATTGGTACCGCTCCCTCGTGGGTTGTCTCGTATTTTTGGCCGCTTTTCGTCTTACGCAAGTTTATTTTTTCCAGTGCCATAGTGGCTAATTGGGTACTGATGTTCCTCAAAACTCATCCGTAACTTTCTCCCTAGTTTCATTGTATTCAATAACATTAATATGCGCTTATATACAGCGAATGGGACACAAAGGTGCGCAATGAGCTCCAGTCTCTTTGCGGGGAACATTGTCCGGACCTTGCACTCCCCGCACACGTTCGCTTCGCGCAGATACCATTGGATGCATGGGAGGGCTCGACTCCTGTCATGGAGGCTGTGATTACGGAGACAGTTCGAATAGTATCAACTGAGCCTGCTTTCCGCAGGAACATTGGTGGAGATGTTGAGCTGAATGGACTCAAAGTTGAGCGTGGCGAGTTCTTGATGTATCCATTCGGGATCGAGCAAATGAACAAGGACAATTATCCTAATCCTTCAACATGGAATCCTGCACGATGGGCTGACCCTGCTAAATTCGAGCACGATAGGTCACAAGGGAAGTTTTTAGGTTGGGGCATTGGTGAGTGAACGTCACCGCTAAATCTCTCATCATGGAACTAACCCATCTCGCTGCGTTGCTCCATTCCTCCTTAACTCAGGTATGCACCCCTGCCTCGGCATGCGAATCGCCAAGCTCTACATCAAGTTCACTGTAGCTCTATTCATTCACAACTTCGAATACAGCCGCGTTGATAGAAGTGGCAAGGTGTACCATGATGTTCCGGTTCCAAATCTCAGCGACACCCATTGTTTATTGCCGAAGGGGAAAGGTCACTTTTTACATATCAAACGCAAATCAGAGTCTTAGGGATGAAGTGATGTTGGAATTTGGTATAATGTTTTTACGAGGCTGAGATAGTGTTTATGCCATTCTCTGGGTTGTTCTACTTACGGTGATGTTTGGTTTCGGCAGGTACGATAGTCTAAACATCTACCCCACTTACAACCCGGATACGAAATGTAATGTTTGCTCTGAATCCTGATACTGTTCTGGTTGGTAGGTTTCGACCGTATGATTTAGACGTCTGCAAAATGACCAAGTAGAAACTGATCGAAGACATAATACTGGAGTGGGTGCCTACACGAGGCGATAGACATGAACATTTCACCTTTGTGCGCTGGTAATGTTTGGTGCGGTACATCGGGGCTATTGCACCCATCACGTTGAGTGTGACTAGACATAAAACTGGCACCATGGACTCATATGTCACTATAGTATTGTTGTGATTATAATTAAACATCGACTCGTTGAAAGATAGCCCTAGCGACCAGAACAACTCCGTAGACTCATCACGATCTCTTAGTGAGCTTAAGAGAGACTTCGCCCAAACATAATGTAACTGTATTCTTCCCAGTCAAGACCCGTTGTCGCCATTGTTCCAATGTTTCATTGTTTAGCAAGTTAACTTCCACCTTCCAGGTGCGAAGTAGCATGACCAAGAAGCAAATGCTCTCGACGATCGAAAATCTGTCTCCAATGCACACACGAGGTCCATGGCCAAATCCAACGAACGCATCGGTGTTGACAGTACTGTCTTCCCAACGAGATGGTTCGAATATTTCTGGATCAGGGAAATAACGAGGATTATAATCTGGATAAAAAGAGTACAGTCAAGCGGCCTCCTATATCAGACGCGAGGCTGAGAAACGTACGTATGCCAATAACATCGATGCAAGTAAGCGTGCCTTTCTTGATTATCACATCCCGCACCTTTTTGCCTCTGTCTCGATCTGTAATCGAAAGTACAGCATCTTGCATGGCTTCCCTCAAGATAACGGAGGCAGGCGCTAAGGTCAACAGGCGACTCTTCAGCAATCTGTTACGAGTAGAAAGATTCAAAACCTTACGATATAGCCTCATGGCCTCTGTGAAACAATTTCGGGTGTGGGTGAAAGAATCAAAATCCTCGAAAGCCTACCAAAATAGTGTCAGCGAAAACAAATGCAGATACAGTGCGTGAATCGTCTTACCGGCTCACGACCGTCAGGTAAAACTCGCGTAATTTCTTGATAAACTCGTTCTTGCTCATCCTGGTGAAGACTAAGCATTGCCAAAGTTGCACTCAATGCTCGAGCTGTCGTTTCTGCAAACGAGTAAGGTTTGTCGCGATAACTCGCTCAGTACATTCTAGGGCAGACACAAGCAAGAATTGACTTACCGTGACCCGCGAAGAGCATAGTGAACGTATTTCCGACAACTTCACGTTCACTGAGTGCAAACCTGCCGTCGTCTTCGCCGGCCCTAACGAGAGTATTGAAGACTGCACTCATTCCAAGCCCATTGTCGTTATCCATTGTTCCATTAATCATCTGCTCTCGGCGCAGAGCGACCTGTGACTTGGAAAACGAGGTGAGCCTGTTGAAAGCATAGTCTACTCGACGGAGCCTGTGAATTGGATATATAAGCAAGTGCTCTGTTGGTGAAGGATGGGTGGACGAACATCTTAGAAGGTAAAGAATACGCCCATCTAGGGGCCAGGAGCCGGATAGGAATAGAATTGAGCGCAATGTCGAAACATTCTCGGATAGTTTTCTCTCCTCCTGACGCAGCAGTGGGAAGTGGGTCAGACCAAGTGAAGCGAAAGTCGTATGCACAAGACGAGACGACCATGAGAGCAAACTGGCAATGCAAAGAGTAGTCAGATATCTCGATAGTACACAAATACAAGAAAATCTTACCCTAGCGGTCAGAGTAGTAACATCAGCCACAGGAGCATCCTTCCACTCTCCTTCACATGTGGCCATTTCATGAAATATTCTGATACTTTCATTCCACACCATATTGTATCTGGAATTCGGTGTAGGTCGTAAGAGAATTCTGAAAAATAAGGACGGAATAGGACGTACAGTTTAGGTGAGAAGGCTGGATTGAGAATTCTTCGATGTTTTTTCCATCCTTCCCTCTGCAGACTGGCGACGTTCTCGCCGAATAAGCTGGAGAATACGAGTGATCAATTCAATGGGTAGAATAAATACTCAAACATGCGACGCACTACACGCCAGGGCTATCTGTCAATTTATCGAAAGCGTCCGTGCGTCCTATAATTTGACGCATCATCTCTACGGATGACACGAATATTGTTGCGGGTCCTTGAAGCCATGGGACAATGGAAATAATGTCATACTTCGGGTATACTAATCAGGAGGCCAGATTAGCACAATGATAAATATACATCTGGGGCAGACTGACATCCATTGAATTTCATCGACCAAAAGAAGTTGCTCCCGGGATTGAAGAGCAATGGATTGAGACTTGTTGGGATGACGAAACCCCATCCAGATATCGGCGTGAACGCACAACGAAGTCCTGGAAGATGGTCCACCGCCTGAAGAAGAGAAGTTAGAACTAGACTAATGATCAAGAACGTCGACACACATACTTTGAGGCCTGAGCGCAGCTTAGCGAGCCGCGAGACGATGAAGACAGTCACCAGAGCAATCAGAACGCGCAGCATGTTGGTAGGTCGTAGTCCGGATGTGGGACCGCAAAGTACTTTTATACGACATGTAGCGGAGTCTGTGAACCGAATATATTCGGTTCAACGTAAGATAAACTTGAAGACAAACATAGTTTACAGTAAGCCCATGCTGTCCAAGGCACAATGTCTTTACCATGAACGACGAAGCTCTACTACAGACTCCAGTGGCCACTCACAGTAGCTGTACTGTCCAAGGCACAATGTCTTTACCATGAACGACGAAGCTCTACTACAGACTCCAGTGACCACTCACAGTAGCTGTATGATATTTTAGATTCTTCTGTAAGTAACGGTTAAACCGCGATCTTAGGCCGCCGGTAAGTAATGTAGCATCCAAGGTGCAGTCGGCGAAACCCGAGACGCTGGCTCTACCATCGGAAACTCCCCTACCTGCGTTTCCTCACTGCCTTTAAATTACTATGACATGTCGGACTGGGAGATGCGTAGACGCGACAACGTGCAGCCCACGCACGAGTATATACGAACCACACTAATTTTAAAGCGAATTACCGTCCCGCTGGCAAGATTTACTTCAGATCAAACGGCGACACTGTACCCTTCAAGTCGCTTCAAGTTGTACTCAGTACGTACGTACGGCAACCGAATTTCAACTAGAGCCTCTAAGCCGAAAAAGTTTATTATGGATCCCATCATAGTGCAAGTTAAAGTCCTGGGCCTTGATGAGATAGGCTGACTCTCAAGCTTGGACTGTCCTACTTCCACAATTATAACGCCATCTCTTAAAGCATGTCGTTTCAAGGCCTAATCACTCTCTTTCGTCAGCGAGTCGCAGCAGAACCTACCGCAATTGCTGTTCAGGACCAATATTTCACTCTTACATATTCAGAATTGGAGCGATGGTCAAACAATCTTAGCCACGAGATCTTTTTCCGCCTGAAAAATACCACAGGATCCAGCACAGTTGCAATCTGTATACCCCGTTCTGCCCTCTTCGTAGTTTCTGTCCTGGCTGTTGTCAAGACTGGTTTATCATATCTCCCTCTTGATCCCTCCGCTCCTCCAGCTAGACTCGACGATCAGGTCTTACAATCTGATGCCCGTCTTCTTCTTACCGGGTCCGGACATCAAGTGGCATCACTTGGCCGTGCCATTCCGTTCGACATAGTACCTTTCGTGGAACGCACTTGTATCTTTGGCCATACCGAACTTCCTTCATCCTGCCTGAATCCGCAAAACGGTACACTGGTCATATTCTTTACATCTGGCAGCACGGGACGTCCCAAGGGAGTGCTGATTCAACATGTGAGCATTCCAGTAACCGTACAACTATTCTGCCGCTCATTTTAATCGAAGGTTGGGATGACGAACATGGTCAAAGGCCGTCTTATGGAGATACAGCCGGGAGATCGTGTAGCCATGGTCAACAATATCACGTTCGACGTCTCTTCACTTGACATCTGGGGCACTCTTTGTCACGGCGGAACCCTATTTGTTTTGACTGCGCACCTTGCAGATACTGAAGCCGTCGTCGCTTTCTTCGTAGAGAACTCGATTACGAAAGCATTCCTACCGACCGCGGTTTTTCATCATATTATCAGTGATGTATCCAACGCAGTTTCTCTCAGTAAAACACTTGACCTGTTAGTCGTTGGTGGCGAGAAACTCCAAACAGCTCCTGTCAAAAATTTCTTCCGTCATGCACCAACTACTAGACTGGTTAATCTTTATGGCCCTACCGAAGCTACCGTTTATATCACAACTTTTGAGATACCTACAGGCAACTTTGATTACGACGATTCGTTCTCCCGTCCAATACCTATAGGTCGTTGTCTTCCCAACACAACCGTTTACCTTTTGGATGATAAACTTCGTCCTGTGGAACTTGGCCATCCAGGTGAAATATGTATCGGCGGCGCTGGCCTTGCTGCGGGCTATCTTGGTCAACCCGATATTACTTCCAGCAAATTCGGTACGTCTGCTTCACATTTCACAACTACCAAATTCAAATTTATGTCTTATATCCACAGTCACGGTCAATAATCTCGAAGGAGATGGTTCTTTGACTCGAGTCTATCGTACAGGAGACATTGGCCGATTTATTCCATCCGTAGATGGTCATCTACTGGAATTCGTAGGACGAAATGATAATCAAGTTAAGATTCGTGGACAAAGGCTAGAGCCCGGAGAGATTGAGGCTGTCTTGTGTGCTGGATCAGATGGGATAGACCAAGCCGCTGTTGTCGTAACCGCAGATGACCAACTTATAGCCTATGTAGTCCAAAAGGATGATGTTAGCCTTACAGATCCCTCTGGACATCGGGAGCAGGCCAGCGACAGTGTGAGACTCAGGGAGGCTTTTTATCATCAACATTTCGAGAACATAGACCCGGCATTGGTTGGAGCCGATTTTACTGGCTGGGTGAAAACTTCCACTTGAAATAATCCGCCATCACCCCATTCTGACTTTGAACCATCTATTTTCTTTGATACAGGTTAGTATGTACGATGGAGTACCTATACGTCGATCAGAAATGCAGGATTGGCTCTCAGATACTTTGCAGAGTATTCCTGTGAAGCAGAGTGACTCGGTTCTGGAAATCGGGTGTGGAACTGGTATGATATTGTTTTCTCTCGAATCACGTTGCCAGGAATACTGCGCGATGGATATGCTGGGTTCAGCACTGGATTATGTAAAGGCGCGTCTCGTCGAGCGAGGTCTACAAGAGAAGGTCACACTCTTTCAAGGAGTGGCCGACGAACTTGGCCGACTCCTTCCCAGCGAGAAGCGCTTCGATCTGATCATTCTGAACAGCGTCGTTCAATATTTTCCCTCTTCGGAGTATCTCCACACCGTGCTCAAACTATGTACCGATAAGCTCCAGGATGGCGGACGCATCTTCCTTGGAGATATTCGCAATCTTGGTGTAGACAAGCATCACGACTTGGCTCGCGTACTGCACTGTGATCCAGATCCTGATTTGCCGACTTCGGAGATTCATGACAGGCTCGATCAGTGGCAGCGTCGGCAAATGGAACTCAAGGTCAATCCGTCGTTCTTCTTCGGGCTTCAAAACCAGCCTGGCAATCGTATTTCCCATGTCGAAATTGTACCCAAGATGATGTCGGCCCGTAACGAACTCAGTCAGTTCCGTTACCAGGTAGTTCTTCACGTTGGCACCTCACCCGAGTTGGTGAAATCCGATCGATGGTTGGGATATACGACTGCTTCGCAGTTGCGGGAGTTATTGTCCTCTGGTCAGGATATTGTGGCGATTCGAGGCATCCCAAACTCTCTTGTAGCCGTTGAACAGGGGGCTCTACAGCTTATGTCGTCTTCTCCATCGCCACCCACAGCATCTGAACTTGTTTCCGCGGCCACTGCTTTGGACTCGTGTGTCAATGCTCTGTCACCAAAAGATATCGCCAAACTGTCTACAAGTCTTGGCTATCAAGTTGACATCAGCATCAAGTCTCTAGGCATCGACCAGTCCATGGCAGCTGTATTTTCGCGTGGTTCGTCGCCTGTCAAAGGCGATTTCAGCGCTATTGAAACTGATGAACGACTCACCAATTGCCCTACGAAGTCTGTCGAAGCTCATCATGCTCGTGACTTGACCGTCAAGCTGCACGATCGTTGTCGCGAGAAGCTCCCATCATACATGGTACCTCATCGTATCATCATCAAAGCTAGCTTACCTCTCACCGGAAATGGCAAAGTGGATCGAAGGATGCTTGCAGAATCCAGTATGTGGGCTGAGAGCCTGCCCCTTGGAGCACAGTCCGAATCGTATCATCCTGAAAACGATACTCAAGCCCGAGTTCAAGAGTGTATTGCTGAAGTCTTACATGAAGAACCTCTGAAGGTAGTTATTCCTAAAATTCAACGCCTTTCTTCATAATGTCCTCACTATTGTTTTTCCTCACTACCATAGATCCCTCTTCGAACCGACTTCATCTCCTTGGGCCTCCATTCGTTCCGCGCACCCGAGCTATTGAACACACTCCGCGCTCAATTTTCGATTCCGGACTTACCGTTCAGAGTCATATTCCAACATCCTACGGTCACAGCTTTGGGCCGCTTCTTGGAAGACCAGATCCAATCGACTTCGAGCAAGCCCGAGACAACAGCTTTGTCAGAACGCCGTGAAGTACCATATGACCGTGATGCTTTGCAGCAAGTTTTAGAGCATCGCGGGTTAACGCCCGACGATGTGGAGGATGTCTACGAGACTACTCTTTCGCAGAGATTACTTTTGATGGGCCAGTCTCGTCGCAGTTTCATGATGCACCAAGTGGTGACGGCACGCACGGACATCGATACCTTTATAGGCGCCCTCGAAATAGTAATTTCGCGGCATACTGCTCTACGCTCCACTATCTTCGATGAACTTCGGCGCCAGGTCGTCTTCCGTTACCACCAGAAGCTTCGGGATGAAATGGTGCATATCTACCCTGCTGAGGACGCTCAGTCTCTAGAAAGCATCATTAGAGACGACACGCGCTACGCATTAGCAGTTCCTGGCACTTTGATCAAGTTCGAACTATTCCGCACCGAACCACCTACCTTACTCATTATTGCTCATCATGCTATTATGGATGCTTGGAGCAGAGAATGTCTCTTGGCAGAGATCGACAGTGCTATTTCAAGACAGCAGCTCCCTGAGCCCGTCCCATTCCGAAATTACGTGGACTACATAATTGCGGAAGGAAATCATGAATCTGATATTGCTTGGCATGTTGATCGAATCCGTACTGCAGACATTATCGGTTTTCCCCAGTGTGAAAAGTCGACATTTACCAGTAGTTCTTGCCTTGGCCCCGACTTTTTGCGAGTCGAGCAGCTTTCTGGTATGGCGAAAGTCACTCAAACATACGGTATCAAATCATCGACACTTTCAAAGGTTGCCTTTGCGTTGGTAAAGCGACACGAATCGAAACGTGATGTAGTGCTCATCCCACAGGCAGAAGCGTGTCGAAGTCTACCCGTCAAGGGAATTACAGAGATGTGTGCTCCAACATACAACATCGCCATCGACCGCGTCGATTTCCTCTCAACCGATACAGTACTCGAGCTACTGCGCCGTACCCAATACAATCAAGACAAGATGACTGATATTTCTGCTGTCAACTACGAAGCGGTATTATCTGCCATTGAACAAGACATGACCCCATTTTCTACCTCCAGCTACAACTTCTCTTCGATAGAAGGAAATCCACCCTACAGGGCTATACAACCTGGACCGGCAGGAGCAGAGAATGATATTGGTATAGAATGGACGACTATTGTGGAGGGAGAAGTAGTCAAGGTTAGAGTAGACTGTGACCCCATTTTCTCTGATCGTGTTCCAGCCTATGTCGACCAGTTCTTCGTGGCTGTTCGTTGGCTGGTAACTAATATTCAAGCCAGAAGTTTGGAGGGGTTGGAACTATAGGAAGAGACTTGGATTTTCTCGAGATAACAGATTATATGATTAGGTGTGTACATGTACATAGATAGCGATGCACGAGACTCGGTCTGCTTGAATCACTGGCTTACTCGCATGTGGAAGCATTACATTACGGTGTCGAAGTCGGCTTGAGCCGGGCCTAAGCGCATTGAGGGCACTGCCACATCGATCACTCAATCTCAGGATCTCAGACCAGCGAGTAGTTAGTTATTCGGGCGAAGGTCAGGCCCATCTGCAAAGTGGTCGAACTCGCTTGATAGTTTTATGGCTAAGCGCAATTCAGAACTCTGAGCTAATCCTCTTTGGGTTTCCAAAACTTGCCCCAAGAACAATGCGAGTAAATACTTACTTGGGCCTGGTATATGGCGGAGTTTTACGTAGTTCAGCCAGTTCGACTGCACCTTCGGGACCTCCATAAAATCATTTCGAGTGCTTTCGAGTGTATGTACCAGTACACAGGATGCTACATCTAACTCTTATTGTCGCAGCATTGGTTATATTTGCCTTTTCGCGAGCCTTCAAGTTTCTAAATGGTCTCCAGGTCGGCTTTTTCTCGTTGTTTTCTGTATGTCGAAAATCTGATGATGTTCGACATAGGCGGTGGGACATTCCTCTGGATTCCGATGTGCTCTCTCCCCCTTCTCTAGCTTGAGTATGGTCCTGCCAACTAGGCTAAACTCCTTCTTTACCAACGTCGGCATTAATTTTGTATGGGATCTCCAACGTTCAGAGAACCGTAAGTCAGTGCTAGTTGATCGTCACTGTATAGATGGGTAACTCGTTTCAAGTGATGACGAAGGGCCAAGACATCATATCCGTCGTTCCATGGCTACTAGGACCTCCCACCATTTATGTTTCATCTGTCGAACTGATGCGGCAGGTTCTTAGACATACAGACAACTTCGATAAGCAAGAGCTCGAGCTTGGCAGCCAGTACGGCCATTATTTTCATCTCGGTTTAATCCATTTCGTGCTGATAATCTTATTAGATTACTTGGTGAGAACATTGTTTCCACCCAAAAGGAGAAATGGAAGGTGCATCGCAAGATTGTCCATCCTGCCTTTTCCCAGAAGTTGTACGTCGACTCTATCCGACATAGTACTTTAACGTTTCATTATATAGTCATTTCTAGGAGCGCTCTCGTATGGAAAGAAGGAATTCGCAATTATTATGAAATGTTATCCTCTAAGGGATGGGACACTCAGAGTACGGTTACCCCTTCTGTAATCAACGATCTGACATCAAAGGTTGGTCTACGATGTGAGGAGTCGTTTTTGATCCTGATTACTTTCCTACCCCTCTCTTCTCTTTAGTTTACTTTCAGTGTCATATCTTCTTGCGTTTTTGGCCTCCCTATCACGTGGTCAGAATCCAAGGCTACATCGGAGAAGGAAATGTCACTACAAGAATGCGTGATGATCATGGCTAGCAACATCTCCCTACGCATGCTAACACCTAGATGGGCATACTTGCTCCCTATTGAACGGTCAGTTTAGTTTATCTTAAATTTACTAGTTCTAAAGCGATGAATTTCACGAATGTTTATTAGACTCAGACGGGTGGAAGCTGGATTCACCAATATATTTGCCTTCATGAAATCTCAGGTTGCATATCGCCTAGACAGCATAAGAAAAAACGAAATGGTAGAAGATGACGATCTGGGTACAAACACAGTCTTCAATAATATAGTGAAAGCCAGCGTCGATGGTGGCAAATTTACGCTGAATGAAGGTGAAGTGATAGGAAATACATTTGTGATGCTATTTGCTGGCCATGGTGAGTTATCGGCCACGGCCACTGTTAAATTCGGACAGCTTGAGGTACACGGCGATTTCCACAGAAACGTCGTCACGGACGCTGACGGCAGCTTTGGCGCTGTTGGGCTTGTACCAAGATAAGCAGGAACAAGCCTTATTTGAAATTGAGCGAGTGCTGCCTGGCCGTCGAGAGCCGGTACGTCATGTTATACTTTCGGTCATTCAGATGATCGCAGTTTAACCCCGCGTCGTTCTCACAGATTATCCAAGATTTCGAGTCCTTTAAGTATATATTGAATATCATTCAAGAAACGATGAGGCTATATCGTGCGCTTTCTATTGTAGAAAACGATAATCAGTCTCTCACGCTGCGGCCTTTAGCACCCATTCCACTTGTGGTCCGAGAGGCTATCCAGGATACCCTACTAACCATCACAGATCCCACGACTGGGCAGAAAGTGCGCGATGTCGTTATCAAGAAAGGTACACTGGCTTGCATCAACATACTCAGGATCCGTACGTCTTACGTCCAGTTGCTGAACTGTTTAAAGTCAACTTCTTTGCCTTTTGTTATAGATCACGACCCACGGTATTTCCCTGACCCTGAAGAATTCGAACCTTCTCGTTGGAACGATGATACGGCCGCCCATGATGCGTTTCTTGGATTTAGTCATGGGACTCGTGCGTGTATCGGCCGCAAATTCGCTTTGGCGGAGATGATATGCTTCCTAGTTATGTTGCTCCGCGATTGGCGGGTGGATGTTGAGTTTGAGAGTGATGAGTCGCCTGAACAGTGGCGTAATAGGGTCTTGACTTCAAAAGCGCACGCTGCCCATGGTCTGGGCCCTGTTGCTTTAAGACTTACCAGGAGAAAGTAATATTTATTCTCGTCATTACCCGTATCCAATTGACTCCAAATCATAATCTGGTGGATATTATTGTTAGACGGCCATTGCCACCGCGGTACTAGATATGCTCTTGGATGTTCACAGAAGCAAGTACAGTCATACAAGTAGCTAAGAGATCATCAGAGCTAGAATAGAATGGGACAAATCTATCTGTGAGAGGTTGATGTGAATGGCTCACTTGTAGCGACTAGGGCAGATCTGACACCAATTTTTGAAAGTGTGAAATTTGAGGTAAATATGGCAAGATTTGGCCAGATCATGAAAACATCAATGGATAAACCACAGTGCGAACTGGCTCTATGGATATTGAGCAAAGTTGAGTGAAATCATTATTGTATTAAAAAAGAAAGAGCGTCTTTTGAAAAATGGATTGGCCTCATAGATATCGGGTAGATTTACTTCAGTCCAATACAATGGTGGCATGCAGGGACCCGCCTCTTTGCATACTTCATTTCCTTAGTTGTTCTGTTTAGGGATGCCAAAGTTCAGTTCAGTTCAGTTCAGTTCAGAGGCATTTTGTTCTGAATGCCGAACCGAACCAAGTAGATTCAGGGGTGAACAGAACAGAACCAGAACAAAATCTCTGAATCACCTCATATTGTGGGAATTTTCCAAAAATAGCTCAATTTGTATTTGAACTGGGCTGAACTCTTAACTATGTTATAATTTGGGGCAAATATATATACTTTGTTAAGCATATTTGTAGTAAATGTACTTTTACACGTAATCTACCACTAATTTGAAGGTTTCTTCTCATGCAAAGCAGCTTCTCTTTTAATATCCAATAAACCAGTCCTGTACCCATTTATTGAGAATCTGTAAAGCTTCAAATGTTTCTGGAAGATACTTATTTCTCAATACAGTACTTGCCCTACCACCACTGGAAAATGCTCTCTCAGCTGCCACAGAAGACCCTTGAATTGCTAGATAATCACGTGCTATCAGTGACAACACTGGGTATTGAGCTGAGAGGTACTACATGTTAATCAGTAATTGGTATGAAAAGAAACACTGGATACTGTACTTACACCCCACCATTTGATCACATCATGTAACAACCAAGAGTTAGTTACTCCGGCGCACACAGAAACACACTATAAAGAGAATGAAGAGGGAGTGGTTACCCTTTAGGATGCAGAGAGTTAGTTGGTATACAACAGGAGGACTCGCTGAGGAGTCTCCTGGATCTATTGGGGTATATATATTACTACAGGGTTATTTGTACATGTGTACTATACAGTTGATAGAGACAGTGGCTGATGATGTCATGGGGTCTAGCCCGCATGGCCAGCTCCACTGTGTGAGAGAGTTGTATCTATAATAAGAAGAAAGGCAACGTGGCACGAGAAAGAGGAGTTTGGACAAAAGGGGAATGCCGCGTGGCACCATGTGTGAAAGCTAAAGTACAAGGTTAAAGCGGAGAATGAAATAACGGAAAGGTCTGAAAATTGTGTTATCGTAACACATCAACAATATCATTCTCCAAGGGATTTTGAAGATAATTCTCAAGCTCTTAATGAGGACTGTGAGATGTGTTCTCATAATTAACTCTAGAAGCTAGCGTTGAACAGAGCCATGAAGCGCCATAACCTTGACTAGCTGCTGGAGTAACTTGATCATCATATATAGTTTAGTATACTTGAATACCAAATCAGACATACCTGTGATAGATTTCTCAGCATTGGTGCTAGTAGATTTGCTATTCTTCTGTTTATTAGCATAAATATCAAACTACACAAAGTGTTAAATATGCTCAATAGATCACATTAATAAAACTAAGTGAAACTCAGCCGCTGCCCGAGAGGCTATAGAAACAACTTTATTATTTACCTAAGTGAAATTACAATGGATGTTAGTTTAAGGTGCTCTCTAATAAATGTAATGTAACATACCTCAGCCGCTGCCCGATAGGCTATATAAACAACTAAGGTATTTCTATACTAAACCCCCTACTACTTATAGTCAGAGGTGCTACTCGCTACAGTATAATGACTCCTAGGAGTACAATTGTGCTCCTAGGAGAACAATGGTGACTCCATGGAGTGGTGGCTATGCTCCATGGAGAACAATGGCTGCTTTGGCAGAGACTGGGTTTATTCGGTTTTGTCACACATAACAACCACACATCTTTTTCTCAAGTGCTTTAACACCAGTAGAATAATACTCCATAAAGTTATAATTGCAGGACATACATACCTTTTTATTTATAATAACATGTTTAAGGAGATCATACATAGATCCCCATTAAGTTCTAACCCACTTAACTAACTCCAATGGAGCAATATTCTCCTCTTTGCACACTTTAACAAAGTATGACTTTACCTGTGGTGATGCTCTGACCTATACAAGAGTTAGTCTATTCAAACTATCAATAACAAAAACTATATCTGATTAACAAAAGCCAAAACCTTTTCAAAGAGATCCCCTGCATCATAATCCTCATCCTCAACAAGATAATCATCTCCAAGAGTAGGACCCCACTCATTAAGCCAATCTTCAATATCTACATCCTCCAAGTCTTTATCTTCTGAAACTTTGACCTTACAATATTGATCTGGGGTTGGGCATACTCATGCTGCCTCTATAAAGCTCTTTGCAGCAAGGTGAATGGTATGTTCCATATATCTTGAACAGATCAGTAGTGAATTTCTAATATGAAAGAAGACCTACCTGGCTCTACACTGATGAGCAATTCATTCCAAACTATTTGGGTTATCTAAGATGCGCTGTAGCATTCAAACAGCCTTGTCATTAGCAGATACATCATCTAAAGTGGTCCAACCAATCTATAAGGCAGATGAGCACATGACTTTTGGAACTAAAAGTATATAAACATTTTCCCTTATATTATACCTGTCAACAATGCAAAGTATAATTGCTGCAGTATTAGCACCATCATTATTACCTTCAATTTCAGTGTAACCAAGTATTCTAGACCTCAGCTCCCAATTATTGGGCTTGTTTGCAGGAGCATCAATATAGTGAGCACTCACAGCTAAATATGGGTCAAATGCTTTTAATGTCCAAGCATTAAAGGTAATTGACATCTGTCCAGGAATTTCCTAAAAAAACAATGAAAGTGTGTACCAAAAATTACAACATTAATATATACTTTAAACATAACCCAAAGTTTCCCTTTAACCTTCAATGTTTTTGAAAGGATAGCCTCACAAAGAGTGGTGCAATCAGGTACAACAGAGTCTTTAGTCTGTGGCCTTTCAAGTTGAAATTTGAGAACAGCATAGAAGGCTTCTTTTTCAATCATGGTGAAAGGCTACCATATGGAGACTTTATTCATCAATACTATCAGAACATAAAGTGACTTACAAGATTTCCCTGGGTTACAAGTTTAATGATATGCTCCAGTAAGCCATCTCTGGTCCACTTAGAGCTTTGCTGGACAAAGAAAAGTATACTAATTGACTATTGTGTGGTGTAACACTACTATCAGTGGCCTTATTGTCCTTCTTAGGTAATGCATGTGGGTCTATGTGTATCCAATTTTCTACAGGGAAACAAGTTGTAGCTAGTATAGTCTTTGAGATAAAGTCATACCTGGATATATATTTGCGAAGGGCAAATGTCCCACCTGTGAACCAACACAGGCTTCTCTTGATGTTAAGTGAGCTGCAATATATATGTTAAGTCAGCAAAAAGTATCATTCACAATACAATATGTAGATTACATACAGACACACATTGCACCAATGACCAGATTGAGTATGTTGTCATTATCATCACTAGCAACTTCCATGTTAGCATCATGAGTGATGTCTTTTCTCCCACTTGCTTAATAGGGGCAGAGGCTACTGCCTAACTCCAACAACTTTCCAGGTTGGTTTGACTGGCTGCCTAGAGCCAGCAATCTTTACAGCAGCAGTAGGGCATTGCTTGGGCTTGATAGGCTGATCCTCAGATTCAGACCTATACTATTCAATGGCTTCAGCTTTCTTGAGTGTGCTGTCCTTGTTGAGTGCGCATTGGTGTGTGTCGGTCATGATTGTTACAGAGGGAAAAAATTAATGTGGCTGTGCAAGTGGTGTTAGCAATTTATTGTGAACACCTATTCAGATGTGTCAGTGTGCTGATATGCAAGCCTTAGCATGTCTCAATGGCACAAGCAGATGATGCAATTGCATTATTTGCATGCATGATGGAGACATTACTTGGCGTTGGTGGTGCATTGATGTAGTGGGGTAACTACCCAAAATGGTGGTTGGGTGGCAATGAGGGAGAGTGGTACTGCCATGCTGGTGTTGATGAGAAGGGTGAGGGAGATGGTAGTTGTAACAACCAAGAGTTAGTTACTCTGGCGCACACAAGAACACACTATAAAGAAGATGTTGAGGGAGTGGTTACCCTTTAAGCTGCAGAGAGTTTGTTGGTATACAACAGGAGGACTCGCTGAGGAGTCTCCTGGATCTATTGGGGTTTATATACTACTACAGGTTGTTTGTACATGTGTACTATACAGTTGATGAAGGCAGTGACTGATGATGTCATAGGGCCTAGCCCGTATGGCCAGCTCCACTGCGTGAGAGAGTTAAGTCTAAAAGTAAAAGAAAGGCAACGCGGCGCGAGAAAGGGAAATGCCGCGTGGCAATTTAAAGTATAAAGTTAAAACGGAGAATAAAAGGGAAAGGAGATGTCCGGAAATTGTGTTATCGTAACACTACCCCCCTTCTAAGGCTCGACTTCCAGGCGAGACCAAATACCGGGGGTAGTGGTAAAATTTTTGGGCATAGGTTGAAAAAGGGAATTAAAAAGGTTTGAATCCATTCCTCTAAGCTTCCTGGGAGCTGAGGGATTCTTAGAATAAAATTTGCAAACAGCGTCGCGGGAGTTTTCCAGATGGGATTCTGGTTCCCACGTTCTGTCCTCGTCTCCATAGCCCTTCCATAGGACCAGGAACTCTAATTTTCCACGCTTCAAGCGTGCATCTACCACCCGTTCGACTTCGAACTCTTCTTCACCTTCCTGGGTGACTACTACCGGACCGGGCCGGTCTACGCGCTGTCCCGGCAGCGGTCCCTTGTAGGGTTTCACACGGCTAATGTTAACCGTGGGTACCACCCTCATTCGTTTTGGGAGTTCCAGCTCCACTGCATTAGGTTTGACTTCCTTAATCCGGTAAGGGCCAATCCACTTTTCGGTCAGTTTTCTAGACTGCCGGTCTTTTAATTTCAAGTGGTCGGTGTCTAACCAGACCAGGTCGCCGACCCTGTAATCAGGGGCCTTAGAGCGTCTACGCTCTGCCCTGTTTTTCATCTGCTCTGCAGTTCTAAATAGCGCCTTGCGCGTTTCGTCCAAGACAGACTTCATGTCTTTTGCCATGTTCCCAGCAGCCTCGTTTTTGCTTTTGCCAGGTTCTACACCCATTCTGGGGAGGTACGATCTAGTAACCTCGAATGGTGCCTTTCCTGTAGCCGACGACTGTTTAATGTTATATGAGAACTGGGCTATCTTTAGCCACTTAGCCCAATCTGTCTGTCTGTCGTTAATAAATATCCGGAGATACTGTTTTAACTCCTGGTTAAGTCTCTCCGTTTGTCCATCAGTTTGCGGATGGAACGCCGTGGATAATTTAGGTTTGATGCCCAGCATCTTGCATAATTCTTTCGTAAATTCGCTAGCGAATTGTGGTCCTCTATCGGAGATTACCGTTTCTGGTAACCCATGGATTGACCATACGAAGTCTTTAAATAAGTCTGCCGTACCGGCGGCGGTGATGGTTTTGTTGGTGGGTATGAATACCACTTCTTTGGAGAAGCGGTCTACTACCACCATTACTGAATCGTACCCGTTTGACTCGGGCAGATCCGTTGTGAAGTCCACCGATATATCCTGCCAGGGGCCAGCTGGTATCGGGTTCGGCATGAGTTTACCGGCCGGCGGTTGATGGGAATTCTTGGCCATGGCGCATCTCAGACAGGATTTTACATATTCCTGTATGTCTTTGACCATGCCAGGCCACATGTAGTTTCTGGAGATCAACTCCATCGTTCGTTGCCATCCAGGGTGCCCAGCCACTGGAGTGTCATGATGTCTATCTATTGCCTTGATCCTTGCGGACTCAGGCACATAGATTTTGTTTTTGAAATGGAAGAACCCGTCTTTCCATAAATAGTTTTCATTGCCGTCAAGGCGCGCCTTTTCCTCTGGGGAGATGTCTTTTCTAAAGACTTCTAGAAGTTCGGAATCTTGCCCGATTCTAACATTGGCGACCCTTGATGGATCTATCAAGGTGACACCTTTGTTGTCCTCTTCAATGCCGTTGGCATGATCCTCTCTTCTAGATAAAGCATCCGCTTTCCCCATTGAGCTTCCTGGCTTATGAATTAATTTATAATTGAACCTTGACAAGTACACCGCGTAGCGGGCCTGTCTCCGGTTCAGGTCTCGGGCCGTCATGAAGTACTCTAGGTTCTTATGATCGGTCCAAATTTCGAATTGGTGCCTAGCACCTTCTAAGTAGTGCCGCCAGTGCTCTAAAGCTCTAATGATGGCCAGCATCTCCTTGTCGTATATTTGATAGTTGCGCTCTGTAGGCGACAAACTATGCGATAAATAGGCACAAGGCCTCCAAAGATCATCAGGACATTTGACTGATAGAACAGCCCCAGTGGCGAAGTCAGAAGAGTCGGTTTCTAGCCGGAACTCTTTGTCTAATTCAGGGAATGCCAATATGGGCGCTGTTGTAAATGCCTGTTTAAGCTTATCAAAAGCTTCCTGTTCTTTGGCGCCCCAATGCCAGACAAGGTCCTTTTTGGTGAGATCGTTCAACGGTCTCGTGATTTTTGCGAAGTTTTCAATAAACCTTCGGTAGAAATTACCTAAGCCTAGGAAGGCCCTAACTCCTTTGACGCGAGTAGGTTCTGGCCATTCCAAAATAGCTTGAACTTTCTCAGGGTTCATCCTGATTCCGTTCTGGCCTATGATCATACCGAGGAAGTCTACTTCCTTCACTTTAAAATTACATTTTTCGGGTTTAACGAATAGGTCCCGTTCCTGTAAGCGTCGAAGGACTTCTTGCACGATCCTGTCATGCTCAGCCTCATCGTCCGACTTTGTAAATATTAATAAATCGTCAATGTAAATGACGACACAGTTTTCCATATCCGCAAAGATCTCGTTCATCATGCTCTGGAAGGTTGCCGGTGAATTGGTCAACCCAAAGAACATGACAAGGGGTTCGAAAGATCCTCGGTGGCACGTGAACGCGGCCTTCCAAGCATCTTCCTCTTTGATTCGTACATTATTGTACCCCCATCTGAGATCCATTTTAGTCAGAATCTTGGCGCCAGCCAATTTGTCTACTAGCTGACTAATTAAAGGCAACGGATACGCGTTTTTAACTGTGTGCTCATTCACGTAACGATAGTCCATAATCATGCGCTTCTTACCATCCTTTTTAGGAATGAAGAACACCGGGGACGTCATAGGACTTTTGGAAGGTCTGATGTAACCCTTCCTAAGTTGTTCGTCTATGAAACTAGATACCTCGTCTCTTTCGGGAGCAGAGAGCGGTATCATGTGTCCCTTCCTTGGTTTGAAGGTGTCTTTCAAATCTATAGCATGGTCCCAAGGCTTAGCCTCTGGGAAGCGCTCTGATTTGTGTTTCGAAAAGACTTTCCAGAAGTCGTGGTACTCGGGAGGTACCAGCCTCTTAATCTCTTCCTCAGGTTTTACCTCATCATCGTCATCGTCGATCTTTTCTAGAGATCTGAGCTCGTAAACGTGACTAGCGTTTAACTTTTCGAGACGCTCATTGTGACGGACATGATTTGGTTTACCCAAGTTTACACATTCCTGGGGACAACGTGACAATGTGACAACCCCTGTCTGCCAGTTGATCTCAGGATTGTGTTTAAATAGCCAGGTCCAGCCTAAGATTAAATTAATCTTCCCTAGTTGGGTAGCTTCGGCAGTGACTCGTTCTCTGTGTCCTTGGTATTCGACCACAAAAGAACATTTGTGTGTGATACAGCCACCTGCGTTAAGCGTACCGTCAACGTTATAGACGGGAATAGCCGTTTCTAGTTTTACAAGGGGGAGTCCAATTTGCTCCGCCCAGACCTGATCTATGAAGATCCCGTTAGCGCCTGAATCAAGCAGTGCGCTCGTTGAGTGTACTTTGCCCCTGGCAAGGTTTTCCACGCCAACGTCTAAACGGATCTCCTTTTGGAATAAATACGTGCGCATCAACACACGCCTTGGGATTTCGGGAAAGGGTGGCTCCAAAGAAGAAAAGGAAGAAGATGGAATTTTGAACGATACATGTTTTTCTAATTTTGTTTTACCAGAATCAAGCACCCTAGTGTTTTTCTCGCTGGGGTCACGCTCCAGGGGAGACGCTGGTGCAGCGGTAGTATCATAAATATTACAGTTACATTTCTTCATACAAGTACATACTTCTGATAACAAATTTAGAAACTTATTTACAAATTGGGGAGCCATCCCCGTCATTCCGTTATTGCTTGTGCAACACCCCGGAGCAGGGGCCACTTTGTTGTGGTTTACTTCATTTTTAACAGGAGCTAAGGCACCCAAGTGACCTAAGCCCCGAATTCTTTTCCCTGAGCCTTCATTTCGTTGACCTGTTGGTCATAGAAGAAGGCCCGGATTTCGTCGTAAGAACGACCGGCCAAAGAGTGGAGCCGATCGTCCGGCTGTTCGGTTTCTAGTTGGCGCTCCTGGCGCCCTTGATTATTTTTTTGTTGGGCAGCCTGTGCCCCGTTTCTACAGTCTCGGGAC